TTATCTCTGGTGACATCTTTTCATCCAGCGATTCAATAAATATATTTAAAAGCATCTGTGTGAGCCTGGCCAATGTGGCTCAGTGGTTGAGTGTTGACCCATGCACCAAGAGGTTGCCAGTTCGATTCCCGGTCAGGGCACAAGCCCAGGTTGTGTGCCAGATTCCCAGTGGGGGACATGCAGGAGGCGGCCAATTGATGTTCTCTCTCATTGATTTTTCTACCTCTCTCTCCCTCTGTCTCCCTCTCTCTCTAAAATCAATAAAGAAAAGAAAATAATTAAAATAAAAACATCGATGTGAACAACTCCATGCTAAGTGCTAAAGATACAGAAACGAACAACAAAAAATAGGCTCCTGATCTAAGAAAACTTGGCAACTAGTGAGGAAGACAAACACTATTAATAATAATGTGTATGCTATGGAGGTACTTAAGTATACAGTATGGATGTTATGCATTGTAGCAAGCAGGCTTTCACCTAAAAGTTGTGGTTATTTCTGTCACTACAACCCTGTCTAAGATGTCAGGCAGAAAAAGAATTTTCCTCTTGGTCTTGACCACAAATGGGCTTAGGTATCAAAGACATCAGCTAAGTGTGGCTGGAAAATAAGAAGGCATCCTTTTGAACACCAAGCAGGAGCTATAGCTAATCTCAGAATAGGTGGACTAAATAAATGGGTTACGTGTGAAAATGAGATGTACAAAGGTACTAGAAGCCCTGACAGGTGTGGCTCAGTTAGTTGAGAATCATCCTGTGCACTGAGGGGTCTCAGGTTCAATTCCCAGTCAGGACACATACCCAAGGGTTGCAGGTTTGATCCTCAGTTGGGCCATGTACAGGAGTCAACTGATCAATGTTTCTCTCTCACATAATGTTTCTCTTTCCCTCTCCCTTCCTCTCTCTAAAATCAATGAAATGTTTTCAATTAAAAAAAACAACAAATACTCTTTTTTTTTAAAGTACTAGAAGATGCCCTGGCCAGGTGGCTCAGTTGGTTGGAGCATCATCCCGTACACAAAAAGGTTGGGGGTTCGATTCTCAGTCAGGGTACATGCCTAGGTTGTAGGTTCACTCCCCAGTTGGAGCGCATATGGGATGCAACCGATCACTGCTTCTCTCTCACACTGATGTTTTTTTCTCTCTACCCCCTCTCTATCTTCCTTCCTCACTCTCTAAAATCAATAAGAACATGTTCTTGGATGAGGATTTTTTTAAAAAAAGTATTGGAAGAAAATGTAGGTGATTGAAAAAATATTATATTCTTGAGGTAGAGATTGGTTTCTAGACATAACACCAAAGGCAAAGTCATAAAGGAAAATGACTGATATACCTGATTACATAAAAAAAAAAAAATTAAACCTTTATAGGACAAAAAAGCAAAAAACAATAATAATCCATCCCAAAATTCAAAGAAAAGAAAAAAGCAACATCTATGAAGGGCTCTTACAAATTAATAATCTCAATTTGAAAACCCCCAAAAGGCAACTACACAATTCACAAAACATAAACACAATATTAGCTAATGTTTACTGAACTTTTATACGCCAATGTGGTATACTGATTGCTAAAATGGCCCCATTCTCCACCTCTCTATGTAGCTACCTGCTTATAATTTGAGTTTGCTGCTCCTTCCATCAAGAGACAGAGTCTGTATCCCCATTTTTTTTTTTATCCTCACCTGGGGACATTTTTCCATTTTTTGTTTAGACAGAGAGGGAGGGAGAGAGAGGAAGAGAGAGATAAACATCGATGTGAAAGGGACACATCGAGTGGCTGCCACCCGCACAACCAACCAGGGCCGGGGACAAACTGCAACAGAGGTACGTGCCCTTAGTGGGAACCGAACCTGGGTCTCTCTGGACCGCAGGCCAACGCTCTAACCGCTGAGCCCAACAGGCCAGGGCTGTTTCCCTATTTCTTGAATCTGGGACAGCCTTGTGACTTGCTTTGGCCAGTAGAATGGGGCAGAGTTAATGGTGTTTTTTCTAAGCCTAGGCCTCAAGAGGCCTTTCAACACTTCATGCCATTACCATGAGAAGCAGCCAGGGTTAGCCTCCTGGAGGATGAGAGATAAAGTAAAAAAGATCCAAGTGGCATGGCTCTGCCCATCTGAGATCCCCAAACATGTACAAGAGCTCAGCCAAGATCAGCAGAGCTGCCTATACAACTCATGGCTGACAGAAGCCCAGTCAAGACCAGAAGAGTCCAACAAACATGTAGATTTATCAGCAAAATAAACATTTACCATTGTACTCCACTGAGAGTTATTTGTTGCACAGCATTGTTGTGGTAATAGTAATGGATATAGACAGGCAAGGTTCAAAATGCTCTACGTTTCTTTTATTTTTTTCTTTCCTTTTTTTAGAGAGAGAGAGATAGAAACATTGATGTGAGAGAGAAACATTGATTGGCTGCCTCCTGCACAACCTCCACTGGGGATTGAGCCCACAACCTGGGCATGTGCCCTGACCAGGAATTGAACCAGAACCTCTTAGTCCATGTGACAATGCTCAATCCACTGAGCAACACTGGCCAGACTCTACATTTATATTCTCTCAATTTTATTTTATTTATTATTATTATTATTTTTATTCCTCACCTGAGGATATTTTTCTACTTATTATCAGACAGAGTGGGAGAGAGAGAGGGAGAGAGAAAGACAGAGAGAAACATCGATGTGATAGAGCCACATTGACTGGCTGCCAACTGCATGACCCCACCAGGGCCAGGGATACAACTGATGTACGTGCCCTTGACTGGAATTGAACTTGCGACTCACTGGTCCGTGGGCTGATGGTCTAACCACTGAGCAAAACTGGCCAAGGCTTTTCTCTCAATTTTAATAAGGTGCTTCCTAGCACAGAGCTCCTAAACCCTTGTATCCCAAGGAATTAAAAACAGACTCAAACAGCCCTGGCCAGTTTTGCTCAGCGGTTAGAGCATCGGCCTGTGATCCAGAGAGACCTGGGTTCGGTTCCCGCTAATGGCACGTACCTCAGTTGCAGTTTGTCCCCGGCCCTGGTTGGTTGTGCGGGTGGCAGCCACTCGATGTGTCCCTTTCACGTCGATGTTTCTCTCTCTCTTCCTCTCTCTCCCTCCCACTCTATCTGAACAAAAAATGGAAAAATGTCCTCAGGTGAGGATTAAAAACAAAACAGACTCAAACAGATATGCATACACCCATGATAGCAGCATTATTCAAAATGATAGCTAATAGGTGGAAACAACCCAAACGTCCATGCACAGAGGAATGGACAAACAAAATGTGGTATTACATAAAATGGAACATTATTCAGTGTTATAAAGTAAGGAAATTCTGATGCATGCTAAAATACGGATGAACATTAAAAACATCATGCTAAGTAAAACAAGTCAGTCACAAATAAACAGATATTGCATGAGGTACCTACAATAGTCAAATTCTTAGACAAAAAGATGGTGGTTACCAGGGAATGGGAGAGGACATAATGAGAAGTTATTGTTTAATGGATATAGTTTCAGTCTGGGATGCTGAAAAAGCTCAGCAAATAGTGGTAATGGTTACACAACAATGTGAATGTACTCAATGCCACTAAATTGTGCACTTAAAGTGATGAAAACGGTAAATTTTATGTTATGCATAGTTTACAACAATTTTTAAAAGCTGGGGCGGAAAAAAACCCAGAAATAAAAATCCCACAATGAGACTCTTGCCACCAAATTTTTGGAGGACTTCTGGAAAATGGTTACTTTTATTAAAAATGTTACTGATCCATGTAATAAGTTTATTATTTTCAAAAATAAACTAATAAATACTTGAAAAATCTCCCAGTTTTCTTATTTAATATGGTAAAAATGCAAACACATAACTCACATAAACAGAAGCTCTTAGGTCCTGAGTAATTTTTGAGAGGTAGAGGGGTTTCGAGACCAAAAGGTTTGAAACCCTCTCTGCTTATGCCTGCATCATGTGAAGACATTCATCTGTTGGTATCGCTTTATTTGGCAGCTATTCCACTTGCAGCCTGCAGACTACAAGGACAGCCTGAAATATGGTCAAAATCATCGTTTTCATTCCTATTGTCCCCTGGATGCACTGTAAGAGTAAGGACTAAGCAATACAAAGCTCCACCCAGACGAGTGGCAATGTACTACAGAAAACGGTTAAAAAGCTTAAATGCTGATATATCCCTAAGTAGTTTCAGAAGTATCAAGCAAGAAACACACACTTCCTTTTTTTCTGTTGGATCTTTAATCAGACATACAGTTCAAGGCTAGATGTGGGAATGGAAGTGGCAGGATATTGTTTCTGAAAACTACTCCATCCAGTGCATCCGTGAAAAGAATTTAATTCTCTCACCATTTTGCTACTGGTCTGTTGCAGAGGGGTGTGGTTAAGGGAGCTAGGAAGCAATCCAAAACAGCAGCTGAGGCTGCCCCAAACCGTGTCCAAGCAATAATTTCCTCCATTTTGGGCCAATTCAATTAGCCCCAGCAAGAGTCCGAATGTTTGGGGGTGCGTGGGTTAATAAAAAGGATATTAGGAAGCATAGACGGAGATCAGCAAAACCACAGCGGTCTCATCGGGTGTGGACATTAAATGATTTGTATGCTAAGTGTGTCAGAGGCAAATGAAAATTGCTATTCCTGAGTCTACAGCTGCGGCACTTTTAAAGACGGGGCTGCAGTTGTGGATGGGGGCGAAAGTCAAACGATTTTGTCAACCGGCCCCTTTTACCGCATTCATTTTGGGCCGGGCCTGTGACCAGTCTTGATGACTGCAGCTGAGGCAGTTCCAAACAAAGGCGAATGGATGGCCTCCCGGGGGAGCGGAGGGGGGAAAGGTGGCCTCACGCCCCCGCGCCAGGTGTCCCTCGGGGTGGACAGTGCGGGTCGCGGGAGGGAGGGTCCCGGGAGCGTCGTAGGGGTGTGATCGGGGCCAGCTGGGCCCGGCGCCCGCACGGCCGGGGCAAAGACCCCGCCCTGCCCGCGGTCAAGGTTAACACGCGCACGAGAGGTACCTGTGGAGGCCTCGCACAGCCCAAAGGCACTGGGCGATCATGGGAGCGCCGAGAGGCGGCGGCGGGCGCGTCGTCCTCCGGCCTGGGCGTGGGAGAGAGGCGGGGCGCCGGACAGCCGCGAGGCGGCCTAGCCGAGGAGGCAACAGCGGCGGCGGCGGCAGCTGCGGTCCTGCCGGAACCCTCCCACGTGCGGCAGCCCCACGCCGGCGCCCCCTGCAGCCCCGCCCTGCGCCCCGCCCCGCGCGCCCAGCACCGCCCCGGGGGCGGTCCTGGTGAGACCCAGCGGCCCCCAGCGAAGCACGCAGCCGGTGGGCTCAGGGGCGGCGGGGGCCTGGGAGCCGGGAAGTTTGCGCGACCGCTGGCAGTGCTGCGATCGGAAGCCAGGCGCCGGCCCTGAGGTCCAGGGGGCGGGCGGACTCGCTTACAGACGACCGCGGGCCCGCTGCCGCCGTCTCGCGTCCTCTTTCTGGTAAGGGGCTTCTGTCCGGGAAGGGAGCGTCCCCCGCCGCCCGGACGGGCCTGCGCCGCGCACCCGCAGCAATACCCGTCAGGGCGCAAGCAGGCCCGGGGACCGAGGGGAGGAAGGAGCAGGTCCCTGTGCTCTGGGGAGAATAAGGAGAAGCCTGGAGGAGGTTGGACGTCTCCATTTCCCCGCTGCACCTCCCCTTACCCCATATTCTCTTTTCATCTTCTGCCCTGGGGCCTTATTTCGTACTTGCAATCCAATGGCCTAGAGGTCGGCTCTCTTTTAAACTAAGCACACTAATAATAAACATCCTAGCGGTGGGTACCACACCCTGGCATTGAATTAGGGATCTGGGGAGCAGATGGATGATGCGATTTAGTGGAAATAAGCCATTAAAGCCGCTGGCCCTGCGCCACTGTTTGGACGCGATAGTATTCCATGTGAATGAACACGACCCAGCGCTTCCAGCTTGTCCACGAGAGCACAGCTGCTGCAGACAGCTCTGGCTGGTGTATAGTGGCCACCGACCTAGGCAGTGATTTCCTGACATGTCTGGTGATTAAATAGAAGTGCCGTGTTTATTAAGAATGACACTCAATGATTGAAAACCTTTCGTTAATATACTTCATCAAAAACTGTCTCTGCCTACAAAAGTAGGTGGTGTGTAAATTATGTATACATTTTTTAAAATCTCATGAAATAGAGGGAGATGCTCAGTGTGGATCAGCTTCTGAGTCAGCAGTATGAAGTCTCCCTCCACTTAGTCCTGAGACCTTTGGGGAATTTCTATATCTGAATTCGACCCCTATCCTTATCTATATCTGTACCATACATACTGTAAAGATACAGTGAGATAGTCGGTGAGAGTCTAAGTTTATGTTATACATGTTTTGAGAAAAACTTTACTTTTGCAAGTTTTATACTTTTGCAAGGTCTAAATGAAAATATATAATGCATGACCATAAGAACACTTTATGCTCTCCTGACTTGAAAAACAGAAAGGAGTAAAGGTAATAGAGGTTTTAGTTTTTGCTTTTTACTTTTAGTGTAATTTATAACCCTGTTATTTATAACCTTTCTGACTGATTATTTAAAATCTTAGTTCAGTGTTTTCCCTTTTCTTATCAAGGAAAAGTGTTGAAACTTTTAAAATGTCATCTATCAAGCACCTAGTTTATGCAGTTATTCGTTTCTTACGGGAACAAAGTCAGATGGATGCTTATACTTCAGATGAACAAGAAAGTTTGGAAGGTATGCACTTGTTTTTATGAAGTCTAAAATAGCTATAAGCCTGATTTTATGACCTATTTTAACAAAATCAGAATACTTTGTTATATTTCAAGAAGAGAGACTTAACTATAAGGTTATCAAGAGTTTCCATTCTCTGAGGCTTGTTTTGTTTGTTTTAATTAACAAGATAAGAGGACTTTGTTCATTTATTGAACAGCTATTATGTGTCAGAACTATGCTATTCCTATTGTAGGGAATTTTTTCTTCACAGCGACTGCTAAATTAGTATGTTCCCCAATTAACAGATAAAAGAAACCAGATTAAATAACATGACACAGTTAGCATGTAGCAGAGATGAGATTCAAATCCTGGTTCTTCCTCTGAAGATCTTGTCTCTTCTTTCTAATAGGAAAGCTTCCGGTTGAGAATCAATATAAAAAAATACCTTAGTCATTATATAAGCACTATGTAAAAGCCTAATAATTATATCCTATTATGCTCTGACAACTTTCTATTTGGGGACTTTTTTTTTTATTTGTTGAAAGTACTACAGATGTCTCCCCCTTTTTTCCCATTGACCACCTCCTCCCCACTCCTGCACTATTTGGGGACTTGAGATGGGAGGATTGCACCCTTGTTTTGTGTGAGCTTTAAATATTAGATTCAGTAACCTGTTAAATTGAGCAGAACTTGCATGATAGCATCACATGCTTCCTTGACAGCATCTTTCTGCTTCATATTTCTGCATTATAAAGTGTATATTTAGTATAACCGTACCAAGACAGGATCTGCACATAGGCTTGTGGAGGGTCAATGAACCTGTTTCCTTGGGGCCTAAAGACTTAATTATTGCAATGAGGCTGTGCATTTGGGAGAACTTAAATAACAGTACAGTTTGAATTTCCCATCTTGAAGCTGTTTCTGCTATAAAGAGGACACGTCTGTTAATTTTAACAAGCACTTCCCCTGTGAATTTGCTTTTAGGAGATGGGGATGAAAATTGGGCATTTGCTCTAAAACTGATTGCAGTCTGGTGAGACGATGTTTTTCCAGGTAACAGTGAAAGAAACAGGTGACACAGGTGGAGAACATTGCAATCAGTCCATTTAATATTAAGGATGGTTAGAGTATGTGAAGGAAAGGTGACTGGTTATCTAAGGAGGATGTTGGTTATAGCTGCTCTGCAGCAAGCAGATAAATGAAGTCATTTAATAAAAGACATTTCTTTTCTAGTCAAAGGCAGTATAATATTTTCAAAGGCTAGAAGGAAAATTCAGAGATTAAAAAAAAAAAAAGCCAAGATGTTATATCCTATTTTAAAAATGGTATTCAGCCAAAAATATGTGCCTTCAGCTGTTTGTTATATATAGCATCCAGAAATAGTGCAAATTGTTTTTGACCAACCTCAATTTTTGACTCTGTGAGTCTAATTTTATTGAATATGAAATCATGTGGAGATGACTGCCCACCTTCTAGACATTTACAAAACCATAAAAAGGAGCATAAGTTCTAGTACCAGCTTTACCACCATGATGAGCTGGTGTGTTATGGGCTTTGAGTCTTCTCACAAGTTTGTCACTAGCTCCTCCTGATTGTTGCCATCTGCTGACGACTACTTCATGTTTTGACTGTTGCAGCACCTGCTCACTGTCCCTCTCTCTAGCACTAGTCCTGCCTTAATTCTTGGCGATTGCAATATATTCACAGATGATTCTTCCAGTTCCCTTGGCTCTCAGTTCCTCGACCTTCTTTCCTCCAGTGATTTCAACTACTTACCCTTTGGTCAGACCCTAAACCAGTGGTTTTCAACTCAGGGTGATTTTGCAGTGTCTGGAGATATTTTTGATCGTCACGACTAGGGAGCTGGTATTCCTGGCGTCTAGTGGGTAGAGGCCATGGATGCTGCTAAACATACCACAATGCACAGGGTGGCCTCCAACAACAAAGAATTATCCAGTCCAAATGTGAGTAGTGCCAAGGCTGAGAAACTCTTCCTTAAACCTTGTCATTCCCTCCATTATTTCTATCTTAAACATTTCACTTCTTGACCACTACTGCTGCTTGTCTTTCTAGCTCATTCTCAAATTCCTCCCCAAACATCTCTTCCACCTTACCAATACCTCCAATCTCTTGACCCCTTACCTTTACACACCCCTCTTCTTACCCAATTTAAATTCCACAGTTGATCATTATAATCACATCCTTATATGTCCCTCCCTTCCTTGAAAAACCCAACCTTGTTTAAATTCAGTTCTTCACCTACTCTCTCCCCGTATCTATGTGAATGTATATAGATGGAGCAAAACCACAGCTTTGCTGGCTGGTCCGACTTTGAATTCATGACCACAAGCCTCAAGTGGACCTTTAATGCTGTCCAGCAATCACACTATGTTCCAAGTTCATTCACACTTTTGCTCTCCTACATGACCAATTTAACACTTCCTTGTATTTTCTTAAACCTTCAAACCTCCTTCCCTGTACTCACTTTTAGCTGATGACCTTTGCTGCCTACTGTAGCAAGAATATTGAATAATAAAACAACTTCCTACAGATTCTCTGCCCCATCTACCTCCATACCAGCATCTCTATCCACATACTCTGCCTGCCTGCCTATTACCATAGGCTATGGACTAAATATTTGTGTTCTCTCTAAATTCATATGTTGAAGCCTGATGCACAGTGTGATAGTATTAGGAGGTGGGGCTCGCATGATTGGGATCAGTGCCCTTATAAAAGAGACACCAGAGGGCTCCCTTGCTCCTTCTACCATATGAAGACATCGTGAGAAGGTGTCATTTATGAACCAGAAAGTGGCTCCTTACCAGACATCAAGTCTGTTGATGGCTTAATCTTGGACTCCCAGCCTCCAGAACTATGAGAATAAATTTTGGTTGTTTATAAGCCACCCAATCTATGACATTCTGTTATAGCAGCTCGAATGGACTCGGACATCAGAGATGGAACTCTCCGTTGTCCTTTCTGAATGGATCCCCTTTCCTGGCACACTGGAGCCCATCCTGTCTCACCTGCTGCAGAGTGTCACACTGGTTATTCTACCCTCCTTGTCTTACATCACCAAATTTTCATTCTCTGCTGGATCATTTCCATTGAAACACAAACCTTTCATTATTTCTCCCTTCTTAAAACAACAACAACAAATAATTACTCTTGCCATACTACCCATACATCCCCTGAACTACTGCCTTACAAGTTGTCTTTACAAGCTTTCTCCAATTCCTCTCCTATTCTTTCTTTTTTTCTTTTTTTTTATCCTCACCTGAGGACATTTTTCCATTTTTTTGTTCAGATAGAGTGGGAGGGGGAGAGAGAGAGAGAGAAACATTGACGTGAAAGGGACACATCAAGTGGCTGCCACCCGCACAACCCAACCAGGGCCGGGGACAAACTGCAACCGAGGTACATGCCCTTAGCAGGAACCGAACCCAGGTCTCTCTGGACCGCAGGCCGACGCTCCAACCGCTGAGTCAAACCGGCCAGGGCCCCTATTCTTTCTTAAACCTACTCCAGGTAGGCCTCTGCCTCCATCTCTCCACCCATACTTTTCTCATCAAGGTCATCAGTGATTTCTGTGTTATTTAGTTCAATCATCAGTTCTCAGTATTCATCTGACTTGTTAAGTGCCATTGATAAAGCTACTCATCACTCTCTCATCCCCCTTCCCCTCATACACGTTATTCACTTGGCTTCCAGGATACCAAATTCTCTCTTGTTTTTTTTCTTATCTCATTGTTGCTCCTTCTCTGTCTACTTTGCTGGTTCCTCTTCTTTTCCCTGATCCAGGGTCCAGTGCTTATCTTCTCTTCATTTACCTACACTTACTTTTTTGGTGATATCATTCATCTTCTTGGCCTTAAATGTTCGTTATTTATATGCTGATATAGCTCAAATGTATATGCTCAACCCAGACCTTCCTTCTGAACTCCAGACTTCTGTAGACAACTGCCTACTACTTATCTGCACTTGTGTGTCTAACAGGCATTTCACATGGAACATTTCCAAAAGCGAAGTCCTGATCCTCCCACCCGAAGTCTGTTCTATCCACTACTTTCCTGCCCCCGTTGAGGCCAACTCGATCTTTTCAGTTGCTCAGGCCAAGAACTTTAGCATCATCTGGACTCCTCTTTCTCCCAGACTCTGCATATAATCCTTCAATAAATCCTGTTGGCTGTACCTCCAAAATATGTCTAGAGTCTGACCACTTCTTCCCGCCTCCACTGATATCACCCCTGGATGCCACGAAGTATCTCTCGTCTGTTTTACTGTGACAGCCTCTAACCAGGCTCTCTGCTTCTCTCCTGCACTTCCCTGAGTTGTATGACTTATTCCTGAGTATAGCCTCATGAAACAAGGATCAAATGTAACAATCCCTGTTTCATAAAAGAGAATCTTGAGGTAAAAATAAGACAAATCATTACATTCAGGTTATTTGATTTTGGGAGCTGGATTAATAATACTGACATAGTTTCGAGTTCCAGGGTGGTGATGGCTTTGCTCACTAAACCCTATGTCTCTCTAAACATGTGTCACTGTTCAACACTAAACATTTTGGCAACTAGGTTTACTTACCAAAACAATTGTGTTTACTTACATAGAACCTAAAACAGTCAAACTCCTAGAGGCAGAGAATAGAATGAATAGTGGTTGCCGGGCCAGGGAGAAGAGGAATGGGGAGCTGATGGTCCAAGGGTAGAGTTTCAGTTGTGCAAGATAAACGAGTGCTATTCAGCACAGTGCCACTATTGTGTATTGTATAGTTAAAATTTGCTCAGAGGGTAGGTCTCATGATAAGCGTCCTTACCCACTGACCCCCATGTAATAAAAAGGGAGTGAGAGGAATCTTTGGGAGGTTATGCATATGTCTATGACCATGGTCTCATGGGTGTATACACTTATTGCCAGACTCATCAAGTTGTATACATTAATTGCATACAGCTCTTATATGTCAACCATACTTTAGTAAAGTGATTTTTAACAAAACCCAAACAGTTGTGTTTAAAACAAAACAAAACAGCCACCTCCTCTAATGATACTTAATTGTGTGCCAGGTCTGTGTTCTAAGAATAGTGGCAACAGAGATCAAGTAGCTGGATTGGATTGCTCCATAAGATAGAGCATAAACATCCTTCACAGTCACCATAAGGACTTTTCATCATGAGTGTTTCTATGGTGGTTAGTCAGTGTTTAGCTCTGCAGTGTCATACTCTGATTTTGGTTCAGGGCTTTGTTGGGTTCTATCTATGTTTTATGTGGCTGTGAATTAATACTTTTTGGGGGTATTGTTCCACAGATTTTATTGTTTTTATTCTTTCTGAAATTAAGCTACTATTTCTACTATAAACAGAGAGGTAGATTAAATGTATTGAGCATCTACTATTTCCCAGAGTCTGTTCAAGTCAAAGATGAATAAGATGTAGGCCTTATCCTCAAAGAGACAGTCTCATATGAGAGACAGACATGTAAGTGCATATAATATAGTATGATAAGTACAAAAATAGAAACATGTATAAGTCACATGTCATGGTAAAGGAAATGACCAATCTGATCCAGGAGGACAGATATTGATCAAGAATAAATGTTTTGTGGCCCAATGGTTTTAGTGCAAGTACAACTGAAGTGTAAGAACACTGCTTGAGCCCTGGCCAGGTAGCTCAGTTGGTTAGAGAGTCATCCCGATAGCCAAAGTTGAAGGTTTGATCCCCAGTTAGGGCACCTACAGGAATCAACCTATGGCCCTGGCCAGTTTGGCTCAGTGGTTAGAGTGTTGGCCCACGGACCAAATGGTCATGGGTTAAATTCCCAGTTAAGGGCACATACCTGGGTTGTGGGTTCTTCTTTATCCCTAGTTGGGGTCATGTGGGAAGCAACCAATCGATGTGTCTATCTCACATCAATGTGTGTCTCTCTCTCTCTCTCTCTCTCTCTTTCTCTCCCCCCCTCTCTCTCGCTCTCTCCCTCCCTTCCCCTCTCCCTTCCTCTCTTTCTCTTCCTGCCTCATTTCCTTTCTTCTCTCTCTAAATTAATTAATTAGAAAAAAACCTGCTTGCAAAAATAGAAAGGGAGAGAATGAGGGATAGGTAAACAGTAGATTATTTTCTTTCTAAAAGACACTTAGACTTTTGTAGTTGGTAACTTAGTAACTTATTCAGTTCTTTTTTCTAAGGAGAATCCTTTATGGGAATAGAAAAGTAATACTGTCTATTTCTTGATAGCTAATTTTCTCAGGATCACAATTAATATGGAATGTATTGTTAAAAAGGCATACCCAAATATTAGTGAATATTCCACTGTCTGGAAGTACACTGGGCACTTTGGCCCAGTGGTTTTAGTGCAAGTACCATATATGTCAAGTTCTTATCTTGCTGAGCCAGGAGTGCATTCCTTCTTGAACAAGAGCACTAGAAGGCAAGAATCTGCCTCCGCGCCCCTCAGAGGACAGGATGTGCTTTCTTCACTGTTACTGCCCTAGTTCGGGCCACCTGTTGGTTTAGACCATTGAGATAAGAACCCAGTGGTTTTCTGCTTCCACTTTCTCCCTTAGCTTCCTCCTTCTCTAATCCTTTCTCAACATTCCTACCAGACTTTTAGTTCTGAACACAAATCCAGTTATGTTATTCCCTTAACTAAATTCTCTGATAGCTCTCCATTTGCCCATAGCATTAAATCCACATCCTTTAAAGTGTTATTTAAGGTGTCTTGTCATTCAACAACAGATTTCCTTTCTAGCATAACCACCCACCCGTGTCTCCCCACCCAGTCCACAGCCTAATTATACCCCAAGAGTAGATAATGACTTGCTTCAACAAGGACATGATGTAACCAGATATATTGAGAATTATATTCTAAGTAACATTTTTCTTTAGGTGAGGAATAAGAAATCAAGTTGTCTTCCCTCAAGAGCTGGTCTATAAACAGAAATCTCTATGCAAGTTGAGCGATTTTCCTTATGTTCTGTATCATAAATGCTGAATTGCCACAGATGGCAACAGAGTGCAGATTTCTACCAGAAAAAAAAAGTTTGTTTCTTTTTTTAGGTTGCTAATTTTTTTTTTCACTATTAAAATTTGTTTCAAGTTGCAATTCAGTGCTTGGAGACAGTTTTTAAAATCAGCCCAGAAGATACACATCTAGCGGTTTCTCAGCCCCTGACAGAAATGTTCACAAATTCCTTCTGCAAGGTAAGCTCTCCCTGTTTTCTCAGTAGTATCTGAGTTAAGTATGACCACATTATTATGTTGGATTGTTAATATTTGAGGGGTCAGGCCTGTAAGTAACTAACTTCTTTCTTGATATAATAAGACAGTCCACATGGATCTAATTTGTGACCTAAATTTTAATTCTTTTAATGTGCTTTAGATTTTCATATTAGCAGCTAGTCTCATCCTTTCACCTTGTTTTATATTTAATATGTCTTAGTTGAATTTTTAAAAATGTTTTTATTGATTTTTTTTTTAAGAGAGAGAAACATCCATATGAGAGAGAACATCCATTGTCTGCCTCCTGCACGCCCCCTACTGGGGATGGAGCCCACAACCTGGGCATGTGCCCTGACTGGGAATCGAACCAGGACCTCTCAGTCCATGGAATGACACGCAATCCTCTGAGCCACACTGGCTGGGCTGTCTCAGTTGACTTTTTAAGCCCTTTACAGTATCAGAGCATTTTTAGGTTTCTGACATCTGAATTGACATTATTCCCCTAAAACATGGACTACAAGTTAAAAACAAAAGGTTTAATGTTTAGGAAGCATCCACTTAGGAATAGATTTATCAGAAATTGAATTATTATTTTGAAGCATATTTCATCAAATCTGACCATTGGTGTGCTCTTTAAAACAAGGAAAGGTAGAAAACCAAAACAAAAATCGGAAAGGGCCAGGCCAGTGTGGCTCAGTGGTTGAGCATGACCCATGCAGCAAGAGGTCGCCGGTTCGATTCCTGGTCGGGGCACATGCCCAGGCTGTGGGCTGAATCCCTAGTGGGGGGCATGCAGGAGGTGGCCAATCGATGTTCTCGCTCATTGATGTTTCTATCTCTCTCCCTCTCCCTTCTTCTCTCTCTAAAAATTTAAATAAAGAGAAAAAATTAAACAATACCAACAAAACGGAAAGGTTCAGGGTCAGTGTGCAAAACTAAGATTGAAACCCAGTCCTCATTCTTCCTCCCCAGGGCTTACATGGTCTCTGGTTTCTGGCCTTTTTAGGAAACATGGACCATAAGATTGTCTGAAAAGTTTAAGCTGAGTGAGTTTGGGGCCCATGGTGACATCCCATGTGGTTTTTTACTACATTTTGGTGCCTCATGAGCAACGTTTGTTTTTCTAGCTCTGTGTGCAGGCTTCAGGACAAAAGGGGGAACTCGGGAGAGAGGCTGAAACATGTAGTGTATCCTTCAGCCTTGCAGGGCCACTGCTGAGGATACCCCAGCGACTGTTTCTAGAGCTTGTTGGGAAGAAGCCCTTCGAGTTGCAGTGAAGATGGTAATTTGGTGGTACACTGCTCCCTTTTTATGATCTTGGAAAAAGAATAATACAGTTATACTCGAATTCATCAAACAGATTAATTCTAATTATGAACAAAATGTAAGGGACAGTGGCATGTCTTTGTATTCCTCATCAGGAGTTCCTTTTTTTTGGTTGCTGGGGTTCTTTCATTGTTTGCACTTGTGGCCTCCTTAGGGAACCCGTTTCAGTGGCCGAATGTGGTGGCTGAAAGTGACCCCTGAACTTACTCAAGAGGCCTGTACTTGAGATATGCTCCTGCTTCAGCTCCTGTCACCACTGTACTTAGTGCTGAAGGGATCAGAACTTATATTCTTATCTCCCAGGAAGCTCAAATTGACTTTTACACTTTGTTTAAATAGAAATAGCAACATATATATATATATGTTGCTATTTCTATTTACACACACACACACACACGTTGCTATTTCTCTTTGTTTTTAATTGTAAAAATGTGTTGCTTACTATTTTTGAAATACAGCTTTTTGAAACTGGCTCCAAAGTATATCTAAATAGTGTTATTTGTAATGTCAATCCTATTTAATAGCTGTGGCTTCATTACATACCTGTTTGCTAGCAGAGTATGACAGAGAAAGTCTAAAATTCGTCTACAGTAGCATCAAGATTGTCATAATTAAAGAACTTGTCTCACCAGTGTGCTTGGTTGTTACATTGGTCATTTTTATTTTTAGGGTACTGTGTTTCTGTTTTTCCCCTTAATTGAGATTATGTACTAAATGGATCCATTTCTTTTACTATAAAGTAATACTTCTCCCTATATCATGGGTTGCTCAAATGCATTAAATTAATATGTGAACTAGTTTTCAAAGTTGTAAAACTTTGGCAATTTTATTAAAATAATTCAGAAGAATTTAGAAGACAGATTGGATTATAATCCATTTTTCAACATGCCATTTTTCTGACCCCCAAGGCACTTTTTTTCATGCATAAACAGCCTGAGCTTGTTAGAAGATGTGAAATAGAAGGAACCCTAAAAGCAGGCATTGCAGGGCAGCAGTGTGTCTTTGAACTACACTTACATCCTGAAGGATTATAGTCAGTTCTTTTTTTATGAATTAGAACAATTAAAACAAATTTTTTCTCTTTATTGATTTTAGAGAGAGAGGAAGCGAGAGAAAGAGAAACATTGATGAGAGAGAACATCAATTGGCCGCCTCCTGCACGCCTCCCCCCCGGGGGGATTCGGCCCACAACCTGGGCATGTGCCCTGACCGGGAATTGAGCCAGCAACCTCTTGGTGCATGGGTCGATGCTCAACCACTGAACCACACCGGCCGGGCTATAGTCAGTTTTAAGTAGTTACCTCTACTTATAAAGTTTGCGATTTTGATTCTATACTTTTTTATCCAAATATTTTATTTTAGAAAAACTGATGAGTAGAGAAAGATGAAAAAAAACCACACACACAGAATGACATATACTTTATCAGTGACTTTGTACTTGTGAATATTTCTGTGTAATTAGAAAAGTATATTTGCAATGTTAGAGCTATCAAGTTTATTGACACTTTAGTCAGGACAAAGGTAGTGGTGAATATATCTTAAATATAGTACATGGGTGTATTGGCTACGCATTATGCTTTCTTGAAAACTGTAGGCTTATTTATGAACTTCAGCTTCAAGTTTAAAAGCAACACTGGTGATTTCTTTGGGGAAGAGGGCTGGGGGAGGTAGAGGAGGGTATAGCGGGATAAATGGTGATAGACACTTGAATTAGGGTGGTGAGCAACAATACAGTGTACAGATGATGTGTTGTAGAATTGTGTACCTGAAACCTGTAAAATTTTGTTGACCAGTGTTGCTCCAATAAATTTAATAAAAAGAAAAAGAAAGAAAGAAAGAAATGGCTTAAGATATACAGCACTTTAAGATTTGAATGTGAAGGAGTAACGGATCAGATTTTTCCTTGTGACTTTTTAAAAAATACTTTTTTTTAACTAAAAAAAACCAGTCTTTTAGGACAGAAAATGCATGTGTTCCCAATGTTGCTCAAGATATTTGTAAATTTTCATTTAGTTTGTAAGTGCCTTTGATTTAAACATTATTAATGCAAAAGAAGTTTGGGGTCAATAGTAGGTGCTAAAAATAGGAATTTTTATACTGTTTTTATCTTATGATAAAAGTAGGTTTTGCCCATTGTTTTAAAAATGGACAATATGGAAAGATATAAGAAGAGAGTGAAAATTGTATCTCCAAATATTACAAGTGATAACCTTCTGTGTACACCTGTCGAGTCTTTGTTTTATAGCCTGTGTGTATGTGTATGTGCACATATTCAAACAATAGAATCATATAGTAAATACTTTTGTTGGTAAACTGTGAATTAGACTTACTAAGATATCTCTTAGGATATTAAACATTATATTTCAAAATTTTCACTAATATAAACAATCCCTTAAAATAAATAGAAATAAACAATCCCTTGAACATATTTCTATTCCTATTTTTCAAATATTGGTTCCATATTTTTGTTCATGATGTAGGATTTCTGGGAATAAGGAAAGCAGGTAAAAAAAAAAAAAATTGATACACAGTTGCCCATTATGTTCAAGAAAAATTCCACATATTCTTTTTCTAATAAAAGTATGTGATGACTTTCCTCCTGTTTTTGCTAACACTATGTTTAGGTGTTAGATTGCATGATGTGGAATTACAGATGATTTACCATGATATGGGTAACCCGTTAATACATTACCAACAGTTCTTTGGGATGACTTCTAATGTAGCTAAATGGAAGTATGTTCATTTTTATTTATTTTCAGAATGACATTCTGCCTCTCTCAAACTCAGTACCTGAAGATGTGGGAAAAGCTGACCAATTAAAAGATGAAGGTGAATATTTCCTAGAAAAATTACTTACTTGGTAAAACTTTCTGAAACTCTGGAGAAAGTGACTTTATTCATTGATTAGATTCTGGTTGACACTGTGAAAGAGAATGAAAGTGATAGAGAAGAAATCTAAAAGCATAGAATGGCCTGTGGGCAACATAGGTGTGGCCTGCTTCAAGAGAACCAGATCTGTTGTGCATAAAATTTGCAAAACAAATAATGTAAGGGCCACTTGTAACTGTATTTGCTGTGTATACTTCAGGGGCCCAAGTTCTTCTTTATGCTAAGAGATGAAGATAATTTTCCGTATTATTTTAACTTTCACATATTTAGTGTTTTTAGTTCTTTGAAAATTTTTAATGCATGCATATAGCACATGACTGAAGTGTTTATTAATTAGCATATTAGATTACTACATTATTAAATTTTCTGATAGTGAATATTAAAACATTCTTGGTTTTAATAAATAAATCACTGTTGTATGAAAACAGATGGGCATGGTAGATTGTCAAGTATAGGGTTATTCCGGGCTGCATGTTACACGTATCTGTGCCAACTGGTACCTGCCTGAAAGATTGCTTTCGTATTTTCGTGTGCTTTGCTTCTGAAGAGCAGCAGTAGAATCAGATGAAACAAAGAACAGTTAATTGTTGTTTTTCCTTGATGCATCACAGAAATATTGGCATATCTAATAGGGTTGTTTTGATAATTAAAGGAGACAATTCTATAGGACAGTACCACATGACTATAAGTGCTGTGCCATTAATGCTAAGTTATATTTCTCGTCACAAAATTCATCATGTGTGTCCTAAAGTTTTGCATATTAAATATTGTGTAACTTGAAGTTTTTTTATCAATATGTATAAATGTATTTATATTTGTAGTATATATATATATACACACACACACATTATAGTATCTATACATTTGAGATGGTTTATAGGTTTAAAAAATAATAATAGTAATAATAATAATAATAATAATAAAGTGCCTCCCCAAGACAAAAAGTTCTAGTGGCAACAAGGAAATCCCAATAACCCAGAAAATGTAAATCTTTTACATGAAAGAAACAAATCTATTTATGTACCTAGGCTAATGTAGTTAACTTCTTGCTTAATCATAAAAGCTATGTAATCCTCTTAGCTGCTTTAAAAGCATTATATTATCTTCTTTTTGGGGCTGGGGAGAAAATCAATTTTCTTAACGTTTAAACAACCTTATTGAGCTATAATTCATATACCATGCAATTTATTCCTTTAAAGTATACATATTCATTGGTTTCTAGTATATTCACAGAGTTGTGTAGCCATCACCATAGTTATAGAAATTTTTATTACCCCCAAAGAAACCATGTACCCATTAGCAGGCACTCTTTGTATTCATTTCTGATTCTTAATTTGCAGCAGCATTTTATTATTTTAGGTGCTTTTATCTACCTGCATTTAATTTAATCTTCCTGTTTCTGTTCCTGCAAATGTGCACCCCCCATTCTCCCATTAATTAACTACTGATCTATTAAAAAACAAACCTAATAAGAGAGCTTCTGGTGTAGAGACAGCTGGGAAGAATAACAGAGCCTTTGGGGATATAAATTCTTTCCCCTAATTCTAGTGTTTTAAAATTTTTAATTTGTACAAGTTCTTTTTAAGAACCAATTTTGATCACTTTTTCTCTTTAATGGAATACAAAAGATAGCCACAAGAAATCCTTATTTTACTGACCTGTTGTTAACCTAGCTAGATTATTGCCTGCTGTACCTGCAGGTGATCTTCCTGAACATCAGTACCCTCTGGGCCAGCCATGCTATCTGGAAATTCTGTCATTCTAGAAATTAATGTCTAATAATCTCCCTTTCAGAAGGACCTATGTCTGGAAGAGATAGCACACAAAAATATTATCTGCCAGTAACATATTAACATGATTAGCTTTAGCAGCTTACCCACACAGCTGTGAGGGCTCGGCTGCTCAGCAGATGGCTTTGCCAGGGAAGGCGTGGGAGGCCAGGTATAGAGTGCAGTAATAATTAAGAAGGTGCTGCATTAAGATGGGATGGGGCAGCTCTAAAAGGAGGGAAAGAGATGAAGATGAAGGTAAGAAGAGATTAAATGTTGCCATGAGATAATCATAATTGTTGCATTTTCTCTTCTCACTTATTGAAGCCTGAATTTTATAAGATATACATTCATTTTTTAAAGATTCCACATTGTCGAAATCATTCAAACACATTGAAGGATAAGGAGTATCAACTCTATTGTACAATATAAAATTTGTCTCCTAGCCCTGACCAGTTGCTCAATGGTTAGAGCATCGGTGCAAAGACCAGAGAGTTGCAGGTTTAATCCTCCGCCCATTTGGGGTCATGCTGGAGGCAACCAATCAATGTGTTTTGCTAACATCAATGTTTCTCTCTCTCTTTCTCCCCCTCCCTCCCCCCTTCCACTCTACCTAAAAGTCAATGGAAAATATCCTTGAGTAAGGATTAAAAAATAATAATAATAATGATAAATAAATAAATCAAATTTATCTCCTATGTGACTGAAAAAGCATGTTGCTCACCTTTGTATTATTGGAGTTTCTGTGATTAAAATTTATCTTTCAGACTTTATATTTGTCCTGTATATTGTTCTTACTATATCTACTGATTACTTTATTTTAGGCAATAACCACATGAAAGAGGACAATTATGCTGCTGCGGTGGACTGTTACACACAGGCAATAGAACTGGATCCAAATAATGCGGTTTATTATTGCAACAGGTGAACTGGCATCCAAACATTTGAATTAATAGCTCTGGAGGAGAACTATAAAATTTATGTATAGAGAAGGAAAAACAATAAATCCATAAACTTACCATTAGAGGCAACCCCTAGAGTAACCTTTTGGCATATTTTATTTGATGTAAATGTAATCAATTTTAGATTTGGCTTTATTCATGAGGCATATCATAAATATGTTCTTCTTTTATTGAAATCCTTCATAAACAAGATTTAAATTGATATAGTCTGTTATTACCCCTTCATCTTTCTTATATTTCCAGCACCTATGGTAGCTGGCAGACAGACACTCAGTGTTTTTTTAGTAAATGGATAGATGTATATTCACTGGACTGTTGACCTACAGGGAGACACTGAAGTTGTCCTTTTTTTCTTTTTCTTTCAATGTTATAAAGCTCCCATGAACATCATTCTTTGTAAAATTGTTTTATTTTTAGACTTTGGCTTTATCCTTGAAAATTCACTCAGGAGGTCTAACAATATAAACATTTAAAAATTGTTGATGCAGATTGCAAAGTTATTCCAGTTTCTTTGAAAATATTCTGAAAATTAATTTCCTCCCCTAGGATTGTGTGAGTGTATCTGTTTTTACGATACCTTTATCAACACTAAGTACTTGGATTATTATTTATTATTATTATTTTAATAGTAATTGTAATTTATATTTAATTATTACCGAGGTTGGACATTTTTCAAATGTTGGCCATTTGTGTTTTTTTCTCTAAATTATCTTTTTGTACTTGTGCCACACCTTACCTGTTTGATACACTTATTTCTTTCTTTCCCTGTTCTGCCCTTTTAAACAAGGGGCTGACTCCTATAGGCTACATTTTTCAGCCAAATTTGTCCCCTGAGTTTTGGCTGGGTTCAGCCATGGGAGGTGCTGGCAGGATACGAGGGCAGAAGAAAGGGAGGAATTAGGGTATTTCTTCCCCTCTTTTTACATCAGGGTGTTTATCCAGCAGGGGCTGCTTCTCATCTTTGTCTCTAGTTCCCACCCAAGATACCTGCTATCCCAGCTTTTGCCAGGTGATGTTTGGTGTTTGGACTCTGCACTTGGTCCTCTGTTTCAGGGAGAAGAGGCTTTCTGCTGTTGCTAAGCTCTGAATTGTTTGGCACCTCAGTCTTCTCTCCATTATGCAATGAATTCCCTGCACTAAATTATTCTGTTTCCAATATTTAAGTCCCAATAGCACTTTCTGCAGTGATGAAAACGTTCTGTATCTGCATTGTCCAATACAGTAGCCACTAGCAAAAGTGGCTATTGAGTTCTTACAGTGTGGCTAGTGCAATTAAGAAATGAAACTTTTAATGTTTAGTTAATTTAAGATCAATTTAAATTTAAATAGCTGCATGCGGCTTATGGCTACTGTACTAGACACTATAGCTCTATATTAAAGATATAATCTCTTTGTCCGAATTGCACAGCTTATTGTTTTCCTTATACAAAAGTTTCAATCTCTCTCCTCTCTCTCCCTTCCTCTTTCTCTAAAATCAATAAAAAGAAACTGAAAATTACCACCAGCCCAGAAAGTCCATATGCCTCTTCAGCATCAGTTGCCTAAAACTCTTATCAGAAGAAAGCATTGTTTTGTTTTGTTTTTCCACCATAGATTAGACTAGTCTCTTTTGGAATTTTATATAATAGGAATCATACCATATGTACTCTTTTGTGTGAGACTTTTTTTTGCTTAGCATAATGGTTTTGAGATTCAGCCATATTGCTATACATCAGTGGTTCTTTTTTTAAATTGCTCAGTAGTATTCCATGTTTGAATGTACCATAGTTTGCTTAGGCATTTTCCTAGTCATGGTCACCTGGGCTGTTTTTAGTATTCTTTTTTAAAAAGTATTTTGTACAGAATTTATAGTTGTTATTTGTGGAAGAGATGGATCCACATGGAATTTAGTTGGCCATATTGGAACCTTACATTTCTCTCTCTCTCTCTCTCTCTCTCACATACACATATAACAATTACATTATTAATCTGTTATAATAATCTAGCCCAGAAAAATTAAAAATCCAAATAATTTGTGGTGAATGAATTCCCCAAGCTGTGGTTTTATGTTTGAATTTTATTCTCTGTAATCAGATGACTATACATAATGTTTTAATTTGGTGTATGAACTCTTGATATAAGTACATTTAACAGTTTCACTAAATGTTATGACCAGATATAAATGTTACCTGGAAATTACTTATTTATAGAGCACAATAAACCATACACTTTCAAGTATGAATATGGCAAATCTCAGCCTAAATAAATAATTTATTCTTCATGAGATTAGGGGTTACCAATAGTCTAATGTCCATGTGTTAAATGAGGTTCTTGGCAATACTATTATATAAGCTTTTCATTTAATTACTGTTAATTTGAAATCAATAATTATTATTCTCTTTTGTATTTAAATAGTATCTTTTCCCATGAGGAGTTCAGTAATAGAGCATAAAATTTAATATTAAATAATTAGAAGACTTAATTTGTATATTTAATACAAATATTGAATAAAACTTTAGGAATTTTTTAGACTTCTAATAGCCATAAATATTTCAATAGCCTGTAGTGTTGCCAACAACTCCTTGCTATGTTTTTTAGCCAGTTAGCTGTCAGGAGTTGGAAACTCAGAATAGTAGATCTAATTTTCTGATATTAATTTTTACAACTTTATTACTGATCAAAATATTATTCACATGTTAAACTCAATAAAATAAACCAAAGTTTGCTGTTATAGAAGTCACTTTTGTGTTCGAAAACACAGAGTTGGCACATTTCTTAAGCATGAGTCTTTCTTTTCTAGCATTTATATTCCATTTTGACCTTTTAGAATCCTAATAATGCTGTAGGCTCTATTTGGATACCAGCAAAACTTGAGTCCTTCCTTGAAAACCAATTCTTTATGCTCCTAGCACTTACCATGATATGTAACATTTATATAAATTTATCATGTGTCCTTTCTTATCTTATAGTTTTATGCATACTTGTTTTACTTCTTCAGGTGAAGGGTAGAGATCGTATCTGTATCTGTTTGTAGATCGGATCTTGTATCTGTTTATAGATCGGATCTTGTATCTCCTATAGTACCTAGCACTGTGCCTCACAGCCAACTTTTGTTGGATGCAGGGAGGACTATAGAAGAAATATAAGAAATTGGTAGTCACGTTGAGGTGACCAGGCACTCACATGAATACTTGTATGCATAAAGCAACAAGTGATTGGGCATTGGTCTGAACATTTCCAAGTACTCGTTGGTATGAAATGATACTCGTTTTCTCTGTCTTCTGTCCCTAAACAGTACCCTTATTTCTTTTGTACAACTTCATTGCTGAATACTTTACCCATAGTAGTCTCATGTTTCTGGGATGGGTGGACAGTTGAATGACTGAGGCAGTAGATGGAATTAAAGATACAAGGGAAAGAGAGAGAGTGTGATGGACAGAATTTGTCTGGAAGGCCTCTCAGGTGATGGGGAATTTGAGTTGGAGCTGGATTTGATGGACAGGTGGAACTAGGATGGACAGAGGAGAAGGGGAAGACATTTTAGGTTGGAGAGTATAGTTGAAAAGTAGTTCTGGCTGGTTTGGATCAGCAGTTAGAGTGTCAGCCTGCAGACTGAAGAGTCACAGGTTTGATTCCCAGTCAAGGGCATGTACCTAGATTGCAGGTTCAATCTCGAGCCGCAGTCCAGGTTGTGTGGGAGGCAACCAATCATTGTGTTTCTCTCACATCCATGTTTCTCTCTCTCTCCCTTTCTTCCACTGTGTCTAAAAATCAATGCCTCAGGTGCGGATTAACAAAAAAAATAAAATAAAAAATAAAAGGCAAAACTAGGACGCGTCAGGGCATTGCACCAAGGACTGCTAGTGACAGCGTGAGCTGTGGACAGACAGGAGCAGGACCACATTGTTTTGCATCTTGCTTCCTTTGGCCTTCATAAGCACCATGTAGTCATTAGGTTCACTGGGGCTTATACTTGGTTTGTTGAATTTGGAATTGAACCTCAGTACGGTCACTTACTAGCTATGTGACCTTGGGTAGCCACTTGACCTTTAAGAGCCTCATATCCTCACTTGTAGAAGACAGATATTAGTAGTTGTGAGGAGTAAAATATGAAGTCCCTAGTGTAGTCCTAGGCTTTCAATATCTGTTTCTTTCAGAAACAGTGTAATTCCTAGTTGTAGAAACAGGCTTTTGCTATAATTTATTTATGCATGATATATACACAGTAGGGGAAAAGTAGGTTTACAGTTGTGAGTACATGAAACACAGTTTATTCTTGTATTATTATTTATTAATATATACTGTTTCTTCATACATGCCTGTGAAGAGGAGCTTTCTTAACCTTTCTCTCTCTTCTGCTTTCTTCCTCCATCCCGTCCTCCAACTTTTTGAGTATAATTATAGACATGTGAATTTTTAAACATTCACTATTCAGTGGGTTATAATAAATTACCATAATTATTATTTCCATACTTAAATTATCCCATATTTGGCTAGCGGGAGCTCCTTGAAACTAGCTGTGTTTTCTGTAACTTCATTTATTTTCTAACACTTTGCTTTCCGAGACAAGGTATTCCAGATTGGCTTTGTATTTTCTCGACCCTAAATGTGGGCTGAGCTATTTCCACAAGGGGCCTCTGTTCCTTTTAATAGAGAATGGTATTTAGAAACCAAGACCTGGTTGCAAGAGGTGATCTTTGCTACTGAAATGTTATGCTTCTAGGTGCTTTTAGTGGGCAGAGCCGGGGAATATGTTTTTTTGAAAAGTCATCAATTTATACAGATACCTTCAGTTTACATTCCAGTGTCACAGAGATCTCCCTTACCTTCCTCCATTTTACATTTGCATCTCTCTTCTCCAACATCATGAGTGTCTTCATTCATTAGTTCTCCCCTTCACTGTCCTTCAGTTGGTATTACAACACCAACATTACAACACTGGTAAGTCTAAGTAAACTTCAGAATTTCTTTGCAATCATTTTTGTCCTTAGAATACATCTCTCTAAGGATATACACTCAGAGTACTTGTGCTTGAATGTTACTTGAATTCTTTTATATATATATACAGTTAGGATCATTTGTTTCTGTTTTATTCAGCTTGAAGGTCTGGTTTTGCTTTTTCATCCTTTCTGAAGTCTCATTCCCATTTCTATTCCATCTACCCCATTCCCACTGATCCTCTATAGGATGAGAGACTTTTTTTTTCCATTTATTTTTATTTTTTTTTATTCAGACAGAGTGGGAGGGAGAGAGAAGAAGAGAGAGAAACATTGACGTGAAAGGGACACATTGAGTGGCTGCCACCCGCACAACCCAACCAGGGCCAGGGACTTCGGACAAACTGAAACCGAAGTACATGCCCTTAGCGGGAACCGAACCCGGGTCTCTCTGGACCGCAGGCCGACGCTCTAACTGCTGAGCAAAACCGGCCAGGGTGGATGAGAGACTTTTAATGTTTCACTTCTGAGCCATGTAAATGTTTTCCTTAAAATTAAACTAAAAAGGATGATCAATAAATAATGACTCAATTCTTAATAATGCTTTGTCTTATGTCAGATACTGTTTTTACATCAGCTTCCTTTTGCTAAGTTTTCAGTTTGCCTGATTGTCTTTTTCTATCCTCTTTAAACTTCAGCCTATATGTGACTATGTTTTAAGTGATATCTTATGTATGTAACTAGAGAATCTGATTTTCATCTAGGCAACTTTATGATCACCTGTATATTTGAATTGTTTTCTGCGATCTTATTTTTTTTGGCTTCTTCACTCCCACCCCTCATTTTTTTGTGTTGAGTTATTTTTACTTCATATTCTTTCTTTCTAATTATTTGGAAGTGGCACGTTCTGTATCTCTTCTTCTTCTTCTTCTTTTTTTAAAATCCTTACCTGAGGACATTTTCCCACTTATCTTCAGGTAGAGTGGGAGGGAGGGAGGAGAGAGAGAGCGAGAGAGAGAGAGCAAGAGAGAGAGAGAGAAAGAAACAGAAACATTAATATGAGAGAGACATACCAATTGGTTGCCTCCTGCACGACCCTGACCAGGGCCAGGACTGAACCACTACTGAGGTACGTGCCCTTGACCAGAATTGATCCTGCAGCTCGCTGGTCCAAGGGCCGACGCTCTGACTGCTGAACCAAACCAGCCAGGGCTCTCTCTCTTCTTTTCATGGTCATCGTTGTCATGGTATAGTTTGTACTGAGTACTCAGTCAAACAAACCCATACCTCTTTTCCACATGAACTAACAAAACAGGCTTGTTGAATTCTGAATTTTCACATGTAATTATTTTTTAATTGAGGCAAAGGGGACTCTTTTTTCACCCTAAACTTTATAATCTTGGTTTGGGAAGTAAGGGTCTTAGTCATGCTGTAAGAAGAAAGGTTGACAGATAGTTGGACTCACCACCACCTTTCTTTACAGCCTGCCAGCTCCCCGCCAGGACCCTAAGCACTGCTGAGGCCAGGGATGTCCTGCTCCATCGGTTATGCCCAGAAAAGTAGCTGTGCCTTAGCTAGTCCTCCATAGATATAGTAGTTGAATGAATGAGGTAGAAATATTTAGTCTGGAGAAGAACGAACGGGGTGGTGGTGAGATGCGGGACAGGAGACATTTTGGATCTTTTGGTTTGAAGGACTTGCATGTTGAACAGAAATGTTTATTACGGCCCTGAGGATTGAAGTCAGCACTACACGCGGGAAACAGAGCTATCTACTCTCAGGTTTGTGTGGAGGTTAGGTAGTCAGTGGCTTCATTATATTGTCAGGTCCCAGCTATTGCAGAGAGTTTGTTAGAGATAAATTGGAAGGGATTAAAAAGGCCTCAATTGCTCTGAGATTTTATGCTAAGTAGATGAGATACATTGCTATCCTTAATTTACAGCCAGATATTTAGGCTCACGGTTAAATTGGGTTTTTTAATGTAGACTTAGCTGGTGATCTTAACGATGCTACTCTAGTGATCACAACACCGAGTAGCCATTCGAAGCACTCCTCGCTCTGTGTGCCTCCTTGGTAATCCCGAATGTCCTGGCGTTTTCAGTACGGGCAAATTAAAAAGGCAGTAAATAGGTAGATCCGTTGAATGGCTTTACATATTTTATCTTTTCTATAGCAAAGGAAACAGTGAAAGGCAGCTTTCATATTTTTTCTGAATTTTGCTTGAGTTTTCTTTTCATTTAATTATAGAATTATCTTAAGCCACTTTGACTTAGATGTTTGCCGGGAGTGATATACAAATTGGGACAAGGAAAATGTAGTTGTATTAGAACCTGAAAAATCTAAATTAGTGCCTTGAAGGATGGATGTAACAAAAAGTCTCTTCTCTTTCCCTTAGGGCTGCTGCTCAGAGTAAATTAGGTCACTACACGGATGCAATAAAGGACTGTGAAAAAGCAATAGCAATCGATTCAAAGTACAGCAAGGCCTATGGGAGAATGGGGTAAGTTCTGGGAGAGTGTTCAAAGTAGTTCCAAGTTGTATCAGATAAACTGTTCTTAATGGCCTGGTTTTGAACTTCCTGCTTAATATTGCATCCTCTCAACTAATAAGAAGAAAAATATAACACTGAGGGAGGAAACACCTGCCGTTTCTGTGACCTGAGAGGAACATGATTAGTTGTGCGAAGAATGGTTGGTTGTTGCAGACAATCATATAACCGTAATGAGTAGATTCACTTCATGTTCAAGACCACAGATCTCACGAGTACTCAGTATTTTGGCAGACAGTCTTACTACTACATATATTTCCTTCTAACTTCACCCTACCACTCTCTGAGTTGACTGCTTACACCTACTCCTCTCTTCAGAATTCCTCTACACCCTCCATGGTGATTCTCTGCTGATGATACTGTCTTCTACTTAACTGAGAAAACAGTGGCTCATCTTCCTACTGTCAAATCCTGATCTACCTGCATCTGAATCTACACAGATTGCCTTTTCTCCTGTTAAAAAGGAAGGGTTCTTATCCAAGACTGTTGCCTTCATTCATGCTTGAGATCTCATCCCTTTGTACTTTCTCCAATTGCTTTATCTTCTGCAACATCCGGTTTCCTGTCTCTAACAGCGATAATGACTGCATGTGAAAAGGTCACAGAGTCAGCCATTGGAACCATCCTCACACACAGTTATGTTATTTCTCAGTTCCTCTTTCTCTGCAAAGCTCCTGATATTGGTCTGTACTTCCTGTCTCACCTTCATCAACTCTCAGGCTCTCTTCAGCTCATTCTGATAGGGCATTTGTCTACAGCACTCAACTGACAGCTCTATTCAAGGTCACTGGTTGTTGACATTTTGCTAAGGCCAAAGTTCAGTTCTGTATCCTCACCTACCCATCTTTTAGTATTTTGCAAGATTAACTTATATTTGAAATACTTCATACTCTAGGCTTCTGTGATAACCTCCTTCCTTGTTTTCCTTCTACTTTACTGGATGCTCTTTCCCAGTCTCCCTTACTGGGTCTCCCTTCTTTACCACCTCTAGATAACGGTGCACTTCAGGGCTCTCTCCTCCCCTCTGCTGCTGCTGTCTGTTTATTCTCTCTTCTGATTTCATCCTGTCCCATGCTTTTAAATTCCATTTACAGTTGATACTCATTATTCATGGATTCTGTATTTATGAATTCACCTACATACTTGCTAATTTTTTTTGGTAACCCCAAAATCAAGTCACTGTGCTTTTGTGTTCATTCACACTGTGGTGAAAAATTTGGGTCCCCTGATGTATAGGATCTCAGCTGAGGTTAGATAAGGCGATGCTCGGCCCTTCTGTTTCCACTCTCAGGCCGTGAATGAGTGTCCTCTTTGCAGTTTATTTAATGCTAGGTTTGTTTGTTTTTTTTGCATTTGTGTGCTTTTTGTTGTTGATTTTCCTGTTTATAGTGGACCCACACATAGACTGAAGTGTTGTCTAGTGTTTCTAAGCGCAAGAAGGCTGTAATGTGCCTTATGAAAAAATACAGGTTAGATAAATTTGGTTCAGGCATGAGTTAGTGCTGTTGGCGTGAGTTCGATGGTAATGAATCAATACTATATATTAAATAAGCAGAAACACAGAAAACAAGATTATGTGTTTCTTTAAGCAGAAACACACATAAAACAAGATTATGTATTGATCAGTTGATGAGAATGTTGAGGCCAAAACCTCATAGGAACCTAACCGTATATTTCCCCTAGAAGCAGTTGTTCAATATTCGCTAAATCCATGTTTATGGTGACTTTATAGAACATAAATACTCTGAATAATGAAAATCAACTCTATATGTTGATGGATCTCTTAAATTATTATATATCTTAAGTTTATATGTCTGAATTCCATATCATATTCAACTTATTTTCCTCTCCATTTATATATTTAATAGGCATTTAAATTTATTTTTATTTTTTTACCTTCACCCAAGGAGATATATATATATATATATATATATATATATATATATATATATATATATATATATGTGTGTGTGTATATATATATATATATGTGTGTGTGTGTGTGTATATATATATATATATAATTATTTTTTAATCCCCACCCAAGGATATTTTTACATTTTATCTTCAGACAGAGTGGGAGAAGAGAGAGAGAGAGAGAGAGAGAGAGAGAGAAACATTGATGTGAGAGAGACACATCAATTGGTTGCCTCCCGCACAAACCCAATCAGGGCCAGGGACGAACTGCAACTAAGGTACATGCCCTTGGCCAGAATCAAACCTGGGACTCTTTGGTCCGAAGGCCGATGCTCCAACTGCTGAGCCAAACTGGCCAGGGCGAGCATATTTTTACATTAATCTTCAGATAGAGCTGGAGGAAGAGAGGAAGGAAGAGAGAGAGAGAAACATAGATGTGAGAGAGACGCATTAATTGGTTGCCACCCATACAACCCCAACTGGGGCCGGGAACGAACTGCAACTGAGAAATGTGCCCTTGGCTGCAATTGAACCCAGGACTCTGATCTACAGGTGACGCTCTTACCGCTGAGCCATACTGGCCAGGGTGGCATTTTAAATGCAACATGTCCCATTCTTGGCCGGGTGACTCAGTTGGTTGGAGCATCATCCTGCACACCAAAAGGCTACAGGTTTGATTCCCAGTCAGGGCACATATCTAGGTTGCGGACCCAAACCCAGCTGGGGAGTGTATGGGAGGCCACTGATTGATGTTTCTCAAATTGATGTTTCTCTCTCTCTCTAAATCAATAAAAAAAGTATCCTCCAGTAAGGATTAAAAAAATTTTTTTCACACGTCCCAAACAGAAGTCTTGTTCCCTTCTTAAATCTTTCCCATCCCAGGGCTTGAGTCAAAAGCCTAGGAGTTGTCCTTCATTCTTATCATACCTGGCACATCTAACCTGTCAGCAAGTCCTATTCATTTCTGTTCTGACATACATATATCTTGAATTCAAGCATTGATTGCTATCTTGTTTAGGACCCTAGTCCAAACTGCCCTCTCTTACCTAGGCTACTACAGTAGTTTCCTAACTGGTCTCTCTGCCCCGCACCCCCAACATCCCAAGTCGATCCTCTGCAGAGAAGCCAGAGAGAGCTTTCCAAAGCATAAATCAGATCATGTCACTCCCTTGCAACCAGAATAAAACCCAGACTCCAAACCATGGTTCTATATTATCCCCACCAGATTACTCCCTGACATCATCCCTTTCCAGTTTTCTGTGTTCCCTCCCAGCCCCTGTCCCATTCCGGAAGCATACCATGCTCGCATCATACTATGCTCGCATCATTCCCAGGGCCTTTGTGTTTACTGCTGCTGCTGGTTAGCGTGCTCCTCCCTGCTCTTCATGACTTCTGTCTTATCATCATCTAGGTCTTTGTAATGTGGCTGCCTTTGAGCAATGTTTTTATTGATTATTTAGAGAGAGGAAGGGAGAGAGAGACAGAAATATCGATATGAGAGAGAAGCATTGATTGGCTGCCTCCTGCACAACCCCATTGGGGATCAAGCCTGAGACCCACCCAGGCATGTGCCCTGGCGGGGAATTGAACCAGGACCTCTCAGTCCATGGGACAACGCTCAGTCCACTGAGCCACACTGGCCGGGCCCTATTTATTCTCTTTAATGTTACTCTCTTTTATTTGCATAGTTATTGCTTGTTTTCCTCAGGTAGAATGAAATTTCCTTAAACTCAAGAGCTTTACCTTTTTTAATCGTGCCTGGTGCATGATAGGGTTTGAGTATATGTTTATTGACTCTTCATTAAAAAATTGAGGACTTTGATGAATTACCTTTCATGGTTGACTGGTAGAAAACTAATTAAGGTCTATGAATTTTTCTGTGTCTAGGCACTATATTTTACTTACATCAGAAGTCTGTGAGGTAGGTCAGCCATGACTTAATTTGTTAAAAACAACCGTAAAACAAATAAAAACCTCAATGCTATGTATCCATATATGCCATTATTGTTTAGTTCTAAAGTAATTTTCCAATAAATAAATTCTAACTAGGTGGAGGAAAGCAAACATTTAATAACTAACTCTGTGACTGGGATAATAATGTCTTAGGTTGTAAAGGATGCTAATTTTATCTATTTAGCAGCTAACATGTATTGTTCAGGAGTACCCCACAGCCAATTTTTATTTTTTATGGTGAATTGATATTTGTCGTGACACAATGTCTCTGCTAGGACGTAGGAAGAAAGTGTGACATTCTGAAGCACAAATTTAGCTCAGATTCCTTAAAGTGGTTTTAACATTATGGAGTTACATGACCACAGGATTGTGAGTCAGCTCACATATTTGTACGGTGTAATCATTCATAAAGCAAATTACTTCACATATCAGGCTTAAAAATGGAAGGGTAGGTAAGGTTCCTTTCTAAGCATCAAGTTCATGGTTAATGTAGGACAGCTAAGGTTGTCAGCAAGCAGTATGGAGAGTGCAAACTTTCAGAATCTTGGAAATAGAAGGAATTTTAGTGATGCTCCTGTGAACCTTAGTATAATTAATAAATACATTAAGTGTAACCTGGATTCTGATTGAATACCAAGACAAATGTTTATCTATGTTTGTGGATATCTTGATACTCTTTAATCATATATCTTATACCCGTATACTTTATTCTTTTCAGGCTGGCCCTCACTGCCATGAATAAATTTGAAGAAGCAGTTACAAGTTATCAAAAGGCATTAGATCTTGACCCTGAAAATGATTCCTATAAGTCAAATCTGAAAATAGCAGAACAGAAGTTAAGAGAGGTATCCAGCCCTGTAAGTTATTAATGCTAAATGAGTGAAATAGTTTCTGTCATTCACAATTTATTGTCATCAGATTGCAGTGGTTAGAATAATTCTGATATAATTGTTTTACAGACAGGAACTGGATTGAGCTTTGACATGGCTAGCTTAATAAATAATCCAGCCTTCATTAGTATGGTGAGTATATTTCTTTTCTGCTCTGCTGGCTCTGTTTTCCATGAAGAAATATAGTTCAAAAACGTTTTAGAAACAAATAAGGGCGCTTTTGTGTCTGTGGTACTGGTAATAGAGTGGAGATATCATACTATGGCTGAGATTTTTAACCTGCCTGTGTACCTGTTTGTGAGAAAGCCACGGATAGACTTCAGGAAACCAATGGATTCCTACAAATTGTATATAAAAATTTGTTTACACATGCATATGTGCATTTTTCAAGGGCGAGAACCATACTTTTCATCAGATTGGCAAAGGGGTCTGCAAATCTACAAAAGGTTAAAAACCGCTTTCTTACATGAAAATGGCCCTGGGAAGGTATCTGGTAACTGAGGTCTGAGGATTTGGTTATTGTGGTTCCCTATGCTCTCCCTTCAGCATTGTCTGCTTCCTTTCTATCTTAAGAGTTCATTTGACTTTTTAGTATCATTCTTACATATGTATTCGCCATCCTTCAAACCAACAAAATTACTTAGAGATCTTTTTGAAAACACACACACTTTGGTACATGATATGGAAACTCTGGTTTAGTGAGTCAGGGATGTTACCTGGGCATATAAAGCGGCTCTGGTGTCTGCATGCTTCTGGCCGACAACAGTTCTACCAGATGCTTGCCCTCGGGAGGCGGGGCCGCATCTTTGTTTCCTTCAAAAAATGTCTTGCATCCACTAAATTTTCAGCTGAATTGAAATGTACAGATGGCTCATTTCTAGTGAGATAAAAAAGTCTCTTTGAACATAGCAATTGGTAGTTTAAAAGTGTTAGTTGAAGTCTCTGTAGACAGTAGTTATTTTTAATCACTGACCCTAAATGAGGTGTTGGGAAAGCCATCACTCGCTTTTATTACTGGAGAAATAATTGTCGGACTGACTAGCAAGCAATTCAGTAACTCTTGAGTCTCAGGACTGAGGCCAATCAAATTTAAGTTGGCCTTGCTACCTAACCAGTAAATGTGTCCCTCTGTAGGTTTTGTGACATTTTTGAACATTGTTACCCATTTCCAGGCCTCAGGTTATGCTGTTGTAGGATGTGAAAAAGGATTTTAGTTCCCAATTCAGCTGAGCCTTCCAAGAAGCTTGAAGTGAGATGTAAGACTACCATGTAGGAGGTGCAGAGGTGGGGGTTAAACACATACTGTGTGACATTCTTAAAAGGGGTCAGGTTGAGAGGGATTAAAAGAGGATTCTTAGAGATGCAAATTAAAACAACAATGAGGTATCACCTCACACCTGTCAGAATGGCCGCCATCAACAAAGCATCAAACAAGTGTTGGCCAGGGTGTGGAGAAAAGGGGACTCTAGTACACTGCTGGTGGGAATGCAGACTGGTGCAGCCACTATGGAAAACAATATGGTGTTACCTCAAAAAATTAAAAATTGAATTGCCATTTGACCCAGTGATTCCACTTCTAGGAATATACCCTAAGAAGCCTGAAACACCAATCAGAAAGAATATATGTACCCCCATGTTCATAGCAGCACTATTTACAATAGCTAAGATCTGGAAACAGCCCAAGTGTCTATCAGTAGACAAATGGCTAAAAAATCTGTGGTACATATACACAATGGAGTACTATGCAGCTGTAAGAAAGAAAAATCTCTTATCCTTTGAGACGACGTGGAGGGACCTGGAAGTATCATCCTAAGTGAAACAAGCCAAGCAGAAAAAGACAAATACCACATGATCTCACTTATATACGGAGTATAATGAACATAACAGTCTGAGGAATAGGGTAGACTCAGAAACATGGAAGTAGGGCACAGACTGACAATACTCAGCAGAGGGGGTAGTGGGGGGAGGGAAGAGATAAACCACAGAACTTATATGCATGTACGCATAACCAATGGACATGGACAACAAAACCAGGGACGGGGCAGGGGGGATGGGGAGGAGGGTGCCATGGGGTAAAAAAGGAGAAACATTGTAACAAAAATAAAATTAAAATAAATAAAAATAAAATAAAAGAGAGGATTTTTAAGGACAACTATTGGAGTTACTACTGTCTATGCAGAATTTGACTCAATATAAATTTTACATGAATATTGTTGACTATCAATTTGAGGCAAAAAAATTGTTTATACTTTCAAAATGATAAGTTTCAAAAGTATGTGTGTAGCCTTGGCCGGTTTGGCTCAGCGGTTAGAGCGTTGGCCTGCGGTCCCGAGAGACCCGGGTTTGGTTCCCGCTAAGGGCATGTGCCTCGGTTGCAGTTTGTCCCTGGCCCTGGTTGGTCGTGCGGGTGGCAGCCACTCGATGTGTCCCTTTCACATCGATGTTTCTCTCTCTCTTCCTCTCTCCCCCTCCCACTCTACCTGAACAAAAAATAGAAAAATGTCCTCAGGTGAGGATAAAAAAATAATAATAATAAAAAAGAAAAGAAAAAAAGTATGTGTGTATAAATACACTTCTCCCACTTAAGCATGACAAATTTGAAACTACCAAGTCCCATGGAGCCAGGTCACATCTGTACAAGTATTTTGTTTTTTAATCCTCACTTGATATATTTATTTTCCACTTATCTTCAGACAGAGTAGGAAGGATAGAGAAAGAAAGAGAGAAGAAGAGAAACATGGACTGAATGCCTCCGCACGACTTTGACCAGGGCCAGGGACCGAACATGCCTATGACCGGAATCAAACCTGTGACTCTTTGGTCCGCGGGCTGACGCTCTAACCACTGAGCAAAACCTGCCAGGGATAAGAGTACTTTTCTGAAGTGGATCCTGTTAAGTGTAGGATATTCTTTATACTTTTAAAGTTTCTATTTCTCCATTTGACTTTATTGACCTGATCAGTGGTAGTAAGTATACTGTGGTCAATATCCTTAGTTTATCATGTTGTTGGTAGTCTCTCGATCCTTGCAAGTATTTTAAGTGCCATTGTTTTCTAGTACTTCCTACATTCCCATTCACTTTGTATAGCACACTAAAACTCTACAGAATGTTAGTCCACACGTGGTTTAGCTTTCATTACTGACTTTTTTTAAAAAAGAAATCTTTGTTAAAGATTCCTAAATATTAACTACCTTTAATGAGAGATGCCATTTTTCAATTCCAGGCAGCAAGTTTAATGCAGAATCCTCAAGTTCAACAGCTGTAAGTATAGAGAAAGAGCGTATCACATTCCCATTTGACAGCTCCTAACTTGAGCACATCAACTCCAAAGTGACTAACTATCCAATCTGCCAGTCAATTGGCATTTAAAGTCACACCGTGTAGCCTAACCCTCTACACAGTGTAGGTAATATTGAACTGACTTTTCTTTGGCCAGTATCCTCCTTGTGAAGACTATATGTCAATCCAATGATATACCTCTCGCCTACTCTAGAATGTCAGGAATGATGACAAATGCCATTGGGGGACCTGCTGCTGGAGTTGGGGGCCTAACTGACCTGTCTAGCCTCATCCAAGCGTAAGTGTTGCTTAAAATAGAAATAGTAAACAAGTGTTTGTTTTAGTTTGTCTGTAGTTAGAAATAGTAAGACAAAGTATTTTATGTTTCAGTTTGTCTCTAAAGTGAGGGGACCAGGGCTTTCTTTGTTAATTTTTATCATTTACTGTATCAGTGGCCTCACTGGTTATTAAATTTAAAAAGAGTTCATAAGTTGGAATTTTCAGACTGAAGGGCAGGAATCCAGCTCTGCATTCAAGAAAACGTTTTTCAGATTTGAACAGCCAGGCAAGGGTGGAGATTAAAGTCAAGTAGCTACTTCAAGTCTGCATTAATTTATGGGCACCTGTATCAATGTTCAGACAATCTAGGAAAGCATTCTATTCAAGCTTTTCAGTGCATGTTATCACTAAAGGAACTCCGTCATCTTGTTACCTTCACTTCCAACCAAGCTGCTTAAGATATTCTGCTTTTTGAATCTGTGTGATGCTGTCACTGAAGGTTTTATCTGAAGCCATAGGTATCATTTGCTGTTTGTGATCATGACCATGTATGTAACCCCATGTGCAATATTGCATTTTTAGAGTGATCTTTAAGTGGCATGATTATAGTGGTGTCTCACACATGCAATGGAGGGTCACACATCAGGACTCTGTATTAAATTTGCCTTTTTAAAAATCAGTTTTGTTCAGTGACTTCTATACACATCCCAAAATGGGTGTGACATCCGCCACATAGGAGACTATTAAGATTTGACTATAAGACCAAATAACTGGCATTGTGTTTGAGCACATACAATAAAAGTAAATACTTTGGAGCCCTCTGTTTATATGTGGTTAGGCACGAGAGGGGATAGATTTCACCCAATTCAGGAACTTTTTAGCTTGGGTGTTTCATTTCTTATAAAGAACAGTGCTTTGTCATAACATTATATGAACGCATTGGTAAACTTGCAGATACTGCAGTTGTGATTCGAAAACTTGTCCTTCTAGAAGTTCCCTTTGGGTAGTACCCACATCCTCTGCAGTTTTTTTACAGGTATTGTGTAACTGGGACTCCGCTACTCATACCACTTTCCCTCTTCACTCACAGGGGACAGCAGTTTGCTCAGCAGATACAGCAACAGAATCCTGAACTTATAGAGCAACTGAGAAATCACATCCGGAGCAGATCCTTCAGCAGCAGCACTGAAGACCATTCCTGACTTGACCAGGGGCCGTAGAATGCAAACGGTTATGGCTCTGAAGTGTCTGCTGTAGATAGTGGCCAAAACACCTAAAGAATAAATCTGTCTAGACAATAGGTTTATCACAGATTGAGCATAACATGACTCCTTTGTAAATGGTCAGTAGCCTTGCTAAGTGCCAATGCAGCACACAGCAGGGTTCCATTTTCAAACCTTCATCATCATATCTGTATATTAGACTTAATAGTGAGTTCTCTAGCTCGCAATTCCCATTAGCAAACATTTTGAAGGGGAAGATAAGCAAGAGGAAAGGTTCCAGATGCTGGCTTAGGAGGAATGGACTTGCCACTGAGCAGCACGTCTGGAGAGGAGAAATCTGTTATGTAGGTTTAGTCTCAATAGTGCTCTCAGTAATGAATATGCACATAGGAGCCAGTACTGTCTTTAATGCTGCTTGTTTCAGTGGGTGGCAGGGAGTCTTAAGAGCTGGTGGGAAGCAGAATTTGGTGGAAGGGTGGTGGTTCTGAAAAGAAAGGCTAGATACTGTGAATGGATAGAAAGTGAAGGTAGGTAGGATGCTCAGGTTTTTGCATAGTTCTTAACTAATCTTGCCTGCAGTTTGGTATTTATAAGATTAGCATGGCCAATTATGCTAAGTACATAATAAAATACATTTAGAAATCCTTACTGGTATTGGTTAGGTCAGTCATATAACTATTCAATTTAACTAGCACAACTTCCCCGGTGGTGGACTTACCATGGAAACTCTCAAATATACCTACATTTAAATAAGCCAATGACTTGGGTCTTAAGGATTTTCTAAGTGGCATTTAATTATGTGCTCATAGACAGATTTTATTTTTAATTCAGTAATTATTTGATGGATTACAGAAAGCACCTGTCATTAACAATGTTTGTTCATGTAATCCTCTGCTCTGATTAGCTTTGGCATGTTGTTTTTATGCTTAACCTTAATTTGATGCAACTTAAACATAACAGGGGACTTAAAATATTGTATTTAAATTAGAATACATATTCGTGGAGAGAAATGACATTGTTAGGTATTAATGGCATGGCTCTAACTAGAATGATTAGACGACACTGTTTTAACTGGAATTTCTTTTGTTTGTTAACTATGAAATAGGTAAAGTTGGGCAGACACGTAATGATTTCACAAGTGTTGTGAGAGAAAACTGAAAGAGATGTAATATTAACCAGGGCCTTATTATAACTATTCTCCTCAAAAGACCACGTTATCTTGAAGTATAAATACCAACTTTTCCTCTCTTTCCCTTTGTGAGATTAGGCCAGTAGTTGTATAATTTCACTGTAAGAATCATCTGGTGAGTTTGTTGAAAATGCAGATTCAGGACTATACTTTCAATTTTTATTTAGTAGGTCCTGTAAAAAGGAAGCATCATTTTAAACAGTACACCAGGTGGTTCTGATATAGATCCAAAGATTCTAAATTTAGAGCAACACTAGGTTACAAATGTCTTGTCAATTAGACCAGCAAATACCTAACGCCTCTGGGTTTAGGCTACAACGATGACCTATATGAACCTATGTCCAGAGAAGAGCAGAACTTAAGTCTTAGGCCCTCTGAATTAAATCTCCTATATTCCATCTAAACCAACTTAATTTTTTCATAAATTCAGCTCACCTAGCATTCAAATTTTATATAGAATGAAAGATGAATTACATGAAAGTGATGACATTGATGAAAAAAAGCAAAGCTGATCCTTAATTAAAAATTAATCACTCTTATCCAATATTGGGTAAGAAAAAGTTTCTAGCATAACTATCTTGAGTGCATTAAAATGCTTTCAGGTTGATAAACTGGTAAGCCTCTAGCTCACTAACTAGGAAAAGTGAGAAAATGCAAATCAACATCAGAAGTGAAGGAGGGAATATCAATGCAGACCCTGCAGACATTAAAAGTATCATTAAAAAATACTACAACTAACATTAGGTCCATATATTCAACAATATTAACTTAAACGAAACAAACTCCTTATAAGACAAAGTATTGAGCTCACTGAAGAAATAGATATTGTCTAGAAAACAAGGCTCCAGTCCAAAACAACTGCAATGGGGAATTCTACTAAAAAAATTAAGGGAGAAATAATATCAATCTACACAATCTTTCAGAAAACAGAAGAGGAGGAAATAATTCACCACTCATTTTATATACCTATTACTCTGAAACTAAAATTAGACAAAGACATAATAAGCAAAACCCTTTATTTTTTAAAATATATTTTTATTGATTTTAGAGAGGAAGGGAGAGAGAGAGAGAAACATCAACATTGACTGGCTGCCTCCTGCATGTCCCCTGCTGGGGATTGAGCCCATAACCTGGGCATGTGCCCAACCAGGAATTGAACCAGCAACCTATTGGTCCACAGGTTGACGCTCAGGAGCGACACTGGCTGGGCTATAAGCAAAACCCTGTAAAAGAATGTCTTGATTTGCTAACATGTGAAGATAGCCACTTTTTACAAGTAATTGGAATTGATGTATTTCTTCCGTTTTATCTCTCTATATTGTTTCTTTGCTAATATACCACCCATAACAAATTCAGACTAAATGATACCTATTCACTCATCTGGATTTCCATGAGATTCAAGCCATTTTTGCTCTTCAAGTACCTTCATCAATTTGGAATCACTGAATTTCAAGAAAGCTTTGTGTAGTTGGATTTTGCTAGCTACTCATACAATTATAAGAAATGCCCCAGATATTATTCTTGCTCATCTGAAATAAGGCATTTAAAGTAAATCTTTATATACAATCTACTTTGGAATGATTGACTTCCATTAACCACATTTCATTGTAGTAGCTGTAGCTATTATTATGCTATGTAAAACTTAAAATGTCTTTTTTATGCAAATAACATTTTCATTTGATGTACCAAACTGTTTACCTAATTTTTATAATATGGTTTAAACAGATCCTTTCTAAAACAAGATTATCTAACTTTTATTTAAAAAATTAACAATATGTGTCTAGGTTATTGCTTGTAAAAAGAGACTTTGTAATCAAATCAAACTATATAGCACATTCCAAGTGACCATTATATGTTACTTTTAAATTTTGAAACAGAGTGAAATAGAAGGTTCAGCCATAAGGAAAATGCTTGAAAAACCATGGAAGTGCCAAGTGCAGTGGCTATAGAGTCTTATTTATCATTTAATCAATCTTATTCATTTTGAAGAGAGACAGATGTTTTATACTGCTTGCACTTTATTTTGCGCAGACATTTCATTAATTATTACTCTAACTTAAGGGGCAAATCTCACTCTGAATATAGCTTTCATTTTGGACCAATTTGTCATGGCAATAAATAATTATGCACTTAAGAAAACCAATTTTTGTATTTGACTTAATATACTCTCTCTTACATTTAAGCAATTATATATACATCCCTACATTTCAACTTACCAAAACAAGTGTTTATTTAACAGCATAACCTTTTGTTTTCCTGACAAAATATTGAAACATTTATTACATTCATGTTGCAAAGTTGTTTACAATCTTAACTTTTTCAATGTTTTGTTCAGGGCATAAGTAAATTCATGTGATTACATGCAGAGATAGAAAGTTTTATAATATTAATACATGATTTAGAGTTCAAAATCAAATTATCAGAAGCTGGAAATCCTTTAAATATGCCCATGAGAATAAGTGGCTTATTATTATTATTTTTTTTTTTAGGGAAAAAACAGGACTTTTGGACTTAGAAAAGTATCAAGCTTCTTAGTTAAAAGTTAACAGAATAATCGACAATGTAAGAAATAAAACCAATTCTGATCTGCTGTTAGTAACTGAAACTTAGACATGTGCAGGGTTGTACACAAACACAGATACACACCAACACAATAATTTGAAAACATCTATAAGAATTCATACTGTGCTAGCAAATATAAGGTTACTTGGGGACCATCCTAGTTTCTTTAAACAAGTTTCTGTTGACTAAGGAGCTAGGAAAAAACTGGAGTTAACTGAAATATTTCTGAATAATGTATTATAAAAATTCTGAAGTTTTTAGAAACAGCTGTCAACAAATTGCAGCCTGCAGGCCAGCTGCCCCATTTTGTAAACACCCCTGGACTCTTTTTGCCTATTGGCTGATCTCACACTACAACAGCATTTCCAATAGAAACCACATGGCCTGCAAAGCCTAAAATATTTAGAATCTGGGCCTTTACATAAAAATGTTGCTGATCCCTGGCCTAGATACTTGCTAGAGACAAATGGCCTCAAATATAGAGCTTTTAGAGAACAAAGTCCAATGGTCATCTAACTGAAACAAATAGATATGTATAGAAAATATACACGTTCTTTTAAAATACAACTCTCAAGATAAAATCAGTAGATGGTCTTTTCAAAACAAATATTTAATATTTTAACTGTTTTACAGGAAACTTAAATAATATATACTTATTTTTACTGTTCATCATTTTACAAAGGCAAGAGAAATACAGAAAGTTTTCTAAAACTCAATGGAAAGCATAACATTGGACATTTTCTTCAGCTTTCCACTTTAGTGGCCGAAGATACCACACAGACTTGTGCGATGTCATCATACTCGTATGTTCTCTTTAGAAACGTGTCTGTTAGTCTTAAGCCGGAGACGCTCTATTGAGAGAAAAATATAGGCCTAAGTTTTCATTCAGTGGTAATCACTAGAGAAAATATGGATACAGTACATGATAATGGGTTAAGAGCTCCCAAATACTGAAATTATTGAAAAGAGAACATACCTGCAGTCCCTGTACTGACGACAGTAGAGTAAGGGCAAGGCAGAGACAGGAACTTGGGTGTAGCTTTCCAAGCTGTCTTCCTGAAATGCCGCACCAGTGGATAGAATTGGTATTGCACATTTCCAAAACGAGGTCCATAGTCCTCTCACTGCTGGGGGAATCAAAGAAAAACGGGAATAAATCTTGGTTCCTTTCCTAAGAGGTATGCGATATTCTTGCATTACAGCCAGTGAATTTGTTTTCTGGGTGTCCAGGAGAATTAAAAGCCAGAAACAGAAATTAAAGTATATCATTTTGATTTCACTTAAGATAGAATCAGGAAAATGAAAGAAGACAGTATCTTCCAGGGTTTAAAGTGTCACTGAGAATTTGCTGGTTCTATCACTAAACACTTGGCTCCCTGCAGCTGATCTGTGAGTAGCTCTGCCATTTCTCTGGGAGGCTTCCAGACATCTGTGTCTAATCTTGTTGCTATGCATCCGTCACTATTTCTGTTAGGTAATATACAGGGAACAGAGTGACAAGCTGTGTCTGGTTCAGTGCTTTTTCTATTTAATGTATGTTTCTTTACCATGGAGATAACACAGAAAATTACTGACAAGATTTATAAGAAGTAAATACTATTCAGGTTTGTTCACTATTAACATAAAAAGCCTGCTTCTGCTCATAATTGATATTGCTAGTTCTGCTTAAACATGTTAAATTTAAACAACTTTTAATGAAAGTATGCACATTGCTTAAAGAGAAAACAAAGGCTCATAATGAAAAGTAGTCTCCTACTCTACTACCATTCATGACTGCTTTAAACTCTTTTATCTTTTTTTTTCTTCTCATAGTTGGCTCCATATTTTAAAATACTTATTTAAATTTTAATTTATTGATTCTTAGATATAGTGATTTAATGATACTTAGCTTTTATAGGTCTCTGTCTCCTAAACAAACATTTGAAATATCTACTGTGCCACAGACCAGGTTAAATGCACTACATAAATTTTCTCATTAAATTTCACAAAAATCTAGTAAGTATGTTGTATGTGTCTGTGTGTTGGGGATTGTGTGTGTATGTGTGGGGGAGTGTGTAAATCCCATTTTTATAGATGAGAGAACTAAAGATCTAAGAAACAAGTGCTTTTTTATTTTTATTTTGTTTATCTTCACCAGAGGATATTCTTCCATTGATATTTTTAGATACAGTGGAAGGGAGGGAGAGAGAGAGGGAGGGAGAGAAACATTGACATGAGACACATCAATTGGTTCCCTCCGGAACAACCCTGACCGGGACCCAGGATTGAACTTGCAGCCCAGGTACATGCCCCTGACCGGGAATTGAACCTGAGACCCTTTGGTCCATGAGCTGACACTCTAATCACTAAGCCAAACTGGTCAAGACACAAGTGCTTTTTTTAAAAAAAAACTTATTTGAATCACCAAAATTTAAAGTGAACCCAAAAATTTTTTGACAGCATTTTGTCATTTGGTCAATAACGGATTTGCTATACGTCAAAAAACTTTTAACAAAGAAAATCCAAAACCACAGAATGCAAAGGGTCTTCACCCTGTGTGTACTGTGTGCTGAGCTCCTCTGATATAGTCGGCCCTGCATTTACAATCCTGGTAACACATGGGCCCTTCTCTTGAATAATTCATAGACTAGAAAGCGAAAGACTAATAACTGTAGCAATATATCAGTGTCACTAAAAACTATATTAAAATTTGCTATGACAGAGAAAGGAATGATGAACTGAGCATGGGAGGGTCTAGGTAGCTTCATTGGGGAAGTAAATATTTTTGTAATTTTGAAGGATGACTCTTTCCTATCTCCTTCTAGTACTGTAAGGTGGAAATGGAATTTAAAAAGATTACACATTCAGACAGTGAGGGTTAGGATTCATCACTGTAATATGATCAAAATGCCCCAAATAATAATACATACCAAGTAGTAACAGAAGGAGTAACAAAAGTGATAGGACTGGGATTTAATCCTAGACTTTTCTGACTTCAAAGCTCTGTGCTCTGCTTCCTAATAACTAGATTATATTCTCTTTTTATTATCCAAGTTCTGTTTTCCAATCTATGGTTACCCCTTACATTAAATTCATAACCTATTTTTACCTTCTTAATACTAAAGATACAACCTCAGGTATAAGTATGGCTCAGAAAAATCTGCCTTAGTACATTAAACCTATAATATATTATTCCATAAGAACCTACTATCTCATGCTTTGGTAATCTGAAGCGTGAGGGAAATGTAAACAAAGACAGAATATGGACTTTAAAGTCAAATATACACAGTTTCAAATCTGGCTCCCTGAGCTTAAATAAAATCATTTACCCCCGAGTTGGCTTTCTCTTGCTTAGACTGTGAATAATGAATACCTACCTCATAGGGTATAATGCATGAATGTAATCAAATACATAAACTGCCTAATGCAGTAGGACCTCGAAAGTATGTAATATAAAGCTACCAGATGAGGAACTCTACAGTATTAATTCTTGTAGGAGTAAGAAGTACAAACTGGTAGTTACAAAATAGTCACAGGGATATAAAGTACAGCTTAGGGAATATAGTCAGTAATATTGTAATGAACTATGATGCCAGGTGGGTACTGGAAATATCAGGGGAATACTTTGTAAAGTATTTGATTGTCCCATACACCTGAAACCAATACAAAATAATATTAAAAGTAAACTGTAATTAAAACATAAAATAAAACTTAAAAGAAAAAGAAATAAAAATTATTTTTTATGTGGGTGAGGAGGAAAGGACCTCCATCCACAAACACTGGCATTACCTGCAGTTTGTTATTTTACAGGTAATATGAAAAGGTTCTTCTAGGATTACGGTATCTGGGATTGCCTCCAAAGACAACCTAACATCTCCATAACCTGGAGCCTAAAAGATAAAGTACACAGTTAACATACATGTATTACAAAACCTTTCCATGGTCATGAAGGTACCATAGCAGGATATTCACTCAACAGTTGTTGGGTCTCCAAGCTGATGTTCTGAGAAAGTATTTTTCAGTCGTTTTGTTCTTCATTCTAACTTCTTTTGCTGCTACCACCTGCAGAACAGAACTATAGACCCTAACTGTTTTTGCTATAATTGCTCCATGTTCAGTACAGTTATAATGAATCTCATTGTAATGAATCTTACAATGAATTTCTAGGTCTATAAATCTCATAGATAAATAGTAAAGCAATTTTAGAAGGTCTGATCTTAAAGGGTTGCTTTCCATAGATACTTTAATACAGTAGAAGTCAGATGAACAGTGAGTATGAATCACCATAGGAAGGAACAACCGATAAGCAGTTATTTTAATTTGTTTGGTCAAGTAAAAAACCAGTATAAAGGATAAATTAACATTTGAACATTTTCCATTCATCTCAACACCTATTTTCCACCTAGAGATCAGTGAAATTATTGGTCTTTGAGCTCTTATTCTTTAGTAATACTAATTTCTTTCATAGTGCTCTGATTTTTAGTGACAAACCTAGGAAAATTTAAGTTGTTCTATATACCTGTGCCCCTGCCCCAACACCAAAATCCCCACCAAAGTTTTTTCCAGACTCACCATTCTCTGAAGTTGGCTGGTCTGTAATCTTCCCCTTTCACCTAGATTTGTTTTCCACACTATATCCAATTTTCCAATTACTGTTACTCCCTTAATGATGCCTGCTTTTTCTGCAAACTCCTTCTTGGGCTTTAGGCAGTACAAGTACTGGCGTGTATCCATTGGCTGCAAATATGTTCTTGACCCAAACGTAGTTACACTGAGAGGGGTGGAGACAGAGATGGAGAGAATTCTGTAGCATCTTTTAAAAGAAAAACCACGTGATTGTTCCTTTTGACAGGAATCGAATGATTTATCCTCCAAAGATCTAGAACAGAACACGTCAGTTGTTTCAACACAAATGAAAAGGACTTGTACTGAGAGGATTTATTTTTGTTTAATTTTTTTCAGTTGATATGAAATATCTTGAGGTTCTTTATAATAGAATGCAACATATTATCTAAATTGGATATATATCAATTAACAGAAAAAAATGAAATCAAAACGTTATGTATCCTTTCCCTTTTCTCTATAATTATCAAAAAATAGTTAAGATTAAGAAGAAACGTAACATTATAAACTAAGTAATTATTTCTAAATCAACTAAAATATCAGGAAGAGAATGGAAAATTGTTTTCCCTAGTGGGGGTATGGGACACTAAAAAGTTTTCTGTATCTAATCAACTGTTAAGATAACAGTAAACTTTTAATTCTTGATTAGAAAAGTGAGGTACTTTTCTCCAGCTATTACCTTCTTATCCTTTTGATGACAGAATATTTCTTCTGAAAGCTCACCCTCATCCTTATCCTTTCTAATTTCTCCATCATTCCTTCCCATGCTTCAGCTTTATCATTTACCTCACTGACTGGTTATGAAAATTAAAAGAACAAGTACTTCAAATAGTAAAACATAAAATGCAAACAATTAGGATCTTTATTTTTATGAATAAAGTAGAGCACAGGACATCTTCAGAGCAGTGAAACTATTTTGAATAATATGGTAATGGTGGATACTTGTCATTACATTTGTCAAAACCCATAGAATGTACAACACAAAAACATAAGCCCTAATGTAAATTATGGATTTGGTTAATTATTAGTACCAATATTGATTTATCAGTTGTAACAAATGTACCACATTAAAACAGCATGTAAATACTAGGACACTGGGCGGGGGGGGGTGGGGTGTGTGCAAGGACTGCTTTTGGATCAATTTTCCTATGGAAAAAAAAGTCTATTTATTAAAACAAAATTATAAACCATCCAAGGATAATGGGTATTAGAAGAATTCATACGTTTAAAATAAAGACAAACACTTCATAATTCATATTTACCATTCTCCAGCTTGGGTGACTGAATTTAATTCTGCTACATTGTACATTATAGATGGTTCCAATGAAACTTTCTCCATAAACATGGGTGAGGTGGTAATATTCTGAATCTGGGCTTCGAGAAATACTTCATCAGTCTAAGGATATGAAAAAAATATCCACCAAAGTGTGATGTTATTTAAAATATTAACCTCAACAAAAATATCTGATCTATATGAAGAAAAAATATTAACCACAAATGTGATTAGTTCATGCCTGCAAGTCAAAGTTACCAAAATTAATGCAAGAAAAGAAATCTTCATCCTAACATAATTAACAGGGGCAAAGTCAAGTGTTAGTCAACTGATAACTTGTCAAACAATGGATGGGGGATAACTATAATATTTTTGTATTTAGATCCAAAAAATTTGTTTAACTGAAATTTCATTCACAAATATTCTAAATATTCTAGTATAAGTTATTAAAATGTTAAAATGAAATTTAGTATGATTAACATACCTGTGCACCTATCATTTCAGTGATATGTTAAGATAATTTGGTCTTCATTATAACATTTGAACATGATACAACTTCAATTGTCTTTACTTCAATTTAGATGGTATAGAGACCACTACTAGTATAGCAAATAATGCATTTTATATAATCTTACAGGACTTACTTTAATTAAAGCAATTTGTTAGTGGTCATTAGTAATTTCTTGGTTCATTTATTATGTATATTTAGGGCTAAAAACATATATGAATTACACCTGACAATTTTAAATAAAACAAAAGATATTTTGTAGCCTTAGTGATGATAAGTGATGCTATTCAGCACTATTTTAATCAATGGGTAATTTAAATAAGTAGTTTTATAAAATTTTTTTATTCCCTGATTATGTTAAACATCCTTCTTTTTATGCTATTTGGTTATTATTTTTTTGTGAAATTGAAGGATAACAGACAACTTGGTTTATTTTATAAACTAATCTATATAAAAATATACTAAAGATATGCAAGAATTAATTTGTTCAAAATTTCGTAGTTATGTACGTATATGTTTTATATCTATATATAAAACAAAATTAACTATGAACAAAATAACGTGGCATTTATGAGTTTTTAAACACTAAATCCAGAAAGTGGAAATCATTTGCAAATATAATGATAAGGTATATTCTAATGCATTATTATCTAAAATAAAACAGATTCTTTAGTCCTTGGCATGTGCTCAAATGAAAATAGAAATACAATGATGCATCAGTTTAAAAGAATATACCTTAATTTAAAAGCATTATTCTACTACTTTTTCTCAAAAAAAATCTTAAATATATCCCATCAATCCATTGCTTTAAAAATAACCATAGACCCACATTTCAATTAAAATGCAATTTTCCGCATAAATTAGGAAGAGTTTAGATAAAATGAAAGAAAAAGAGCAGCATAATGGAAAATAAAGTTAGTCTGAATAGTTAGTATAAAATAATTTGACATTTGCAAAATTAAGAATTCAGGGCTATGGTAGTTGATGTCATTGCTATGTAGGTGATGTAATACTGCATAAGCAAATACTGCTTATAGTAAATAGAAATTTGAAACTATGATTTTAGCCAGCTCGGGAAAATTTGATTTTCTTCTGTTTACTGTTGTCAAAGGGCCATCCTCACCTGACCTAGATTTAAAACTAATACCACTGTACATCTGAAGGTAAATTTCAACTACATAGTTTATTCAGAGAGCTGAAGTATTAGGAGGGTATATTATACTAAGATGTTGAAAATTCCAAGGCTATTTTAAAAAAGGTTTACATGTCTCTTTTAAAAAACACCAAAGGGAAAAACACTAAAAATGAGAATACATTTGCTTCAATGACAATTTAATCTCTGATGTATTTTTTTCTCACAGAAGACAATATAAATATAAAATGTACAAAAAATTATATACACGTTTTTTGAAGTCAAATAGCTGGTATTCACACTAACTTTGTTTTTCCAATATGTTTTGTAAAGAGATTAATTAGAAAGAATCAAAAAGTGGTGAGTAAGATAAGCATATAAATTTATAATAAAAAATCAAATTACCACAGAACTGAGGTCACTCTAATGGAAAAATAAAAAGGAAAAATTAGAAAAATCAGAATTAAATGTTAAAGAAAAAGAATAACTAACTTTAAAATAAAATGCATTTCTGCATTTTTTTAAATTTACTAAACAAGACAGCATTAGTAAAACAAGAAAGTAAACAGAAAGCTACATAAAGAAATATGACAAATCATTTTTCTAAAAAGGTGAAACTGCTAAGGTTAAATGAAAAGAGACAAACACTACAGGTGAATACTTAAAATAGAGAAGTGTATTCCATGCCTTTCTTGTTCTATAAATTCTTCACTACATTGTAATTCTTCACAGATTACTTAAAATGGATATACACTATCCTCTATACTCAGAATACATACACTGTAGAGCTTCTCCTAAATTTGTCTAATAATAGAATCCCCTTTTCAAGGAGCATCTTGTGATTAAGGTTCTGTGGATCACACTTCAGAGAATGCTGGGCTAGACTATGGACAATTTAGAGTTTATTCTATTCTAGTTAATAGATTTCAGTTAGTCTTTCTTTTCATATATATATCTAAAGTTACCTATTTATCAGGGACCATCTCTAACGTCCATTTTTTTCCCCCCAAACACATAGCTGGAAATCATATGTCACTTCTCTACATTCCCAGAGTATTAGTACACTTCATGATCTAGTGGGGAAGGGGTACTTATACTGCATTGCCAGTCTCCTCCATTAGATCTAAGTTTCTTGAAGACTGGGAAGATGTTCAGCTTATATATATTTCTCTTCATTACCTGGCATGGAGCTCTGTACCCAGCAGGTGACCAAATGTTTGAATCCTAGCATCTAATGTTACTTCTTGCAAGGCTTTCCTATTTTAGAAGACTACGACAAAGTTTCTCACAAAAACTTGTTTTTCTTTAGGTGACTCATATTATAATTCTTAGGTACAGCATAACATTTCTTGCAATAAATGTAGGGCTAATTTTAGTTGTTGTATAGGACTCTGACACAGAGTAATAAATATCACCTATTGTTAGTGTGGTTTACTAACTCCTATAATTTCCCTGAATTTCCTAGTTGGGGTCAACAGAATCTGCCTCATCCTATTTATTTACTCCTGGTTTTTAGAGATGTCTATTTTCAAAAGTTCAGAATTTTACTAAAACATTCTGATGAAGTTTGTGGGCAAAAATTTAAAGTTTATGTTTACATATAATGTTAGTTGAAAAAGGCAGCAAATAAAATTGTTACTATGATTATAAACACAGAATACTATATATAAATGAGTAAAGATTGAAAGAGAATATGGATTAATGAAAAATCAATTACTTTATGGTGCGGTGAAATTGTGGGGTTTTTCTTTCTTTTCTGGGAGTATGTCACTTTTATAATACTATTCATGGAATAACTAGCAATTTTAAAAACTATTCGCAAATCACTGAATATTAGTGTTATAAAACTACCTGTCAAATATCTGAAAATACCAACTTATTTTCAACTAACTCAAAATATCTCAATATGCACTTTCCTAGGAGTCACTTACAGAAAAAAAGACCTACCTATAGCCCTATTATTTTTATTTTTCTAACATATCTAGTCTAACAGAATAGTTACCAATCTCCTCTCATACTATGAATGAAATCTTTCCCAGTAAAGTAATAAATTAATAAGACTATTTAAATTCACCAAGCTGAATAGCTATACTGCAATTAATCAAAAGTACACTATTAATAACAAAAAAGGTAGAACACATATATAGTATTTCAACTCCCCTATTCCCCCAAAAAGAAATGTCAACTCTTTTTTTTTTTTTATCCTCACCTGAGGACATTTTTCCATTTTTTACTCAGATAGAGCGGGAAGGAGAGAGAGGAAGAAAGAGAAACATCGATGTGAAAGGGACACATCGAGTGGCCGCCACCCACACGACCCAACGAGGGCCGGGGACAAACTGCAGCCAAGGTACATGCCCTTAGCGGGAACCGAACCCGGGTCTCTGTGGACCGCAGGCTGATGCTCTAACCGCTGAGCCAAACCGGCCAGGGCATGAAATGTCAACTCTTTAAACATCAAGGAATCTCCTTAATGAGACTGTACCTCCCATCAAATATGTATGCTTTTCACTATAATATTCCACATGCACTTGCAACTCTGCTGGGAATGCCTTCACTACTCTGAACTTGGACGTCTCCAACATTCATTCTTTCCAGACTCTGTTGCAGTTTCCCACCTCTCCCATGAAGCTTCTTTTGACTACTCTGAAATCTCCTCCCCAGAGTTCCTGTAGCACATCTTTTTATATCATTCTCTTTAGATGCACTTTATACTACATTAAGTAGTTTTGTTATTTTATGCCATTTTTTTTTTCCTCCTCATAGGTCTTACTGAGGTCAGGTTCCTTATCTTAGACATCTTAGTATGCCCAGTTGTAAAACAAACTTTATACTAAATAAAAACTCAGATGATGATGGTAAAAATATCTACCAAATTTGCAAACTTCTGATTATCATCTGATTTTAGAGTAATAAAGATATAATATTCAGCCTTGGCCAGTTTGGCTCAGCGGTTGGAGCATCGGCCTGCAGGCTCAGTTTCCGCTAGGGGCATATACCAAACAACAACAACAAAAGGTACAATATTTATTTCAAAACACTAGCTGCATATCTCTGAATTTATCACTGTGATATGAAACACATGATATTTGGGGAGTAAGGAGCCCATTGGGAATTCTGCTTTCTCTGAATTTCTAGAAGCCAGGATTAAAGTATAATTTTGTAAAAGAAATTGAAGCAATAAAACCTTTCTCCAACGGCGAATTCTATTTTATTTCTTTTGTTAAGTTAGAATATAGATAATCTTCTATTCTAAAAATTACTTTTTTCTATATTTTTGCCAATGTTTCTCCTAAGGAGTGTTTCAAGCCATTCACCAAACTCTGTAACCTTTTTTTTTTTTGTTATCCTCACATGACGACATTTTTTCATTTTTTGTTCAGATAGAGTGGGAGAGGGAGAGAGGAAGATAGAGAGAGAGAGAGAGAAACATTGATGTAAAAGGGACACATCGAGTGGCTGCCACCCGCACGAGCCAACCAGGGCCGGGGACAAACTGTAACCAAGGTACGTGCCCTTAGCGGGAACTGAACCTAGGTCTCTCTGGACTGCAGGCTGACGCTCTAATTGCTGAGCCAAACCGGCCAGGGCCCTAACTCTGCCTGGCACACTAACTTCCCAGGACAAAGACTTGACTATGTAAGCTCTACTTATCAGTATTTTTCCATGTAAATATTAAATCTTTTTTTTATAGGGTTAGATCTACTACTTCAATTTTTGTAATATCACAATCACCCTGTAAATATTCAACTGATTGCTGATATTTTTAGACAGTAACAAGAAACATTAAATGGAATTATAGAGCAATCATTTAAAGAAAGGGGTGAAAGTCTCACAAAGTTACTAATCAGAATAAAAATCAAGACATACTGACACCATGTAAGTTGAAAACAGCAGATTAAAGCAATGAAATTATTCACTTTTGATTGAACTTTATACTCATTTTTTACAAGTAATTTGCAGTACTATCAGCAATTGACTTCAATATGAAAAGAAATGTAATACAGCATAATTTTAGTCAAATAAGATGTTAATGTTTTATCTGAAATCCCATTAAGTGCCCAACACTTACCTCTGCATTGTAAAATTTGGTTTTCACATCCAGTGGTTTGAGAACCTAGTTGAATAAAGCATGTCAATCAGGAGGTTCTTATCATTTGACCATTTATTTTTGTTTGCTAGTTTTAAATAGCAGGGCTGAAATGTGTCAAAGTAATTTTCCAATTTTAATTTCAAAAGACATTTCTAATAGGTATGCAATACTCTTGGAAAAACAAAAATATCCCCAAAACAATCCTAAATGCATTTTTAAAAAGGCAATCATTGTTTCTTGACTAGGTGATAGTTATTTGGGTTTTACTTCATTATACTTGACTAAACTGAACACATATATTTCAGTATTTTTCTACATGCTTATTTCACCAAAAAATGTTTACTAAAATAAGCAATTGAAGTTCCTGTCAGTTTTTTTAAAAAAGGCATGCAAAATCTTAAACAAATGAGCAATGTAGCAAATGAATAGCAAAATGTTTCCTGTTAATACCTTTTCTTTCTCTTATTAGAATAAAAAATATACATAGCATCATATCTACATCTATAAACATACAGATATACATGGTAGTCTTAGCTCCCAGTCCACACACATACACATGTTAAACCAGTGGTTTTTAACTATTTTTGAACACTGACTTTGAAAATTGTGTACAAATACAAAATTCTCATGGAGTCCTTGATGAAGCTTGGTGTACTCAGCCCAAGACAATAATTTCTCACTTAAATATTTCCTTAGAAATTTGATACAATTTGCACTTATTTTAACTGGATTTTACAATCGTTTTTTTTCCCCTCTTCTTGTGTGTTTTGTCAACATATGAAAACAATAAAAAATTTGGGGGGAGGGGTAAAAATCTTCACGTTTCATTACAAAAACATTACATTGGTAATGATGATTTCTCTGCTTTTATTCAACTTAATTACACCTAACTTTAGACTGCTAGCAATATGACAAGGCCAAAAATATTAAGCTATTTGCTTTATTTGGAGCCTGTTTTCACTGTGGATAAATGGAAATAATTATACTTCTAAAAAAAAAAAAAGGTATGTAAAAAAAACCCCAAAACACCACATTTACCACTCTCATATTTAATACCTGAAATTTGAAGAATTTTCTAAAATACATTTTTTCTCCGCCCTGAGTTGTATAACTCACTGCACACACCAAGCTGAAACAGAAAGATGTCTTAATGATTTTGAATCATTTTCGATTTTGTTTTTTAATACTAAATCTACTACACCTCAATTCTACCTACAAATCTGGAAAATATTTATACCATTCATGTGAAAATGTAGTCAAATGAACCTAGAGCAGAAATAAAAAAGAGTTTCCACAGATATGGATATAATTACATGAATAAGAAAGTTCTGATCAGTAAAACGAGATCGATTTTTAGAGCAGGAAGTCAGAACCTTTCCCTTCGAAAGGTAGAATATATTCCAAAATAAACTGTATATAATTAAATCATTAAGTATAAACAGTAAATTCATAGAAATTAGAAAAAGTACAAATTTTAAAATTTTTAGGATGGGGAAAGGCTTGGTAATATAAACACAATGAAAAATAAAAAAAGGACTCAAAATTTTTTTAAGTTGAGTAAGTCAAAGACACTAAATTAAATTTTAAAAGCAGACAATAAACTTGGATAAAATACTTTTAATATGAAGACAAAATGGTTAGATTCTTAACATATAAAGAATTCTTGCCCTGGCTTTGGCCAGTTTTGTTCAGTGGTTAGAGCACCGGCCCTTGGACTGAAGGGTCTTGGGTTCGATTCCAGTCAAGGGCACATACCTGGGTTGCAAGTTCGATCAATCCCTGGCCCTGGTTGGGGTCGTGCGGGAGACAATCAATTGATGTGTCTCTCCTACATCAATGTTTCTCTCTCTTCTTCTCTCTCCCCTTCCCTCCCTCCCTCTCTAAAAATCAATGGGAAAATATCCTCAGGTGAGAATTAATAACAAAACAAAACAAACAAACAGAATTATTGTAAGTCATTAAGCAAACATTCGTATCTCACTCAAATTAGGAGAAAAGGAATAGATAAATAAATTGCAATATTATACTTGGCTAACAAAAATGTGAAAATCTTCAGCTTCACAAGTAATAAAAGCAACAAATGAAAATAATGAGATTAGATATTTCCATCTCTTAACATTTGGCCAAAATTCTTTTGAAGTAATATCAGGGTTGGTGAGGGTTTAGAGAAACTGATTCTTTACACAGCTAGTGGTTATAAAAATTTTAGAAAACAATCTTTCAGTAAAACAACCTAAAAATGTTTATAAGTTCCCATAGTTAAACCATTTCTAGTATTCTATCAGAAAATATTAAGGGTTCATCATGGTGTTATTTATAATAGTGAAACACGAGAAATAAAGTCAAACATTAGAGTACATAAATTAAAGTAGATAGCTGGTCCACGTTTGTAACATGAAACCATTAAAAAAAATAATGTTTCAGCCTTGGCCACTGTGGCTCAGTTGGTTGGGCATCAACCCATGAACTGAAAGGTCGCCAGTTCGATTCCTGATCATGGCACATGCCTGGGTTGCTGGCTTGATCCCTGGTAGGGGGTGTGCAGGAGGCAGCTGCTTGATGTTATGCTCTCCTATCAATGTTTTTCCCTCTCCCTTCCTCTCTCTCTCAAAACCATGAACTATTCTTTAAAAAATAATAATTTTTCAAAGAATACTGACTCAAATGGGGAAAATGTTCATGGTGAAGTGAAGATAAAACCACAGGTAATATGATAAAAATTTTGTAAAATATTATGTAAATTATTTATACACATCTGTTACAATTATGCACATAAAAAAGATAAGTAAATTTACAAATATATATACATATTTTTTTAAATCCTCACCCGAGGATATTTTTCCACTGATAATTATTTATTTATTTATTTTCCTCACCCGAGGACACTTTTGCATTCATCTTCAGATACAGCAAGAGGGAGAGAGGGGGGATGAGAGAGAGAGAGAAAAAAAAACATCAATGTGAGAGAGAGAGACAATGACTGGCTGCCATCCATACAACCCCAATCGGGGCTGGGGACAAACTGCAACTGAGGTAAGTGCCCTTAGTGGGAACTGAACCCAGGTCTCTCTGCACCATGGGCTGACACTCTAACCACTGAGCCAAACTGGCCAGGGCTCCATTGATTTTTAGGTAAAATGGGAAGGAGGAAGGGAGAGAAATATCGATGTAAGAGAGATACATCGATTGGTGGCCTCCAGCATGACTCCGACAGGGGTCTGAGATTGAACCTGCAACCAAAATACATGCCCTTGACTGGGAATCAAACCTGTGACTCTTTGGTCTAAGGGCTGATGCTCTAACCGCTGAGCAAAATCAGCCAGGGCTGTACCAATATTTCTATTGTGGTTATACTAGGTGATGACACTGTAGCTAATTTAATTTCTCCTTTATATTGATGCCTAGTACTAAGCCAGGTATTAGGGATATAGAGTTAATCAAAACACAATACCTGCTTTCAAAGTGCTCACTGTAGCATGGTACAGGTCTTTAAGGCAGATTTAGATTTTAGTTCTATGCCATTATTTACTAGGTACTTAATTCTATATGAGTTTCATTTTCTGTAAAGTGGGGATTTTATAACTGTACTATTTCAATAAATGCAATTTGAACATATTTTGACATCTGTTCTCAGCTAGATCCTGGGGATATAGCAGACTTCATAAAACTCATACTTTAATAGGGATAGTAGGCACTCAATAAGTAATTTGAATCAAAAGACATTTTAAAAATGACAAGTTGTAAGTACTATAGAATATGCAAAAAGGAAAACTTAATTCAGTGTAGGAGGTTAGGAAAGCCTCTTTGAGGAAGTCATGCTAAATATGAGATATGAAGTAGGAGAAGTAAACTAAACAAAATGACTAAGGCACTCCTTTGTAAGGGAAGAAAACATTTCAAGTCACAGAGTTCAGAGGAGAAAGAAGCCCAGTGTGAATGCAGTGTAGAGAGGGACACAATAGTGGCAAAGGTATAAATAGAGTAGCTGGTAAGGATTAGGCTGTAAAAAGCTTTGTTAAACCTACACAAAGTCAGAATTTTCTAGAGTAGTGAGAGGTCACTGAAGAGTTAAGTGACTTAGCCAAGATCACATCGTTAATAAATGATGAAGCGGAAATTTGAACTCAGAAAGTTTGACATCAAAGCCCATATCAGTCACTGAATATATATTTTTAAATGGCTACAACAGAGCTTGTCATCAAAATGCACTGATTAAACAATAGCTAATGTTATATACTTTAATATCATGTAATGCTTTAAGACAAAGAAGAGAGGCAAAATTGGTTATATAAGTGGAGATGAAGAAGAGATGATAATGAAAGATGAGTGTAAAAACTCATAAAATTTGTGAATTAATTAAGTGTAAGGCAGTGGAGAAGTATAAAATTACTTTAGGTAGCTGAAATGTTCATATTTGCTTCTCAGACTGAGAAAAATACAGCTATAACATTCAAATACATACAAATGTTCTGTTTAAAATTTGTTTCTTGTAAACATGTATACATAGAACATAAAATTCCTTCTGAAGTAGGCCTTAGGTTTAATCATAACTAGAAATAAAGCAAAAGTTTCAAATAAAGGCATAAAGAAGAGCCTTCTAAAACTAGTAAAAATAATCCTTACATGTGTGTTCCAATTTCCTTTACTTCATGGTGTATGACATCATCAATACAACAATCAGGTTTAAGTTCAGCCACTGCAGCATTGGAGGCTGAAAGATTTAAACGCTGAGAGCTTGTCTGAAGATCAGCCTTGAAAGAAAGTGGTAAGAAAAATTCAAATGAGACTGGTTACCGACACAGTGGATGGGTATAGGGGCAAAGAATAAGGGAACAGGAACAAAGAAATAGGATAAAGGAGTAGCAATACTTCTCTGTGTAAATCTCTCTGTATAGCTCTTACTCTTACACACACATGCACATCAAAAATAAATAAATAAAATCAACCAGGTAGTAGGGGGAATTAAAAATTAAATACAAAAGGCTCATACTGCTATAGAGGGTGTTCTTGATCTAGGTATATAAGTAAATCTCCAAACCACACAGAATGCAAAGCCACCAATAGTGCTCATCTATACAGAAATACTAAGAAAAGAAATGTAGGCAACAAAATTTCGGACATCATACGGAGCAGAATTTTCACTGATACGTCACCTAAGGCAACAGAAATAAAGGAGAAAATGAACACATGGGACTACATCAAACTAAAAAGCTTCTGCACAGCAAAAGAAACAATCATCAAAATGCAAAGGCAACCCACTGTATGGGAGAACATCATTGCCAATGATGTATCAGATAAGGGGTTAATTTCCAATATATAGAGAGTGCTCATACAACTCCACAAAAGGAAGACAAAGAACCCAATTAAAAAATGGGCAGAGGAGCTGAATAGACACCTCTCCAAACAGGACATACAAATGGCCAAGAGACATATGAAGAAATGCTCAACATCACTAATCATCAGAGAGATGCAAATTAAAACAACAATGAGATATCACCTCACACCTGTCAGAATGGCCGCCATCAACAAATCATCAAACAACAAGTGTTGGCGAGGGTGTGGAGAAAAGGGGACTCTAATACACTGCTGGTGGGAATGCAGACTGGTGCAGCCGCTATGGAAAACAATATGGTGCTACCTCAAAAAATTAAAAATTGAACTTCCATTTGACCCAGTGATCCCACTGCTGGGAATATACCCTAAGAAGCCTGAAACACCAATCAGGAAGAATATCTGTACCCCCATGTTCATAGCAGCACTATTTACAATAGCTAAGATCTGGAAACAGCCCAAGTGTCCACCAGTAGACGAATGGATTAAAAAGCTCTGGTACATATACACAATGGAGTACTATGCAGCGGTAAGAAAGAAAGATCTCTTATCCTTTGAGACGACCTGGAGGGACCTGGAAAGTATTATCCTAAGTGAAAGAAGCCAAGCAGAAAAAGACAAATACCACATGATCTCACTTATATACGGAATATAATGAACATAACAGTCTGAGGAATACAGTAGACCCAGACACATGGAAGTAGGGCACAGACTGACATCCCTCAGAAGAGGGGGTGGGGGAGTGGGGGGGTGGGAAGAAATAAACCACAGAACTTATATGCATGTATGCATGACCAATGGACATGGACAACTAAGCCGGGGACAGGGTGGAGGGGGGTGGGGGGGGTGGGGGGGTGCCAATGGGGTAAAAAGGTAAAATATCTGTAACAAAAAAATAAATAAAAATTCATAAAAAAAAAAAAAAAAAGAAAACAAATGAGAATTTAAATGATTCACTGATAAAAAGTGCCATCCCAAACCAAGTGTGAAACAGAAAAAAAACTGTAATGCAATATTCAAAGTGAATAAAATACCCCTCACATCTAAACCAAAACCAAAACCAAACCACACATTTGGACCTATGAAAAAAAACACCTTGAATCAGAAATTTCAAAACTAAGGCAAAAATTTAAAACAATAAAATAAACATTTTGACTGAACTCAAAAAGATAGAAGACCATATCAGAAATGAAGACTAAATTACAAGACATCCATGAAAAGATAGATTTGAATGAAATTTACTAAGGGGAACTAAAGAAAAGCAGGCAAAGAAGAGCCAGCTTACATAGAGAGTTTGTAAAATGATAAACAATGAGAACTTTCTGAAAAGAAAAGATCTTAACCTATAAATTGAAAGGGTCTACTTGGTATCGAGAAATCACATCCAAACCCAACTCTGAAACCTATAGAAAAAAATCCAGCGCCTCCAGAAAAAATTATCAAATAACTTTCGGGGCAAGAGAATTAGACTGGCATCATTCTTCTGAGAAACAACATATATAGCTAAGTAACAAAGGAGCAGCATTTTCAGAAAACAAAATGTAAACAAAGGATTTTGGCATTTTCAGGAAATATAAACAAGAGATTTTATTTCTAGCCAAACTGTCCTTATGCATAGAAAAACATTATGAACATGTAAGAACTCAGATAGTATTATACCCATAGGCATGTCCTGAGCCATCTACCTGAGAAATCTCCATCCAACCAATATGCAAAAAAAAAGGGGGGGGAGGGAAGATATACAACATGTCTGCAGTAAATATCAAAGTAATAAAATGGAAGCGATAGCATCATAAAAGGCAGAAATACAAAGGTAAAAAATAGAACAAGAATAAAAACCTTCCTAAATACCAAACAAAATTTTTTAATAAGATAAAAACATAGCAGATATAACATAATGCACTTAATATTTAAACATAAAAGGTGACATAAAATTAAAAAAAATTAAAATAATAAAATAATATGACATAGTTGAAACCAAGCACATCAAACTGATCAATATGTGAATGGATTAAATTCATTTAAAAAAAAAAAATCCATTTGGCTTACAAAGCAAGATCCAATCATATGTCATATAAAAGAGACATAAATAAAATCAAAATAATACAGAAAGGCTAAAAATAAAGAAATGGGCAAAGGCAACCAGGCAAATAGAACAGTAAGAAAACCGGAATAGTGATACAGATATCGCAGCTCGATTTAAGCCAACAAGCATTACATGTAGCAAAGGAGGATACTTGTAGTGCTAAAAGCCATAATTCACAATGGAGAATAACAAATATAAATATGTATACACCAAACAGCACAGCCTTTATAAAACAAAACGTGTAAGAGATAAAAGGAGCTACAAGTAGAAACAGTAATAATAATACAAGATTAACATGCCATACTCAGTCAGTACAAGACAGATCAAGTTGACCAAAAAAAAAGTAAAGATGTAAAAGACGTAACAAAATAATCAATAGGGTAAATAACAGAAAATACACCCACTTCTCAAGTACACATAAACTATTCATTAAAAATTAATATTAGGTCACAAAAAAAATTGGTAAGTTCTATAAATAGAAATATTACAAAACAATACTGTCTGATTACAACACAATAAAATGACAAATTATTAGTATAAACAAAAGGCTTTCTATCTGAAAAACCTATTAAACAACCCTTGAAGTGGAAATGCAAAGGAAATTACATAATTCTTTAAAAGGCAATCTTAATGAAAATGCTACATATCAGATTCTGTAGGATATATCTAAAGCAGTGAATCAGAAGAAAATTGCTTTTATCAATGAAAATATTAAGAATAAAAATAAACAAATTAAATCCCCAGCTAAAAGGGTAGAAAAAGAATAATCAGAAACACAAAGAGATAGTTAAAAGCAAAATTTAATGAGATAGAGAATAAAAAAGCATTAGATATAAAGTAATAAAATATTGTTTTTTGTTTTTTTTAAAAAGAACAGTATATAAACCAAGAGCTAGCTAAACTAAATCAAGAGAAAAAGAAAGCAAAAATATGCAAAATCAGAAATGACCAGGGAAAAATAACAGTGAAACAGAGGAAATTTTCAGACTACTATGAAGACCTGTATATAAATAAATATGAAAGTAAACATAAAATGGATTATTTTCTAGAATAAAACAGTTTTACAAAATTTACATCATTAAAGATAGAAAGCGGAGATACACTAATCTCCATAGGACAAAAGTGAAAATGCTATCAAGTAACTTCCCCCAGAAAACAGCACTAGCCCATATGATAGCACAGGAGAATTCTATAACCTCTTTAAGTACCAGGTACTCTGAATGCTCCATGTATTGCTACAAAGCACTGAAAATGAAGAAAAACCATAATATTAATATCTAAAACTTGATTTTTAAAAACATGAAAAAGAAAAATACATGCCATTATTATGCTATGCTATCTATGTTGTCATAAGTGACTGGGATGTAAAAAATAGCTTATGTGTACATCATAAATCGAGATCTCTGAGACTAAGAAGATTCTTGGTAGACACTGTACTGTTCAATAAACATTAGTTACTGTAGTTATTTCAAACACCAACGCCTTTATAAAAATTAAAACTAAATAAAGCTAAAAAATATAAATTTTATAAGTATGCAATTGTATTATTTGCGCTTTTTAATACGGACTTAGATTATATGCCTTGGTTGATCTATTATTCATCTTATAAAAATAAACTGAACATTTGCTGAATGCCAACTGTATGCCAGAAAAAAAGTATACATTCTCAAAGTTCTGATCGTTAGGCCTTTTCACAATTGAATGCAGAGGTTGGCAAACTTTAAAAGGTCAGGAAGCAAATAATTTAGACTGTGTAACTACACAACTCAGCCGTTGTAGCTTGAAATCTGCCACAGGGAATACAGAAACAAATGAGTGTGGCTATGTGTCAATAAAACTTTATTTATGGACACAGAAATTTGAATTTCACATAATTTTCACATCACAAAATAAGCTGTGTTTCTATACAATCATTTGAAAATAAAAACAGGCAATGGACCAAACTTGGCCTACAGACTGAGGTTTGCCAATCCCTAATCTAATGAACGGCAGAAACCCCTCAATAGTATGACAAACATATACACAAGCATGCTAAAATTTGCATCCAATTTCTGGAAATTGAGTCATAGAGGAAATTTGGAATATTTGCTTTCTGAGGTCCTTTTCAATTCTCTGAGGTCCTTTTCTATTCTAATAATTGATCTCATTTTCAAACTCATCCTAATTGGTCTTTCTTTTTGGTAATGTTCCAGTGACCTAAACCCACCACTTGAAGACAACTTTTACAAAAACTTCTCCGTCATATACAGTGAATTTTTACGTTCTTTATGTCCTTTCTCTATGTAAATAAATTCCAGGTTGTTTCATTGAGTTGGCATATTCTATGTCTTAATTTCTAAATGACTGCAAAAATCTAAATGGTCTATTTCCTACAAACCATCCCATACAATGTTTTCATCGGTCTTTCAACATAGTGTGAATACCTTTGCTCAACATTCTCCACTGACTGCCCACTCACTGTCCTTAAAAAAAAAAGAAAAAGGCTAAAACCTTAACCATAGCCTAGCTTCCAAGATGCTCCACTGTATAGCTACCACACATCTCTGCAATCTTTTTTTTTTTGGTGGTACATGCCCCGAGCAGTATCCAAAACCAGGACTCTGGTCCGCAGGCCAACACTCAACTGCTGAGCCAAACTGGCCAGGGTATCTCTGCATTCTTAACCTACTCTTATCAAGTGAATTCTGTTCATTGCTGTAAGAATGTAATATGTATTCCTATGTCACTTCCAAAAACCTTTTGTCTTTTTCTCTAAATCCTACCATTCTTTCAAGATCCTCTTGTGTTCCCTTTCTTTCAATAAGCCTTCCTGATTTAGACATTTCCCCTCCTCTTTGAAATTTTATCATGTTAATCACAAATTATTAACAAAAAAATTCTGTTATTTACCTTTGACTGGTACATTTTCTCACCCAACTTATCACAAACTTTGAGGATAACAAAAAATTATTCTATGCTTAGCTTACTATCCTATACCTTTAGATGTTCAATTATTGCTTGCTGTTACTGACAAAAAGTACTATATCAAACATGCATTTTAATTACGTTTCAAAAACATAACAGAAAAGTTGTTTAAAAAAATATACCCCAAACAAGAATGCCACTTACTTTTACCAATATATCTTTTACCACTTGATTGCTATCATTATGAACGCTAATATAACTGGAAAAGGTCTCTCCCAAAAATATGTTCCTGTAAAAAAAATAAATTTTTACATAGAAATCAATTCAAGTTTTATCACAAATATTTTATGTAAACACTACTGAGAACTTCAAATGGAGAAAAATTTATTAAAGAACAGAGATCAGGTGAAATACTGCTTCAACACTCCTTGTTTACACGAGGCCGCTCTTTTATTATTTAATACAATTCAAAGTACTTATTTAATCTATAAAACATGGCCCTCAACTTCAGCACCAACTGCCAGTCTCCTTAGGAATAAGTCATTGAAATAATGTCCATGTTAAGAGTTAAGATTTGTTATTGAAGAGGATAGAAAAAGGCAATTTTATTTTTTAATTAATTAATTAATTTGTTTATCCTCTCCCGACGACATTTTTCCATATTTTGTTCAGATAGAGTGGGAAGGAGAAAGAGAGAGAGAAACATCGACGTGAAAGGGACACATTGAGTGGTTGCCACCCACTCTACCCAACCAGGGCTGGGGACAAACTGCAACCGAGGTATGTGCCCTTAGCATGAACCGAACCTGGCTCTCTCTGGACTGCAGGCCAATGCTCCAACCGCTGAGCCAAAATGGCTAGGGCAAAAAAAGGCAATTTTAAAAATAACTTATGACCTGAATCTAAGAGAGACCCAAGTAATTAATCTCAGAGTATTTTTTACCAATTTATTGATTTTCCTCAGTTATTCTAATAAAAGTAATGACTAGTGGCTTTACTTTATATTTTTTATAAAATATATTTTATAAAAATATTATTTATAAGTATATATTATGTAAAGTATTTTTAAAAATATATTTATAAAACATATTTTTAGATGAATATATTTCCAAGTTTTCAAGACTAGTAAATGACCACATTCTGTAATTAAAAAAACTTGAAAAATTCCTTTAGAGGTCAATTCTCTCAGTTGCAAAAAAAATGGAACCAGGGGCATCTACCATAAAAATAATGTAGAATAATAAAATAGCGAAGAGCAAGAGAAGTAATAAAAAAATGTACAGTTCCTAATTAGCTGACAAGTCTTATAACTTACGTTGAGAGAGGGCTGTGAAGTTGAATAAAAGAGCTGATTCTGAAAGACATTTGTATTAAATCAGTTAAAATGAAAGGAATCTAGGGACATCAAAAAATATAATGAGGAGCAGAAGTAGATTTACAGTTGTGAATACATAAAACAATATTTTTATATTATTTATTAATTATTGTATTATTTTCTATATAAAAAACTGTAAACCTACTTTTGCTCAACCCTGTATAGTAAAATCTAAAGGAAAAAGTTAAAATCCCATCACCTGAGAAACTACTATTAATATTTTGGTATGTATCTTATTTTTCTTAACCAAACATATCTTACAGTTTTTTAAAAACCAGAATCAGCTGGGCCAGTGTGGTTCAGTGGATTGAGCATCGTGCCATAGACTGAGATGTACCGGGTTTGATTCCTGCTCAGGGCACATGTCCGGGTTGCACACTTGATCCCCAGTAGGGGGCATGCAGGAGGCAGCCGATGGATGTATCTCACGTTGATGTTTCCATCTCTCTCCACCTTCCTCTCTAAAAAATCAATAAAAACATTAAAAAAATTTTTTGATGAAACTTTTACCACTTAGATGTATCATGAGCATTTTCCCAGCCCACAGTTATTTTTTGAAAACTAGATTAATAATGGCTTTAAAGTATTGCTGCATTTTTTTATGTGACTATATCATTCTTACCCGAAATTCTGTGGTAAAGTTAACATTTCTCCCAGCATTAAAGTTTCTGCACCATTTACAGTTGAAGGATCCTCTCTCATGAGCTGGTTAAAGAGATCTCCTACAGAAAGAGAAAAACATAAAATTCTAACCTCTACCTGATAAATAAGTTTACTTATATAAAGAAATATCTGGGAAAGAGATTAAAAAAATAATCTCCTCACAAAAGTTATTTTTAAAAAATCTAATATCTAATCTTCATTGCAACTAGTACATGCCAAAAAATTCTGGTTTCACAGAGAATGCATGTTAGAAACAAAGGAAAATACAGGTCATGTGATATAAAATATATTATAGAAAGCTCCAACATATTTAAATAAAGGGAATGCAAATACATACATTGATGGAACATTTGAAGATAAATGTAATTTTTATAGTATCAGGACTATAAATGTATTATTACTAAAACTAAGATAAAAGTCTCTTGTTGCTAAGGGATATTAATAGTATCTTGACTTATAGATTATGAGTAAGACCTGTTACTAAGATGGCCTACTCTTACTGGTAGAAAAACAGGGAACAAAGGATGCAGCAAAGAGTTAGCATAAAATTGGCAAGGCTAGGCTTATTCCAAGGTAATGGAGGAAATTAAATCTAGTCAACTTTTCCCTATGTGCAAGTAGAATAAAGCATGTGCCATACCAGGTAAGTCTTTCTCTTCACATGTTACTGGAATATTGGTGAATAAAGTAGGCTTAGTCAACCGCATCACTGTGAATTATGAGAGTAAAAAACAAAAACAAAAAGAAGAAAAAAGAAAATATTAATATTGCTTTGGGCTAGTATTTCCAAGTCAATTTTGTGTGGTATTCATCAATTTTATACTAATATAAAATATAACTAAATACGTCCCAAACTAGATATAATATTAAATACTTCCTAAGATTATTACATATAATATATATAATATATATTAAAGAATTATATACATGAAGAGAATAATTTTGCATTTTTATAACCCAATGAATTATAAAAATGAAATATAAAATAATGCATCTCATTATAGAAATACTGAAAAATAAAAAAAATTTAAAGCTTAAGGTATATTAGGAGAACAAGGCTTAAAAAAAAACCCTGAGTGATATCAGTGTCAATAATATCAACAAAATATTAATTGAAAGTAACCTGACAAGAAAAAAAGTTTAGATACACCATTTTGAATACAAAACAATAATTTTATTCCAAAAGGATCTTTTGTGAGTTTTATTCCTTGATTATAATTACTGATCACTGGAAGTTCAGAAAGTGGCCCTTTAAGTAACATTAATTCTGTGTAGCAAGTATAAAAATATCAGTTAATGTATAGCTTTATATAATTTCAACCAAAACTAATATATTCTTGGAACATGGCAGAATGTGTCTAAAGTAAAATGAATAAATGAAAATGAGAAAATAAGTGGGAAAAATGAGGAAAAACTCGACTTACTACATATTAAAACATTTAAGTCCATAATCAACTAATTGGCTTAATTGGAAACCATACAGATATATACACTAGACAGTTAATAAAAATTAATAGGATACAGCAAAAACAATCAACATTATAAGACAACTGGTAGGACAACTGGTTAGCTATCTGGGAAAAATAAAATTTAATTTACAAATTCATTTCAAATATCAAATAAATTGCTTATGAATCAAATAGATAAAAAATTAAGACAGAAAATAGAAAAACTGATGTATTTATTGAAACTAGTCTAGCAAAGATAGGACATTCTAATTTTTCATTTATTTCTCAAGATTGACATTTGACATCAAAATAAAGACAAAAATATAAAATTTAAAATCATACAAAAATATTTCAGAAAATGAATCACAGAAGACTATTTCTTTACATTCTATTTAAAATGTTCATTCAAAGCAAAATAAAAAAGCTTTAAGGACTATAGACCTAAATGGTTAATTCAAATATAAGTGGTGTTTCTTTACATATGTAAAAATCTACCACCTAATCACTAATTAACTAGCACATCAAATTTAGTTTGTCTTCTCATCCTGGTCTCAGTTTAAATGTCTTCTTTTTCAGGAGAGCAGTAACAGGTCACCCTGTTTCTCTCATAGTACTTGTATTTATCATGAACTGTATGTATGTATGTATGTATGTATTTATAGCATTCCTATCCAAGCTCTGTGAGGTTTATGCTCCTATGTATCATGTTCAGTTTTGTGGCCTCCTCATTTGACACAGGTTCTGGCACATAGTATAGATCTTTGCTGAATGAAAGAATTAGCACTTCATCAAATTCCTCAAGTAACACATTATTTTGAAGATGTAAGTTTGAATGAGGTCTGTTAAACAACGTTGTATTAAACAGACGTCTTCTGAAAGTCAACAGATGCTAACCTTAAAGTTTCAGAAGTCACGTGTAATAGTTAATATTTACTAAGCATTACTGGTGCTGGACATTATGCAAACTACATTACAAGTATTAACACATTTAATTCTCATGACTCCTCTACTAGGATGGTATTATCATTATTCCCTTTTTACAGAGAAGAAGATACCTAGAGAAGCTAATTTGCATATAAAAGATTATATAGCAGTTGTGTGGCAGAACTAGATTTGAACCCAGGTGATTTCACTCTATTCCAAAATAAAACATTCCACAGGAATTCAAAGTAGGATTCTATCTCAGACAGAGTATTAACCATTATCAATGGGGTGTGTGTGTGTGTGTGTGTGTGTGTGTTGGGGGAAGAGAGGATGTAGTTGGAGAGGTGTTTCTGACCTACTTCACTCTTATTTTTAACTAGAAAAACAGATTAAAATTAAGTACAATTTGAAGGAGATAAAAAGGTGCTCTGAGCCCTGGCCAATGTGGCTAAGTTGGTTGGAATGTCGACCCGTAAACTGAAAGGTCACAGGTACGATTCCTGGTCAGGGCACATAACCTGGGTTGCAGGTTTGATCTCCAGTTGGGGCGTATGTGAGGCAGCCTGTCATCAATGTCTCTCTCTCTCTTCCCTCCTTCCTTCTCTCAAAAATCAATGAAATCATATCCTCAGGTAAAATTTAAAGAAAAAAAGAGTGCTCTGAAAATAATATACAGAATACAGTTTTTCTCACAATCTATGATTATAAGCTCACTATAAACACCAACTGGTGTTTACTGTTTTTACCCCATTTTTTTCATTTCCAAAGATACCAAATCTTAACAAATAAAAAGCAAACACACTCTCAAGGGAATCCCGGAACACTATTTTTAAGCGTTACCAAGTTCACCCACATGTGTAGCCAATTTATTTCCTTGTTACATACTTAAACTTGGATTATGTACAAAAGTCCTATAAAGTTTAGTTTTTTGCCGATTCTATGGTTTTTCTAGGGGGATGAAACAGTAGGGAGTAGGTAAAGAACAACCTTTCCATTAAAGATAAAAAGATCCCACTTCATAAGTTATATAAATGTCTAACCACTGTGCTGCACACCTGAAACGAATATAATGTTGTACGTCAACTGTAATTTAATAGTTTTTAATTATTAAAAAAGTAAAAAAAAAAAGATCTCAAACTGGCATTAAAAGTAATTGTTTTCTTCATATTTTCCAAAGAGAATAAAAATCAGCAGTAGAGGTAACAGTTGGTAAGAAATACCATCTTGTGGACTCAAATTAAATAAAGCACAATTTGCCCTGGCCAGAGTGGCCCAGTTGGTTGGTCGGTGTCCCATCAAAAGGTTGCGGGTTCAATTTCTGGGCAGGGTTCGTGCAGTAGGCAGCCAATCAATGATTTTCTCTCACATTGATGTTTCTCTCTCTCTAAAAAAATCAGTAAAAATATTTTAAAAAAATAAAGTAAAATAAAACATAATCTGTCATTTTTTCAGGTTCTTAAACACAAACTGAGAAAGCCAAGTTATTAACATACAACTATCTCATTTCTTGAAAGACAATCAAAAGTATGCCCATATCAAATATACATTTAAAATTAAATACTGTCTTATAGTGCACTAATGGACCTTAAAAATTACACATAATAATGTTAGTTGGAAAAGAGCAAATACCAACTAAAGCAAGGTTTCGGAACTATAATAAAGCACTGGTTAGAAAACAGTAATTTTGTATTCAGTCTTGAATGTTAAAGTAGGTTCTTGGACAAAAAATTAGAGCAAAAAACAAAGTGATTTTTAGTTGAGTGCCAAATATTCACATAGTACCATGTATAGAGACACTTCCAGTGGATCTCACAAAACAGACATTTCATTTACTAATGAAATTCAAGTTTCATTATAATATAATAAATTAAGAAAAAGATAGGCCTGAGGTTACAAAGTGATGATAACCTGGGCTGCAATTTGCACATAAATTTTGCTTGGCCACACATCAAAAAAAAAAAAAAAAAAAAAAAAAAATATATATATATATATATATATATATATATATTAAGTAGAATCTTCTCCAGGTTCAGAGTCCTTGCCACATTCTACAGTCCTACCTATCTAGTCCCTGAAGGCACTCAAGTTTGTGAATTTTTTATTTCGTTTTGGCCATTTTGAGCAGATTAAATCAAAGTGAATCATTATGCAGGAGCTCATCTTGAAAATTTTCAAAAAGTGGTCTTTAAGTTATTTGATAGGTTGGCAAATTAAGTTAAATTCATCTGATGCCCTTCTCATCTTTATTCTTTGAATCTGACTTAACATTTATTTGAAGGTAGATGGGTCAACAGGAAAAAATAAAATTATGGTACTGTTGCTACCTCCTTGGAAAGTAAATGGATAGTATTTTACCAAATACACTCACATATACATCTTCCTGCATATGCCTTGGTTTCCCCCAGTTAATTTCCGTGTCTATGTTAAGAGCAGAACCCAGAAATACTACTGAGCCCTACTATTAGCTTGCAATAGAATCATGAGTCCTAAGGTTCTAAATACTAAAAGTAGCCATGGATTCTAAATTCTTAGACCTTGATTACTTCTTACGTACTGTCGAAGTAGAAAAGAAATGAATCTCCCCCTCCTTCCTTTAAGATTATGACAATATTTGCAATAAAACTTAATCTTCAGTTTCCCTCTTCTGAATTACCTTTTCATTGTTTCACAAATAGTTAGAAAGCAAGTTATAGAGCAAATTAGAAAAATTCAAATCTGCCACATATTAAGACAAAGAAACTCTTTTTAATGTGCGATTCTTGGATTAAAAAGCTACTCTTCATAAGAATCCCATGATGCCAGACTGTTTCTTGTATTTTCAGCTCTGTATACAATCATTTAAAAGTAATAAAAACACCATATTGTTTCCACAGTGGTTGCACCAGTCTGCATTCCCACCAGCAGTGTACTAGAGTCCCCCTTTCTCCACACTCTCACACTGCTGGTGGGAATGCAGACTGGTGCAGCCACTATGGAAAACAATATGGTGTTACCTCAAAAAATTAAAAATTGAACTTCCATTTGACCCAGTGATCCATCTTCTAGGAATATACCCTAAGAAGCCTGAAACACCAATCAGAAAGAATATATGTACCCCCATGTTCATAGCAGCACTATTTACAATAGCTAAGATCTGGAAACAGTCCAAGTGTCCATCAGTAGACGAATGGATACAAAAGCTGTGGTACATATACACAATGGAGTACTACGCAGCTGTAAGAAAGAAAGATCTCTTATCCTTTGAGACTACATGGAGGGACCTGAAAAGTATCATCCTAAATGAAACAAGCCAAACAGAGAAAGACAAGTATCATATGATCTCACTTATTTGTGGAATATAATGAACATAACAGTCTGAGGAATAGGGTAGTCCCAGAGACGTGGAAATGGGGTACAGACTGACAATCCCCAGAAGAGGGGGTGGGGGGGAGAGACAGACCACAGAACTTATATGCATGTATGCATGAACAGTGGACATGGACAACAAACTGGGGACAGGGCAGGGAGGGAGGGGGATGGGGGAATCAGTGGGGGAAAAAGGAGAAACATCTGTAACAAAAATTAAGTAATAAAAAATAAATTAATAAAAAAATAAAAAGTAATAAAAATATCATAGAAAAAGTGTTATTTTTAAGTGACTGTCTTATGAGTACCTAATTTTAAAAAAATATTAAAAAAAAATTGATTTTTAGAGAGAAAGGAAGGGGGAGGGTTGGGGGAGGAGAGAAAGAGAAAGAGAGAAACATTGATCAGCTGCCTCCTGCATGCCTACCACCAGGATTGAGCTGGCAACATAGGCAGCCCTGAATTGAAATCAGTGCATGGGATGATGCTCAACCAACTAAGCCATACCAGCCAGGGCATGAGTACCTAGCTTTTAACCCTTGTAGCTAGCAACCGTACAGTAAATAAGACCTGAACAATAAAAATCAGTTACCATTTATTTTTGCCTAATCATATTAACCACCTCTTGTTTATAAGTTCGCTAGAAATACTGAATGACTTCTTGAGGTTTCTCCAGCAGTCTTGGGTTGAAAAGTAAGATTAATGAACAAAACAGGAAGTCATTACTGAAGAAGTTACCTTGGAAACTCCCTCTATACTAGGTGATTTTTCATTTAAAGACTTTTGGAAGCATTCATGATGACTATTTTCTACACAGCAGTCTCAATTTGAGACAATACAATGGTACTAAAAATAGTTAAAAACAAAACAATGTTTGAAAAGAGTAAAACCTAATTGGAAAAGATTACCTCTTCAGTTAAAAAGTAGTAGACTCCTCAGACTTTAAGCATCATATGCCTGTGAAGAATCCAAAGGGCACATTTACCATGTATCATGGAGCCCTTACCATGCCAGGCACTATGCCACAAGGCAAACGTTATCTCTGCCTAGCTAATGAGTACAGTGTTACTATTTTTCCCCCAAGAGTTTGACTTTACTACTTAATAGCAGTAACTCCATGGAAGCTCTGTGAGGGCAGGGACCATGTGTGTCTCCTTTTCTACTACATTATAGCACCTAGCTCATAGAAGGCATTTAAATTTGTTAAAAACGTAATACTTCCTCTTATAAAACTTTTATCTATAATCAATTTGGTTATTTTTAGGATTGAGGTGTAATCCCAATTGATAACATTTATGGGAAACCAACAATGACTCCAAGAACCAGCCAACTAGTGACCAGTATCAACAGTCATGAAGATGGAATCACTTGTACTAGAATAAAGAATAAGTTGATTTCTTATCACATTTGATACTTCTTTTCAAAACAGATTATATAGCCTTAAAGATACATTACAGTCTTAGGCAAATTATATATTTTGTTTTATACCTCTGTTTCAAGACAACACATCAACTATTATCTATTACATATCTTTGGAAAACATCAGCAGAATTTAGCTGGTATCCCAATTTAAACTTCCTTCACACCACTTGAATAGCATTCCCAATAGAACTGGTTTAGTTTTATTTTATTTTTTTAATTACACTTTAGACGAGTAAACATAAAATACTGTAAAACTAGATTTAAAGGTTTCACCGAAATCCAAACTATTCACTGTAATTCATGGGAATATCTAACTCAACCACTGGAAAAATAACAGGGCAAAAGGAAGGGAACATTTTACCTCTAAATTCAGTATAAATAATAATCTGTCACAATTCATTTAAATGATGGCTGTTAAAAGTAGAACCCAGAAAATTCATGACTTAAATAATAGGCCTACAAATTCACCTGATATTTATTCCTGGGATACAAACTGAACACATATTACTTCACAATTATTTTTTCACAATGTTAAAAGTAGGCTATATTAGCGAAGATTCAAATAAAAAAATTAAGCCATTACATTTAAAAACCAGCCCTGGCCAGTTTGGCTCAGCAGTTGGAGCGTCGGCCCGCGGACCAGAGAGTTCCGGGTTCGGTTCCTGCTGGGTGCACATACCTCAGTTGCAGTTTGTCCCTGGCCCCAGTTGGGGTCGTGTGGGTGGCAGCCAGTCAATGTGTCTCTCTCGCATTGATGTTTCTCTCTCTCTCTCCCCCCCCTCTCCCTCCCGTTCTATCTGAAGATAAATGCAGAAATGTCCTCAGGTGAAGATAAAAAAAAATATTTAAAAACCAGTAAAAAAATTTATTCATCTCATTATTTCAGCATACACTGTTCATTCAGAATAGTCTTCTTTTTAACAATCAGTGGAATTCATTACATACTAAAAATAACACCATATTTATGCACAAATAAATTCATTTTCCCTGTAAGAGCTAATCTTCTTTTAAGGAGAGTGCCCACATATTCACAGTACATAATATCACAGAACACCCATATCTGGCCCAAATGTCTCTGAATTGTAGCATTACAAGATGGAAGTTCATTGTGTCTGATAATTCGATTGAGTTTTACCCAAATGTCTTCCAGAGTCTGGTTGTTACAAATAGTGTGTTCTATTGTCCATCTTGCTCTATAAAATGAGTGTAAATTTAGTGCCTTTAAACTATCTTGCAATTTTTTAGACAAAGGAAAAATATTTTCAGTACAATTTCTGCTGGGAAGTGAAACACTCCAAGACCTCCTCTTGTGCAGTTTTCCTTTTTCTGATTGTTTATCCAGATTTCCAGAGGCAGTCTGTTCATTCAGTGTGTGGGACCGGATTAAGTGCTTCCTTTCTTTCAAATTAGGTTGAAACTCCAATAGACCTACTGTGCAATCATAACTCTGTAATTTAACATCATGTTCTGAAATAGTTAAGTACTGTTTCACATCTTCAGCTGCCTCTTCAGAAATCATAGGTGGTGATCTTTTAGGTTTGAGTGGAAGTTTGGACCCATCATGTGGAAACCAAGGAATGAATCTCGATAGTGGACGTGTAGGAAAGTCTTGAATTGCTTTCTCTGCAATTTTTAGCAGTTGTGTGGGATCACTCTCATATGCTCGATAATGTAATATTACTTCTGTAGTCATTCTGCAGTAATCCAGTTACTCTTAATGAAGAGAAAATTTCTTAGCTGAGCTCCTCAGAGCTAGAATGTGATTTATAATTACAAGATTGTCTCTTTCCAAATCGGAGGGAAACAGGACCTAAAGTGGAAGTATTGCAAAGAATAAGACATGGTAGGAATAGCCTACATACAAATAGGCAGGGAGAAAAGGAAAAACAAAAACCAATCCCAATATACTAGTTCACCAAAGTGCTATTGGTAAATGTGAACATAATCCACAAAATTGGAAATCCTTTCTCTCGCCAAAATAATGGATCTGGATTAGATGCCCTATAAGATCACTTGTAGCCTAAAAATGCTAGTAGTCAACAAGTTTAATTCAACAGATAATAAAGGATTTGGAAGTAATTATATTAATATATTAGTGTCTTAATAATAATATTAAGACAATATAAGAAACAAAGAAAAATTAGTGGTTCTTAAAATACTAGATTCATATAAATATAATAAAAATGTAATAATGTTTAACATTTTGAGACATCTCAGTAGTAAAAACTAAAACATAAAAATGGTTTAAGTTTGCATTTTAACCAAGCTAGAAACTGGTTTTGTGACAGTTTCCTCTGTAAAATTAGGGCACTTAAGCAGTATCGACTTTAGTACCATGGCTCCTGAATTCCAATTTGGAGGAAAACAAGAAGGCTCTACCCTTATTTTTTTTCTTCTTATAACAAAGAAGTCCTCAAATTGCCCCAAATTAAGCACTGATAATAAGTTCCAGCACATAGTACACAGGCTCAAGAATGAAGCCTTCCAAGATCTGCAAGTTAGGTTTCCTAACCAGGTCCAAAGCTGCAAAAGCCGTAATTGCAGGTTCTTTCATAACTTGCATTGAAAAAAAAAAAAAGAGGTTAAATCCCTTCTCCCCCAAATCATTAAAGAAGTACTTGATGAAGATTCTCCCACTCTCAGGATAACAGTAGTGGGGACTCCTGGCATGATGTCACAATACTCATTTGGCCACTGTTTCTGAATAGTCAAAAGAAGTAATCTCTTCCTGATTATTTTCACCTACTGTTAATGTCCGCCAACTAACAGATTTGACAACTCTTAAACTCATAAATGACAAAGGTCCTTAATATCCATAATTTTTAATGTGGATCTAAATATAGATAGCACATTCTTTCAAGCATGAATGCTTTTATTTTGTTCCCCTTTACTTTCACACTGTATGATATGGCACTGAGAATTCTTTCAGTATTGTCTAAACTTATAAAGTCTTGAAAGGTGGAGGAAGGCCTTGTGTTGAAATATTGCCTCAATAACTTCTTAGCTTTGTGATCTTGGAAACGTTTCTTAACCTTTTCTTCATCTTTTTCTTCAGGAATAACCCATTTCAGTCCATCTCATTTGCTCAAGCTAAGCTTACTGGTCCTTTTGCTATATTACTTAATATTGCACTTCCTTAATTCTACAGTCAGAGACAATCCTGTTAAGCCCAGCCATCAGTATATGGTTTTATGCTACAACTGGGACTGGCGAGCTTCTGGAATATTTGTTGACTACATAATCGCTAAGGTGGGGGAAGGGAAGGTCCCTCAAAATGGACACCACAAGGAAGTGCAATGCAACTGAATTCAAATGTCTATTGATTATTTTCTCAGCTCAGCCCAAGAAGGTAGGGCATCCAAGAAATAAAAAGTACGTTTGTGGTATAGAAAAAAAAAATGACATAAAGCTGAAAGCATTTAAAGTAAATTTTTTAGAAAACAACAGGAATTCCAGAGACCCTCTACCCTGTTTTTCCCCAAATTATGATCTAATTATCAAACATACTCAAATTGACTGCTGTGCACAGAAAATTAAAGTTGACATGAATTTTCCCATATACACAATACTCTGAAGTAAACTACAGTAGGTTCTAACAAACCTAAATTATATGTTAGCACTGTGTATTTCGAACTCTATTGTGCAATACAGGGTTAATTTGACAGATGAGGCTGAAGTCTCTTTGTCAGTGCCGCGGGAAGGGACCACGGAGCAAAGCACACCACGTCGGCTGTCAGCATCTCGGTTCACACGCAGGGCTCTCCCCGGGTTGGGTAGGGACGCCAGCTTCTGCGGCTAACATCTGTCTGGTGACTGCAGCAGCACATAACCGAGTGAGTGATTTACCAGGTATCTACCTATTCTGCTCTAGAGGGAGGGTCTCAAACCTAAAAAAATCAGAGTTGGAACTGCTTCCTGCCGCTCGGCGCCAAGGGAGAGCAGCAGGGAGCGCACTGACAGTGTAAGAAGGACGAGGCCTACCTCCCACAGACCAGGTCTGAGTGGCAAAGGTTTGGAGAACTAAACAGAGAAGGGGAGAAAACAGATTAAGGGAAGTCAGATTCGCAAAAGTTTACCTTTCAGGGCCAGCAGGTGCTCCTGTTTGGGGGGATTTACTTCCATTTTGACCCGTCGACTCAAAGCCTACGGGGGCTGAGAAGGTTCAATCCAACACGGAAGCGAACAGAAAAACGCACTTTTCGGGAAGACAAGGCGTCAAACAACTGCCGATAGTTACTCCCTTCCGGTAGTGTCTTAAATTCTCTTCTTACCACGTCCTTTACGGACCCAGCGGCTTCTTTTTACCAAGGCCCCCTCTGGCCTCTTAGAGATCGATACATAAAATACTCTGCGTTCTAACCGCAATCAAACATCACGACTCCAAGACACCACTCGTCGGAACAATACATGGGCCCCTAAATTACGACCTTGCGGAGTAAAAGATACCGATGTGGTATGCTGGGACTTGTAGTTTACACAAAACCGCATTGCATGCAGGGAGATGTAGTCCCTCCTTGCCCCCGTTCTTTTCGCAACTGGGGGCAATATCTTGTCTCTGGAGCTAGAGTTTCATCCCTAAACTTTAGTTCTGTTTTAGCTTTACTTGGTTTCTTAACTTTATTCCTTCCATCACTTGCGGAGTCCTTAATAATAAAAATGAAGCGTCGTGCGCAAGGATGTGCAGCCATCTAATGAGGGGCGGGAAGAGGAACGCGGAGGTCGTGGGAACAGCCCCCACCGCATGGTATTGCGCCTGTGCACCAGTGGCGGGCGCCGGGGCGTCTGGGTAGGTGGTTCTCCCCCGCCCCTCTGTTGAAGGCCCTCGCCGGTGCTTCTGCAGCGCCGCTCCTGCAAGGATGGCTGCCCTGGTTGTAAACAAGCCTGGAGCGGGACTAGACAGTGGCCGTCAGGGCAGCCGGGTTACGGCCGTGGTGAAGGTGAGGGGCCTGCGTTCTTGTTCTCCAGCGCTGGCCTGCCGTCGGTTCATCCCGGAGATCTGGCTGCAGCTTCGCGGCCCTGGCTTCTTTGGGCGGGATGCGCGGCCTCTGGGCCCCTCTTGGCTTTACAAGCCGTGCCCTCTCCTCCGCGACTTTTATCCCGCAGGCCTGAAGTGGCCGGGGCTCCTCTTGCCGGTCCTCTGCTTGGCATCACCCATGGGGACATTTGTGAAAAGAAGCTTATGGGTCTGTGAGCGAGATTTGGGCTGTTCTTCCCCTAGGTCTTCTGCTTTTAGTTCAACTCAACAAGCATTAATTCGTTTATTTTTATTAAATCTAGCCATTATTATCGCCAGGTACTGTGTTAGACATTTTAACTCACTAATAGCTACTTATGAGGTAGATGTTAATTCCCGTTTTACAGGTGAGGAAACTCAGGTTCAGGTTAGCACAGTGTGTGGCAGAGCCAGGGGTGACTGGCTTTAAAGTTTGGTTTTCCCAATTGCATTGCTTCTGTGATCAGACATCAATTATTGGGTGATCTGCCCCTTCCTCTCTCGATTGTATAGTCTGTCGGCAGTTTTAAGAGTCTCCAGCAGCAGCATAGCTGGATATTAACACTAGAGTCTATGAATTGCCTTGTGCTTGAAGTTTGAAATTCTACCCTGTGTAAATGCTCCAAGTCGCCTTTACTAAAAAGTCAATTAAAATAGAATGGGATTCATTTTTCCCTTCCACTATGTATATGGAAAAATTTGGAAGGGGGAGCGGATCATAATAATTTGTAAAATACCTTCAGGATTATTGGTAATCTTGGATATTGATAATTCTTATTCCTGGCTACATACTAGAATCACTGAGGACGTTTAAAAACAAAAAAACTACAAAAACGGATGCAGCCCTTCTCCCCAGTTCTAAGTTGATACCAGTACTTTTTTTACATTCCCAAGAGTGATTTTTAATGTGCAACCATGTTGGAGAACCACTCGACCTGATAATATCTGAAGTATGTTTAATCTTTAATAATAGCCACCTATGATTTTTCACCTAATGTTATATGACAACAAATAATACATTTCTGTTTCCAACTGTATTATCAATCAGTATTGGTGGTTGTCGATTCATCTGACCTTTATATATTAATGAAGTTATTCTGAAAATACACAGCATATGGAAGATACAGAGGAGACCTCATTAGGCATGTTGTATGGTTGGGATTTTATTTATTGAATTGTGTTTTTGCTAAGGAGGGAATACCTGAAGATTATTTTGTGAATTAACTTGAATTAAGAAGTTGTATTTGGAATGCATATTATTGTTGTATTACTTTTGTTACCCTGTTTGCCTTAAAATCTCAAAAATATACCAAAGCCTGATGCAACTCAAGTTTGTTATAGTACACAGTTTGACATATTAGAGGCTCACTTTATTCATTTTAATCTTTACATGTAAAATGTGCCTGAGCTGTGCAGTTGAACAGTCCTTTTTGGCAAGAGCCTCATGCCATAATTTGTAAGACAACAAATGGTGGCATAAAATTTAATACAAAAGTTCATTTTCATAGATGAAAGCAAGGAGTATTAACTGGAAAATAAGAGTTGAAGTATAATAATGCTAATATTATGTAAACTGGCCTCTTGTTTAATGAGCAGGTTGGTGATGGCATGGTTTTGTCATTAGGAAAACAAAGATAAAAATCCAAAATTGTGAAATTATTTACATTCAGAAAAGAATCAGGAAAGTTTCTTTTGAACGTGAGCCTTCTTAGTCCTTTTAAAGTATGGACTGGTTAATTAAAATTTGATTTACATGTAGTAAGTACATGTAATAAAGTTCTCTTTGACATATTTGTGAAGTTTATAAAATTAAGAGCTATTCTATCTAGGACTTAATTTATCTTATATTATTAGCCAAAATTCCTGTTCATAAATACTGAAGAAAGAATTTCTTACTCTATTATTTACTGAGTTGATGCAAAATAGTCTAGTAACTTTTTTGGACCCATGTTTAGTTTCCTATCAGTGGACTTTTACTAGTGTTCTTTTAAAAAACCTGTAGTGGCAGCGTAATAAGGCCAGCGATATAAAGATATAAATAAACTAAGTAAAATTTTAATTTGGTTCTTTAGAGTTTATTGGCATAAACAAAACTTATTGTGTCACATTAGTGAGAACATTTGTAAAAAAAATGATGCATTTATTTTATAATATCTAATTCTCTGGTGAATATTTCTTTAATCAAATTCAATACTTAAGTGAAAGCTTTTTCCTGCATTTAAAAAATACAAGATAAATTGAAGTGAATGTGTATGTGTATATAATATATATAACTTTTGTGCAGCTGTTTCCTAGCTCTTCCTCACTAGACTAAATAGTTTTGCAGTATATTAATGTACCATAATTTTTTTCCAGTCTTGTGTTGATGTGTACAATGTTTCCAATCTTTTGCTAATGTAAATGGTATTATAAAGATTAACATATAGATCTCCTTACACATATGTGATATATTTGTAGGGTAAATTCCTGAAAGCAGAATTGTTTAGCTGTTCTAATTTTTGATAGTCATTGCCAAATTGCCTTCCAGAGAAGCTATATCAGTCAATGGGATATCACAGCAACCAGAAATGGGATGCAAGCCAATTAACAGATTTACCTGTTTATTTTCAGTGAAAGATGTTTGCATTTCAAGCAGTAAGTCCAAACTAATTTTAGAGTTAAGATTAAAAATTTTCGTGGATTAAGTCTGATTTCCACTCTGGGTTTCCTATTTTTTACCTTGTATTGGGTATTTGTTGAGGGTGGCCAAACCATTTTTAAATGTTTACTTTGTTGAACTTTATTTATATAAACCCATAGCTGTTGGTGTTTGGAATGCCCTGTTCCTGAGAGCTTTCTGTTCTAACAGGAAAGATAGGCTGGAAAGCCAATAAAGGTATTAAAGTATTTTGGGTGTTAAGATAGACACACTTATATCCTGGCTGGATTGGCTCAGCAGTTAGAACATGGGCCCAGGGACCGAAGGGTCACAGGTTTGATTCCTGGTCAAGGGCACAAACCTGGGTTGCAGGTTCTATCCCTCACACTGATGTTTCTCTCTCCCTCCCTCCCTTGCACTCCATCTAAACACCAGTGGAAAAATACCCTAGGGTGAGGATTAACAACAACAACAAAAAGAAATAGACACTTTTTCATGATACCTGAGGGCCCAAGGGATACTATGGTGTTTTTGGTTGAATTGAGCTGCGGGTAGTCCTGAGAGAGAAAGTGTTTAGGAATTTGCTGGTTTATTTATTATTTTATTTTTATTTATCCTTACCCTAGGACTTGGGGCAGTTATTTCAGATAGAGCAGGAGGGAGGGGGGGGGGGAGAAAGAGAGAGAGAAACCTTCATGCGAGAGAGACACATGTACTGGTTCCCACCCACACGACCCCAACCGGGCCGTTGACAAACTGCAACTGAGGTATATGCCCTTAGTGGGAACCGAACCCGGGGCTCTCTGGTCCGTGGGCTGATGCTCTAACCTCTGAGCCAAACCCGCCAGGGCTTGTTGGTTTATTAATGTAAAAAAGGGAGCACTAGAGAAGCGTTTGTTTAGCTATTTCCTCAGTATTAGTGAAAGAAAGGATCAAAACCAGTTTGTCATGCTCTGGGAACTACAAGCTGTTTGATATAGTTAGAGAATACAGTCTGAAAGGGGGTGGGAGTGAAGCAATAGGACAGGGACCAGATTGTAGCAGGTGTAGGAGTTTGTGGTACAATTCAACAGTTCAGTGTGGATATATTTTTTAAATTAACTAAAATTGTGAAACACTTCCGATATATTAAATAAAAGTACCAAAAATCTTTCATTAATATAAATACAGTTTGTTGACTAATTATAAAACATAAACTTATGGGCCTGGGATTCAGAATATGCCAATTCTTGTTGCCTTTCTTTTGACTGACTACATGGCCTCGGGCAAATCAAGTACTTGTAATTGGAACTAGATAGAAAAAATATTTTCTAATTCAGAGGCATATTTATTAATTAAGAATAAAGGAATTGAAATTTAAGTCAAAGGTGATTGTTTTCTTGCCTTTACATTATATGATGCTTGTAAATGGATACTAGAAGATACTTTAAAATTACTTACAATCTTTTTTTTTTAATCCTCACCTGAGAACATTTTTGCATTTATCTTCAGATAAAGCGGGAGGGAGAGAAGGGGGAAGAGAGAATGAAACATCGATGTGAGAGAGAAACATCCATGTGAGAGAGACACATCGACTGGTTGCCACCCACATGACTCCAACCAACCCGGGGCAGGGACAAACTGTAACCGAGGTAAGTTCCCCTTAGCGGGAACTGAAGCCGGGACTCACTGGTCTGCAGGCCAATGCTCTAACTGCTGAGCCAGATTGTCCAGGGCATAATCTTTTCTTAACACGTTCTTCCTTTATTATTTAGAAAGGTAAATTGTCATCCTAGTACATATTCCAAATTATTTTCTCCAAATCAATGATAGCTGTTTTGGAGGTTAGGTATTTACAGAGAAATGGTTTAAAAACCCGTGCTTGGGAGAATTATATATGGTTACAGATTCAGATATAATGAATCAAGTCATAAGATTGAAAAGATAAAGATGATGTTAATTTACAACATTACCTTAATCCCTAACACTTAACATTTGAAGGAGATTTCACTTGGAGTAATTTTGACAGGGTCTATTAGATGAAATGATAAAAGGTGATTTAAAGTTTTACAACCTAGACAGTTTTTTTTACCATGGAGGAATAAAGTAATTTAACAAGATTTATTCAATATATTAGATCGGCTTTTTAAAAAACTAAAATATGCATGCTTTTAAAATAATTTAAAGACCACTGTTTACTTCCTAAATATTAGGTGCTGGAGTGTGGAGTTTGTGAAGATGTCTTTTCTTTGCAAGGAGACAAAGTTCCTCGCCTTCTGCTTTGTGGCCACACAGTCTGTCATGACTGTCTCACCCGCCTGCCTCTTCATGGAAGAGCAATCCGTTGCCCTTTTGATCGACAAGTAACAGACCTAGGTAGGAAAATATATATGTATATATTTAAGATTTAAAATTGTTCACAGGCCTTGTCCTGTGTAGCTCAGTTGTTTGGGCATCGTCCTGTGCAACAAAAGGTTGCCAGTTAGATTTCTGTTCAGGGCACTTACCTAGGTTTGTAGGCTTAATCCCTGGTAGGGGGCATGTAGGAGGCATTTAAAAAATGTTTTTTTAAATAGTTTTTATTGATTTTTTTTTAGAGAGGAAGAGAGAGAGAAACATGGATGTAAGAGAGAAACATCAATTGGAGGAGGCAGCTGATTGATGTTTCACTCTCACATCGATGTTTCTCTCTCCCTCTCTAAAAATCAATTTTAAAAATCTTTAAAAATAACAGCGAATTTAAAAAGAAATAAATAAAATAAAATTGTTCACAGAATATAAATGTCATAGAGAAAAAAATTCTTTCTACTTGATTTTTAAAATTATAAAATTTCAAGCAGTATTCTGTTTCTATTAAGGCCAGTAGTCTTATAAGTATAAACTAGCTCATTCTTAGGTACTAATTTTATTTCATCTTTTGAGATGTTTATATTTAATATTTATATATGAAGAGCTTTAAGACACCTGAGAAAAACATACTAACCTATTCAAAGAAATAAGAAAATTCATTTGCCTAAAGCCATTAATAAAATAAATTAATAGACCAATAATGAAAATATAGTTAAGTAATTTGAGTGTCAGCATGTTTTTATTTACTGGTATCAGAAGCAAGTGTTTGTAGCTTGTGATAACTACTTGTTTTCTTTTTAAATAAGCTTAAAGGTCTTGTTGAGTTTTTGTAGTTTCCTGCATACTTTTAAAACTTCATTTTATATTTTAAAATGAGTTATTACTGTGGGATACTACATTTGGAAGTATTAATGTTAACATTTTAACAATTATTTTACAAACATAAGATCTATAAGTTTACTCTTTTTGATAACAGAATTTTCTCTAAATAAATAGTTTAAAGTTGTCATTTTTTTTTTCAGATCAGTAGCACTATTTCTTTTAAGGTATTCATGCTGTATGTCAAGTGGAACATGTTTGAAATAATTTATCTACCAAAAAAAGCAAGGGTACCCAGATTTTAGACTGGAAAGCTTTAAAATGAAACATGATTATAAAATATTTTCTTGTAGGGAAAGGGTAGGTTTCTTAAGGTTTTGTTAATCTTTGAGTTAAATAAATATGTAATATGTACATTTGCCAGAAAACTAATATAGGACCGTTTAGCATTATTATAGATGACATTAACTTAATGTTAGCCAAGAAATAATATGGGAGAAAAGGGAGCTGTCTGTATTTCAACATTCATTTTTTGGCCTTTTATTCTGTTATACATATATATCACATTATCTTTATAGAAAACTATCTAGAAATATATATTTTAGAAATAATTTTTTGTGAATGGAGGATGGACCCTTCTACCTTTATGAAGGGCACTGTACTGTCTCTACATAAATACCACAGTGTGGGTTGTTACCCTCCTCAATGCCTAACTAAATGAGAAATTTATGACAGTGTAGTTTAGTTATATCCTAGGTTGAAGTTAAACATGATTGCTATCTTATCAACGTTAGAAAAACCAAACAAACTAATAATTCTGCCTTGGATATAGACTGTAATTACTATAGCTTGTAGCTTAGATTTTTACCGTGATTTTAGCCTGTGGGTTATGTGTTAGTAACCCTTGATATAGTTTGATGTCATTATTTTAAAAAATTTATTTTTAATTGTACTAGAAAAATAATGTATATATGTACATTGCAAAAAATTGAAACTCTATAAAAGTATAGAGAAGAAAAAAATCATTTGTAGTTCCTCCTACTAGAGAAGAAAACTGCTGTTAATGTGAAAGAATCAGAATCAGAATTATTCTCTAGTCCAAGAAGAATATTAGTAGTAGTAATTTGTGGTCGTTATCAGTACGGTTCAGCAATATTTCTCGTTGTTTTGTCCACATGGTAAAATTATACTTCCCTACTCTCTTATAGGTAGGTATGGCTGTGTGATTTCCTTTTAACCAGTAAAATATGAATAGAATGAAGTGTTAACTTCCAGATAGAAGCTGTTAAGAAGTTTATAATGGTTTGTAGTAAATCCTTCTCTCTGCTACTGTGAGGTAGTCCAGGTGGTTGGAGGTTCTGTGGCCTATGTCCCTCCCTGATCATGGACAGTAGGGAACAACCTTTCTTGTTTTACCTAGTCCCTAAAATGTTGCATGAGCAAAAAGTAAATCTTTGTTGTCTTTTGTTCAAGGGCCAGTGCTCTAACTGCTGAACCAAACTGGCCAGGGCTCTTTGTTATTTTGTTTTAAACCATTAAGATTTTAGAATTATTTTTTTTTAAATCCTCACCTGAGGATATTTTTTCCATTTATCTTCAGATAGAGTGGGAGGGAGTGGGAGGGGGGAGAAACATCGATGTGAGAGAGACACATTAATCATCTGGTCGCCTCCTGCATGACCCCCACCAGTGCCAGAATCAAATGCAACTGAGGTATATGCCCTTGACCTGAATCGAACTGGCAAGTCTTTGGTCCACAGGCCAACTCTCTAACCACTGAGCCAAACTGGCCAGGGCTCTTTGTTTTAAACCATTGAGATTTTAGGATTATTTTGACAATTACAGAAATATTAGTGATATACTAGGCAATAGATAGGTACTGCTAGGAGTTTATTGTATAATGACATTATCAGCACAGAGAAGGGAGAGTAAAGTGAAGCCGAGTCAGTTTTTACATGAGTCAGGCTATAGTATGTATAAGAAAGATAGATTAAGTCATTTGCATAAAGGTACATCTACACTGTATTTGATAGTATGATTTGCCAGGGGATGGACTGTGGAGTGATGGTTTGATGGTTCTCAATTTACTTTTTACTCTTAGTGCAGCTACATCTAAGTAAAATGTTTGGAAGCTTATTAGAAACTCAATATGCTTTTAAAACCTATAGGGTTAGTTTTTTTGGGGAAATGCAAATATGGTAAGAAAAGTGACCCAAATAGACAGCCCTGTGAGGTTGTCTATTGGTTGACTGTGGTTGAAATAAGGGGCAGGCTTTAGTTGTAAATGATGGCTGATGGCTGTCTTCATGTACATGATTGTTGGGATGGCTGTCCCGTATTTTGTATATTGGAATAAAAATTTCTATAAATTATCATAACTAAAAGTAAATATTCTAAATTAAGTATCACCTCAAAGTCATGGTTTCTGTCTTGGCAACTTTATCTTTCGAAGATCACTTAAGACAGGAGTTATGTGACTTCAGGAAGGAAAAGGAAGTGTGTGATACATGGGTCTTGTTGCCTGTAACCATCAGTGTAGGGTTTTTTCTTTCCTTGATAGCAGTAGAAAGACCTCATTTTCATAGCATACTACTCTTGATACTTTCTGTAAAGATACTTTTCATTAAAGATTCTCTCATGAGCTATTTAACTGGGATCTGGGAGGCTAAGGTGCTCAGGTCCTGGCTGTTCAGTGAATTTAACTGTGTGACCTTGGGCAAGTCACTTAACCTTTCTGTGCGTCAGTCTCTCTGTCTTGTAAAACGGGAGTAATACCTGCCTCACAGGGTTGTTGTGGGGATTAATTAGATATAATATCTATAAAGCATCTAAAGTTCTTGAAGAAGGCGCTATATAAATACAAAATAATATCTATTAAAGTTTGTGCTTGAAAAAAAAAGGATGATAATTTTTAAATAGAGGACTCACTTAGTATACTTCTTAACCCTTATATAAATAGAGTGTGTACAACTCAGCGTCTTATAGAATATGTGTGAAAAATGTAAACAATTAAGGAGAAAGCCTTTTTGGGTAGCAAGGTTGAGAGAGAAATCCTGGATTGGCTGCGTAAAGGTACTTGGGAGAGAAGATCACAAAAGTCAGAGGAGGCTAAAGATATTTAGCCTAATTTGAATTTTTTTTTTTTGAAGGAACACAACAAGGAATGGTTTCTTTTCTTTTCTTTTCTTTTTATTTTAAGAAAAGATAGGCCAAGAGGAAGGGCAGCCCAGCAGCCAGTGACCCCCATCATCCTTTCATTTATGCATTTACTCAGTGAATATGTATTAGGTGGCCGCTATGTATCAGGTGGTGTTTGTTGCATAGAAGCTCACCATAACAAACATATTTCTTCTAACTGCTGAAGGATCTGGCTTTTATTTATAGGCTCAGGAAGGGAGGGAGGGAAAGAGAGAAAATGAGAACGTGTGCACATGCATATATGCATATTCATCTGGCTTTTATGGTCAGTTCTGGGGAAAAGAAGCATTGTTCTTTATTCAAATGTGCCTAGAGTCTTAGCTACCTAAAAGAGATTGTTGTCTTCCTTTGATGTATCTGTGTGGGAAAGAGTTTATATAATCATTGACCGCTATAGGGTTCTAGGTTAGATGAGGGGTGGGGGAAAATGTTATCTTTAGCTGTTCTACTTCCAGTTTACTTAGAGATGTAGTTATTTTAGATTAAGTGTATATTTTGTACAGGGGTTTTCAAACATGAGTTATAGCTTATCGGTGGTCATGAACTCAATTTAATTGGTTGTGACAGAATGTTAAAAAAAAGAAAGATCTAAAACAGTGTGTTGCGTACTGTAAGGGTGAATATTGGTGTGTGAAACATTGGTTTCAGTTATATATATATGATATATGATCCTGCGTTTCAATGTTAATTTTGTTTCTTACTATAGGTTGGTATAAAAATATTTCACAGTGCCCTGGCCAATTTGGTTCAGTGGTTAGAGCGTTGGCCCACACACCATAGGATCTCGGGTTTAGTTTCAGTCAAGGGCACTTACCTGGGTTGCAGGTTTGATCCCCAGCCCCAGTTGGGGTGTGTACAGGAAGCAACCAATTGATGTGTCTCTCTCACATCCATGTTTTTCTCTCTCTCACTCTCCCCTTTTCTTCCCCCCTTCCACTCTCTCTCAAAAATCAATGGACAAAAATATCCTTGGGTGAGGATTAACAAATACATATTGGGATATTAGAATACATAGTAAAAGACAGTGACAGAATAGGATTTATAAATTAAATGATGGAAAAACAATAAAACTTTAAAGTATGTTTCTACTTAGAATACTGAGGAGTTTTTTTAAAGAGAATAGTAAGACAATTGTTCTATCATAAAAAGAAAATGGGGAATAATTGCATTTTTAAAATTTAGACGTTATTAATGGCTAAACTGTATGGCTTAGAAATTACTATGAAGGTATGAAGTAAAGTGATTAAGATTGCATTCTCTTAGATTTAGTTTTTATTTTTATATTTTAGGAGATTCAGGTGTCTGGGGATTGAAAAAAAATTTTGCTTTATTGGAGCTTTTGGAACGACTGCAGAATGGACATATCGGTCAGTATGGCGCTGCAGAGGAAGCCATTGGGATATCTGGAGAGGTATTGACTGAACTTGGTGAAATATTTGTTATGAGCATGAATTTTTTTCTTTAAATTTAAAATATTTACCACTAAGAGCATATTATCTCACTTACTCCAGCAGGTACAATTCCAGAAACACAGCTTTTCATTACATTACAGTTCTTAAGGCACCAGTACTTCCAACAGGACAAAAGTAGAACTGAAACCTGAATTCTTTCATATTACTGTGCCTAAACTAGTATAAACTTGTCTCCCTATCATAATTCCTTTTTGTCCCAGAAAGTGAAAGAATAAGCTTATGGAAGAGTAAGAAGGATATGTAAGCTGCATTAAAGCAGAGGATGCAAAAGTGAACTAGTCAACAGTAAATCATAAAGAAAGAAAGAGGAACTCTATGAAAGAGACTATTTAATGTAGAAACAAAATGCCTTAAAAATAGCACTAGCTCCTGAGGGAATTACTGCTCTTAAGTATCTTTATGAGAAGGTTAAATTATGTGTAGGTATATTGTCTTTATTCAGGCAGGTAGATATCCAGAAATATTAGAAGTTCATGAAAACAGATTAAAATACATTTAAGGAATTGCCTGCATAACTGTCAGGCTTATCTGGATGTAAGAGTAGTTGTAGTAAATAACAGTTAATGATTTTGGTGATCAACTTTAAATCCATTGTAGCAAAGAAAAAAAAAGTCAGATTGATTTCCAATTCTCTTTTATCATGATTTCTTTATGTAAAGTAAATCATTGAAATGAATTTCAAACTGAAGCATTGTTTTCTGAAATTTTTGCAGTTCTTTCACATGTTGTATCTTTTATCTCTATTTCAAAAGACATTAGAATATTACCTGCTGTTGACCTTGTAAATTATTTGTCAGATCTGGAATACAAGACATGAATTTTTATTTTACATGTATACATTTCCCATAATTGCAAACAAAACTGTTTAATTTTGATTCATTTTTTTTTTTTATCCTCACCCGAGGACATTTTTTTGTTTTTCGTTCAGATAGAGGGGAGGGAGAGAGAGGAAGAGAGAGAGAGAGAAACATCGATGTGAAAAGGATACATTGAGTGGTTGCCACCTGCACAACCCAACCAGGGCCCGGGACAAACTGCAACCGAGGTACGTGCCCTTAGTGGGAACCGAACCCGGGTCTCTCTGGACTGCAGGCCGACGCTCTAACTGCTGAACCAAACCGGCCAGGGCTGATTCATTTTTTATTTAATGTGATATTGAGTAATACCATTAATGTGTTTTCTGTTTTTATTTATGGAAAAACTTTATACCAAATCTCTCCAATTATGACCTTTTAATATTCAGCAAAATTTTCCAAATCATTCTTGATTATCTGACATGTAAAATTTTCCAGCTTGAAGTATTTTAGTAATTAATGAAAAGTAGAAATAATAAAAGCTCACATTTAACATAGGTTTTAATTGTTTATTTTCTTAAATCAGTGGCTTTCAACCAGAATTGTGCAGTGGACTCACCTGTGAAGCTTTAGAAAAAGTATTCAAGCTCAGGCTTCATCTCTAACCTGCTGAAATAATTATTTCCAGATTGGATTCTTGGCACCATGTTTTTAAAAGCTTCATAGCTGATTCTGATGCATACCCCTTGCTATTTAAATAGCATTTATGCTTCTCTTCTTCCTATACATCATCATGACAAATAATGTTTAAAGCAGTGGGTATGTATTTAATATCAGTTTTTTTAGTCTTAAGAATTCTATCCTCTATTCAGTTTCTTTTTTTTTTTCTTTTGTTAATTCTCACTTGAGGTTATTTTTTCCATTGATCTGTAGAGAGAGTAGAAGGGAGGAAGGAAGGAGGGAGACACAGAGAGAGGGAGAGAGAGAGAGAGAAAGAAAGAGAAACATCGATGTAAGAGAGACACATTGATTGGGGCCCAGGTATTGAACCTACAACCCAGGCACTGGACCTTGACCGGGAATTGAACCCCCAATGCTATAACCACTGAGCGACACTGGCCAGGGCTCTATTCAGTTTGTTATTTGTAAAGTGAGGGGACTTTGTGGACATTAACTTGTTCTGACTGTGAATCTATGAGAATAGTTCTATTTTTGGCCTCAGATACATAGCATATATTGATAATCAATTTGGGGACTAGCTTCTTACCCATAGAAATGAATACTTTCTCAGATGAGTAGTGCATGAACCTTGTACTTAATTACTAGTGTATTTTCATATATAAAGGCTGATTAGTTATACAAAGAGATTATAGACTTCTATGTTTTAAAATTTGTCATGTTATAGTGATTGGAATTCAGTTTTAAGACATTCATTTTTTTTTTATCAGAGCATCATTCGTTGCGATGAAGATGAAGCTCACGTTGCATCTGTATATTGCACTGTATGTGCAACTCATTTGTGCTCAGAGTGTTCCCAAGTTACTCATTCTACAAAGACATTAGCAAAGCACAGGAGAGTGCCTCTCGCTGATAAACCTCATGAGAAAACCATGTGCTCTCAACATCAAGTACATGCCATTGAGTTTGTTTGCTTGGAAGAAGGCTGTCAAACAAGCCCACTTATGTGCTGTGTCTGCAAAGAATATGGAAAACACCAAGGTCACAAGGTATGAATATAATTAAACTAAATGACTTTACCTAGTTTACCAGCCCACCATTTTTTTGGTAGACTGAAAATAAACAAGAGATTTAAGTTATTTCTGAATAACAAATATTTTAGCAGAGAAGCCTCATGATTCTTTCTTTAATGAAAAATAGCTTTCCAGCAGGAAACAAAAGTTCTCTTCTTTGTATGCACGTTTTCATAGTGTACTGGATTGTTTTGATAATATTTATGTCTGTTGATGAACTGCTTGTGATAAAATATTAGAGAGTCTCGTGGGTTCTTGTTTAGTGATAAATGGACTTGTAAATTTTAAATTATTGCTTTGCAGGATAAATAGTTATTGGATGAAGGCAAATTAGTATTTGTATGCTGTTCTTATGTAAATGTGTTAAAACCCATTTGTGGCTAATGCTTTATTTTATTAATAGGAGTGATTTAAATAGTTTTTAATATCATTGGTCAAATACTATTAATTCTTTTCTATATTTATATTGCATTTTATAGCATTCGGTTTTGGAACCAGAAGCTAACCAGATTCGAGCATCAATTTTAGATATGGCTCACTGCATACGGACTTTCACTGAGGAAATCTCAGATTATTCCAGAAAATTAGTTGGAATCGTTCAGCACATTGAAGGAGGAGAACAAATAGTGGAAGATGGAATTGGAATGGCCCACACAGAACATGTATGTATTTTAAAATTTTTTCTTTACTTTTTACCTATTTTTCTTCATACCTTTCACCTTCTAGTATTTATTGAGCAATTATACTGCACCAATCACCAGAAGTGATTCTTTTTTTTTGTTACTCGTCAGTTGAAGATATTTTTTTTTATTGATTTTTAGAGAGTGAAAGGGAGGGAGGGACTGAGGGGAAGAGAGACAAAGAGAAACATTGATATGAGAGAGACTCATCGATTGGTTGCCTCCCACATACGCCCTGACCAGGGCTGAGGATCAGTCTGCAACCCAGGTATGTGCCCTTGACCAGGGATGGAACCCATGACCCTTCGATGCTCAGACTAATGCTGTAACCCCTGGGCAACACCGGCCAGGGCTGGAAATACTTTTTTTTTTTTAATTGATTTTAGAGAAAGGAAGAGGGAGAGATAGAAACATCGATGAGAGAGAACATTGATTAGCTGCCTCCTGCGTATCCCCCACTGGGGATTTGACCCACAACCTGGGCATGTGCCCTGACTGGGAATCAGACCGGTGACCTTGGTGCAGGGGTTGACGCTCAGCCACTGAGCCACACTGGCTGGGCTAGAAATAATTTTTATACAGATTATCTGTCTTCGTGGAATTCATAATCTGTCATGAAAGAGAGACAGTTTCAGGTGTGGTAACTTTATTTTGTGGGGGAAGTACAGGATGCTTTGGCAGTGCATAAGAGGGGCAGTAATTTAGTTAGGTCAGGGAAGACTTCCCAGAAAACACATCTAAACTGAGATTTGAAGGGATTTAGTCCGGGAGAAGGGTAGAAAGTCAGTTGTCCCAGAGAGGGAAGCATATGTTAAAAGTGAGATTTGGACATACTGTAAAATCCTAACTAAGTTCACCATGGTTGAAGCTTGGAATATTGGGTAGGATATGGCAAGAAATGAGATTGGAGAGGTAATGGGCAAATCATGCAGAATCTTATTAGCTGTTTTAAAGAGTTTGGATTTTATCTTTGGGCAGTGATGAGCCATTGATGAATTGGCTTAGGAGCAACAATCAGGCTTTCATTAAGAAAGGTTACTCTTCAGTGTAGAAAATGAATTGGGGTAGCAGCAAGATTGGAAGCTGGGAAATCTATTAGCAGTTGTTGAAATTATCCAGTTGAGAGATATTTATGGCCATTGACACTAGAGTAGTGAGAATGGAGAGAAGTAGGTGGATTTTATATTTTAAAGAAGTTGAGTAGGTAGGTATTAGTGATTGATTAGTAATATCGATTGGATAGCTGACTTGGAGGGTCAGGCACAATGCCTAGATTTCTACCTTGCCTGACTTAGTGGATGATGATATCATGCACTAATGGGGGAGAAAGAGTTTTGGGAGGGGATAATGGGACCAGGATGATAAATTTAATTTTGATGTTGAATATATTATTTCTGTGAAGTAATCAAGATAAGAGACTTTCCAGTGAATTGAGAGTAAGTGGGTGTTGGGAAGTGAGTGTGTCTAATTTCAAAATTTGTCTGTGAAGAGAAGGAAGGGCCCTGGCCGGTTTGGCTCAATGGTTAGAGCATAGGCCTGCGGTTCAGGGAAACCTGGGTTCGGTTCCCGCTAAGGGCATGTACCTCGGTTGCAGTTTGTCCCTGGCTCTGGTTGGGTGGTGTGGGTGGCAGCCACTCGATGTGTCCCTTTCACATCGATATTTCTCTTTTTCTCTCTCTCTCTTCCTTTCCCTCCCACTCTATCTGAACAAAAAATGGAAAAATGTCCTTGGGTAAGGATTAAAAAAAAGAAGGAGGAGGAAGGAACTAAGGTGGTAGTTATAGTTGCTTTTTTTTTTTTAATCTTCATCTGAGGATATGTCTTTTTTAAAATTGATTATAGAGAGAGAAGAAGGGAGAGAGAGAGAGAACCATTGATGTGTGAGGGAAACATTGATCTGCCACCTCCTGCATGTGCCCTGACTGGGAACAGACACCCCTACTGCCTGGTGTACGGGATGACGCTCCAACCAACAGAGTCACACCAGCCAGGGCTGTAGTTGTTTTTTAAAATTGAATTGTAAAGAAATCTTTTCAGATGAGAATATAAAATACAAGGACAGATAAAATGTAATTTTTTTTTTGGTAACCAAACAAATTTAAAGTTAGGTCATTAGGGAATAATGCTATGACTACTCTGTCAAATATAGTAGCCATTAGTCACATGTTTAAATTTATTTAAAAATAAATTTAAGTTTAAATTATTTAAAAATTAAATAAAATACAAAATTTAAAAATTAGTTTCTCAATTGCGCTAGCTGTATTTCAAGTACAATTCAAGTACATGAAGCTAGTGGCTACCATGTTGGACAACACAGATATGGAACATGTCCATCATCGCAGAAAGTTCTATTGGATATTGTTGTGCTAAAGTGGAAATGTTTTGTTCATTTCTTCCGCAAATATGTATTAAACACACACCAAGTACTACACGCTGTTCTGCTGAGGAGACACCACTGTGCACATTAAAAAGCTCTGCTTTTGCAGAGTTTACATTCTTATATGGGGAGAAAGACAACAGATAAGTAAAATACTTTTGGCAGAAATATATTAGATGCTTTGCAGAAAAGCCAGGAAAAGGGGGAGTGCACATTTTATATAGGGTATTGGAGGACACATTCCCTGAGAAGGTGACTTGGAACAAGGACCTATAGGAGATGAGAAAGGGAGCCATGAAAATACTATCTGGGGGAAGAGTATTCCAGGCAGAGAGGAATGCAAGTGGACAGGGCCCTGAAGTTCGAATGTGCATGGTGTGCTTAAGAAACTGTAAGAAGGCTAAGTGTAGCTAGAGTAGAATGATTGAGGGGGAGTGTAGCAGGAGTTGAGGTCTGAAAGGCCTCAGAGGCACTTGCTCTTCTTTCTGCCAGGAATGCTATTCCTCAAGATATTCATGTGGTTCCCTCTCTTACCTCCTTCAGGTCTTTCCTCAGACTGAAGGGTTTTGAGCAAAGGAATAAATATCTTTCTGATTTACCATTTTAAAAGGATCATTTTGGCTGCTGGGTGGAGAATGCATTGTAGTGGGCAGGGGTAGATCCATTGAGACCACTTAGAAGACTATTATAATAATAAGGTGAGAAATTATAATAGCTTGGGTCAGGTTGATAGAGGTGGCGGTAATGAGGCATGATTAAATTCTGTACATATTCTGAAGTCCACAGAATTTGCTGAGGGATTAGTTGTGGGATATAAATGAAGTGTTAAAGATGACTTAAGTTTTTATGTCTTGAACAACCTGGAGGATGGAGTTGCCAGTTTTTGAGATGGAGGAAACTAGATTTCAGGTGGGAGAGACTAGAGATTAGGTATTCCATTTTGCTTTTGAGATGTCATTTAAGCATTTAGATATCCAGAGGCTGTGGTCTAGGGGAAAGATCTAGTGTGGAGAGACAAATTAAAAAATTTTTAAGGATATATATGGTATATAAATTTTCATTATTTCACATATATAATCTTTGTTATGGTTACAAATGTTTAAAACTTACTTTTATTTTTTTAGGTACCAGGTACTGCAGAGAATGCCCGGTCATGTGTTCGAGCTTATTTTTCTGATCTACATGAAACTCTGTGTCGTCAAGAAGAAATGGCTTTAAGTGTTGTTGATGCTCATGTTCGAGAAAAATTGATTTGGCTCAGGCAACAACAAGAAGATATGACTGTTTTACTATCCCAGGTTTCAACAGCCTGTCTCCATTGTGAAAAGACTTTGCAACAGGTAGGTAGTTTAAACATGGGAAGGACATAGTTTAAGAAGAAGGAGGATTTTTAAGATTAAATAGGTAGCCTAGCTGGTGTGGCTCAGTGGTGGAGCATCGACCTATGCACCAAGAGGTCACCAGTTTGATTCCCAGTCAGGGCACATGCCCAGGTTGTGGGCTCGATCCCCAGTAGGGGGCATGCAGAAGGCAACCAGTCAATGTTCTCTCTCATCGATGCTTCTATTTTTCTCTCCCTCTCCCTAAAAATCAATAAAGAAAAAAAAAGATTGAGTAGGTAATTACCAGAGGTGCACATTAGTCTGTTTTATTACTTTAATGAATATTTTTATATTATTATATGTTACCACATTCATTAACATTGTGTTTAGGACATGGTCTCTAACCTAAATTGTTCCACCAACAATTCAGTGTCCTCTCCTTCATGTGCCCTCCCCACCATAAAACCATGGGTTCTAGAACCTCTGACTTCTGTCATTCTTCAGTCCTGCTAGGCCCTTTTACTGTTTGCCAACTGTGTACTATTCTTTGTGCTTGGCGGATTTATATCTCCCTTTTCTGCTAGTAGGAATCCTCCTTCTTCAGAGTTTATGTCAAATATTTGTTAGTCTTTGAAGCTCTCTCTTCCTTGTTCTTTTTTTGAGTGCCTTTCTAGCATGTACTACCTATCTGCTCTAATTCAGTGCTTTATAACTTTGATGTCACAGAAAAGCTATGTTTTTTTTTCTATTTATCTTCAGATAGAGTGGGAAGAAGGGGGAGAGAGAGAGAGAAATATTGATGTTGGAGGGACACATCGACTAGTTGTCTCCCGCATGACCCTGACCAGGGATGAACCACAACCGAGGTATGTGCCCTTGACCAGAATTGAACCCATGACTCTTTGGTCCATGGGCCTATACTCTAACTGCTGAGCCACATCAGCCAGGGCAAAGTTATGTTTTTTTATCGTCGAGGTATCAAAAGCCATTTGTTACCTGGTTTTGCAGATGATGTACTATTAAAATAAATTATATTTAATGTTATTCTAACATAAATGTCAATCTTATTTGTTTTGGATTTGCATTCATAAGTGGGTGATATAAGGCTAATTATTGCCCTAGATATTCCTTATAAGCTGCAGTCTACCTTACCTTTACTTATATATTGCTAATAATTGTATTTATTTCAAATCATTGTAGAGCTAAACTTTTAACCATTGTAAAGTTTTTTTTCTCTTAAATATCTACACTTGAATGTGGCTAGGCTGTACCCATATCAGTCTTGAGCTGTCATTTCATTTTCATCACATTGAATTGTAATAATATGATGTGTATGCCATTTATTAAGTTGTCTTTGAGCTTCAGTTCTATTCTTCTGTCTCCTGCTTTGTGATGCTGGGACTGGACTCCACAAACCACTTACCTGCTTTGCCAGCTGGCTCCATGTTAATTTAGCCTCTGCCAATAATGACACAAGAGAGAAGGTGGAGATGGTTTTCAGTGGGTTCCCATTTGCTTGGGGTCTCTATGAATGTCATTCCTCTTATGAAGAGACCACTTTCCTCAGAGACCTGAGTTTCAGCTCCATTGGCCCATCTTCTAAGTTTCTAGCATCTCTCCTTTATTCCCCTATCCCTGGGAATGGTAGCTGTTTCCAACAGTTGCTTTCTCCATGGTACCCCAGAGTTATTTTTATCCTTTCAGCTACCTAGATAATAGCTATACCTTGTTAACAGTTCTTCATATTAAGTTTCTTCTGTTCACATAACTGGTGTGGCTTTTGTCTCCTGATTTGAACCTGAATGATACAGGAAGCATATTTGCCCTACATATTGACAAGATGCATCTTGTTTATCTTTGTATCTCTAAATTCTTTGTACCTGGATTAAAAAAAAGCTTAATAGCCCGGCCAGTGTGGCTCAGTGGTTGAGCGTTGACCCATGCCACCAAGAGGTCACCGGTTTAATTCCCAGTCAGGGCACATGCCCAGGTTGTGGGCCAAATCCCCAGTGGGAGGCATGCAGGAGGTGGCCAGTTGATGTTCTTTCTTATTGATGTTTCTATCTCTTCCTCTCCTTTTCTCTCTCAAATCAATAAAGAAGAAAAAATTTAAAAAGAAATGGCTTAATAAATAATTGTTCAAATGGGTAATCAAGCCACACAGCAAAATCAAAACTGATCATGTCCTAAATCATATTTTCTTGGAAATTTCAAAGTATTTTTATGTTAACTTTATTAAAAAGTATGTTCGTAGTGACTGAAATTTTTAGAAGTTTTTAGACTTTCTGAAGCATAGTGTCACAGTGGCTGGTAATTGTTAATGTTCTGGTATTATCTCACTGTGCTAATTCTAACAAAATTGGGGTCTTTGATTCATTCTTCATATAGACCTGTTAGTTTGTTCTGATTTTTGGGCTATAGAACCTTAACTTCTACCAGTATTCTTTTTAATTTTTATTTATTTATTTTATCTTTGTTGTTGGAAGTATTATAGATGTTCCCCCTTGATCTCCTCTTCCCTGCTCCCACCCTCCTTCTGCCTTCTCTACACTATTGTCTGTATAACCAATGGACACAGACAGTATTTATTTTTATTGATTGATTTGAGAGAGAGAGAGAAAGGGAAAGAGAGAGAAACTTTGATTTGATATACCACTTATTTATGCATTCATTTGTTGATGTTTGTATGTGCCCTGACTGAGGATCAAACCCACAACCTTGGCATATCGGGACGACGTTCTAATCAGCTGAGCTACCCAGCCAGGGCCTACCAGTCTTATGTATTAAAACTTCCTGCCACAGAGATAATTGAACAGAGGAATAAATGGAACATCACACATTTATTAGCAATTTTGAGAACAAAACTTAATCATCCATCTCCTCTAAGTTCAGGCATGATGATAAATGGTGAGGAATTAATCTATTCATATAGCAAATATGTATTTAGGGCCTACTATATGCCATGTACATTCTAGATACATGGGATATATCAGTAAACAAAACAAGCAAAAAGCCATACTCTTGTGGAATTAACATTCTAGCAAGAAGACAGGCAATAAACCACAACCATATCTAAATAAGTAAATTATATACTACATGAAAAAGGGATAAGAGCTAGGGAAAAAAGAAAATGTGTGGAGGTACAGTAGATTGCATTATTAAATAGGGAAGCCCAGCTGGAGTGGTTTAGCGTCATCCTGTTCACTGAAACATTGTCGGTTCGATTTCCGGTCAGGGCACATACATGTGTTGCAGGTTCGATCCCCAGTTGGGGCATGTACGGAAAGCAATGGAGCGATGTTTCTCATATTGATGTTCTCTCTCTCTGTCTTCTTCTTCCCTCCCTTTTTCTCCCTTCCTTTCTCTGTCTTCCTCTCTCTCTAAGCATGTCCTTGGGTGGGGATTAAAAATAGGGTGGCCCGGGTGGTGTGGTTCAGTGGTTGAGCGTTGACCCATGCACCAAGAGGTCGCTGGTTCAATTCCCAGTCAGGGCACATGCCCAGGTTGTGGGCTTGATCCCCAGAGAGGGGCATGCAGGAGGCACCCAATCGGTTTTTTCTCATCGATGTTTCTGTCTCTCTCCCTTTTCCTTCCTCTCTCTAAAATCAATAAAGAAATTATTTTAAAAATATAGTCGGGGTGAACATATATCATTGAGCAAAGATGAGATTTGAGCAAAGACTCAAAGAGTAGGAAGGTGAAAGATAATTGGGAGGAAGACCATTCCAGCTGAGGAAATGATTAGAGTGAAAACCCTAGGGCTCATGCCTGGTGTGCTTGAGGAAGAGCGAAAGAAGCCACTATGGCTAGAATGGAGTAAAGCAAAGGAGGGAGTAATTGAAGCTGAAATTAGAAGTAATAGGGATTATGTGTAAGGAAGGCCTTTGGGCCATTAGGACTTTAGCTTTTGCTGTTTAGAATGGGGAAATCATTGTGGGGTTTTGAGCACAAGAATGACTAGATCTTGTTAAAAGGATCACTCTGGATAATGTGTAAAAAAATAGATCGAAGGAGGGCAAAGATAGAAGGAAAGAGTTCAATGCTTAGGAGGCTGTTGTAGAATTCCAAGTGAGAAAATAGTGGCTAGATTGGTGGCAGTTACAAATGCCAGATTCTGGATATCCAGTAGGATTTGATGACAGGTTGTTAGGGAGGAGATGTCAAGAGTGACTTCAAGGTTTTGTTCTGAGCGACTGGAATAATGGAATTTCTGTCAGCTAATATGAGTATGCAACAATGAATAAAAACTGACAACACCACTGCTGTCATGGAACTTGCATATTTTGGGGAGATCTCTGTCTTATGAAGAATGTATTGGCATATGTATAGAATATCTGGAGGAACACTTGAGAAACTGGAAGAGGAGGCGGCCTGGGGATCTAGAGTGAGAGGGAGGCTCTTCAGAATCTGACATGTAGTCCTTTTTTTGTTCTTCCTTTTTTTTTACCAATATAGTACATCTTAAATTATTTTTTAAATGTTTTAAAGAAGTACAACATACATACAGACATGTGTTCCTAAGTGTTCAGCTGGCTGAATTTTCAGACAGGACATTACTGTCTAAACAGCATTCAAATCAAGTAACAGTGTTACCAGCACCCGGAAACCCCGCAGACTTCCTTCTGATCACACCTGCCCTTTCCCCAAGGATACATTGCTGTACTGTCTTCCAATGCATTTCTTATTTTTGCCTGTTTTGGTGATTAATATAAATAGAATCATACAGTATGAACTCTTTATGTCATTTCTTCTTATACTCTACATTATGTCTGTACAATTTGTATCATGTAATTGTGCCTCATTCTCATAATGATATGTAGTGTTGCATTTGTGAATATACCACAGTTTATTCATTCTTCTGTTGATAGGTTTTTCAATTATTTATTAATACCTGATTACTTTTATCCTCGTCAAGTTTAAATTTTAAGGTAACTTTGAATACTGTAATGTTAAATGATCTTTTTTAGAGTTTTGATGGTATCTCACTTTTCCTTATTTCTTTAACATGTTTACAAAAATACTGTCTTCTCTTTCCTAGGATGATTGTAGAGTTGTCTTGGCAAAACAAGAAATTACAAGGTTACTAGAAACATTGCAAAAACAGCAGCAGCAGTTTACAGAGGTTGCAGATCATATTCAGTTGGATGCCAGCATCCCTGTCACTTTTACAAAGGTAATGTACTGTACTCCATTTTGGTTTCTTTTCTGATGAATCATAATTGCTTACATTCCATGGTAATCAGCTTAAGAAGACAACTAAGAAATTCATGAATCATAGGATTAAAAACAATTGTTATTGGAAAATAGAAAGGGGTATAAGGACTCCCTGTACCCATCACTCACTTTAACAGTTAAAAACGTTTACATTTCACCTCTTATTTCTCTACTCCCTTTTCTGTCGCAGTCTCCCAGGTTATTTTGAAATAAATCCCAACATATTTCATACCAACATCATATCATTTCATCTATGAAACATTTTCAGGTATATTTCTAAAAGGTAAGGACTCTTTTTGAAAAGATAAAATACTGTTATTGCACCTAAAACACTTAATAATAAATCTCTAATATTATTCATTATCCAGCTAATACTCAGATTTCCCAGATTGTTAAAATATTTTTAAGTTGTTTTTTTTTTTTTTGAGACAGAATCCAAATAAGGCCTGTACTTGTTAGATATATTTGATCTCTTTTACAGTGGATTTTCCTTATTTAAAAAGGTTTATGTGTTCCATTTTACTTTCTATTTTTAGGGACTGTTTTCTTAAAATTTAATATTGTTTTATAATTATATGAAACATTTACATGGTCCAGAGTCAAATCTACAAAGCAAGATTCATTCAGAGCAATGTAGCTTCTATCCTGGCCCCTCTACCCTTTTCCTCCTCTCCCCATAGAAAACCATTAAGAATTTTTTCTGACTTTTATTAATCATTTAAAAATATATAGAGAAATATTTTTACATATTTATCTGCACACTCCCTACATTTAAAGGTAAAATACCTTACATATTTCTCCACCTTGCCCTTTTCACTTCAGTGTAATACCTTGGAGAACACTCCATAGCAGTATACAGTGACATTTTCTGTTCCTTTTTATAGCTGCAAGATACTTTATTGTGAGGATGTACCACTTTTTTTTTTTATTATGCTAAAAAACACATAATATAAAATTTACCATCTTAACCATTTTTAAATGATCAGTTTAATATTGTTAAGTATAGGGTCTCCCAAAAAAATGTACACAGAATATCTGTAGATTCTGTTACATTTTGAAAATCAAATGTATTTTAATAAACATTTGCTTTATAATTATTGAAAGTTGTGTATACATTTTTTGGAACACCCTATACATTCACATTGTGTGGAACAGATCTCCAGAAATTATTTATCTTGCAAAACTGAAACTCTGTGCTTTATAAACAGTAACTCCCCTTTTCTCCCACCTTACCAACTCCTGGTAACTTTCTGTTTCTTTGAATTTGACTACTCTAGTTACTTCATGTAAGTGGAATCATATACTATTTATCTTTTTGTGTTTGGCTTATTTTATTTAGCACAGTGTCCTCAAAATTTATCAATGTTGTGTAGAATGTGACAGAATTGTTTGCATATATCACATTTTGTTTATCCCTCGAAGGACATCAGGATTACTTCTTCTTGGCTATTGTGAATAGTGCTTCTTTGAACACAGAGAGCAAATATCTCTTTGAGATCTTGTTTTCAGTTCTTTTTGTTTTTTAAAGGTGGTTTTATTTGTTTGTTTATTTATTTATTTATTTATTTATTTATTTATTTATTTGGTACGTGCCCCTACCAGGAACCGAACCCAGGACTCCCTGGTCCGCAGGCTGATGCTCAACCGCTTAGCCAAACTGGCCAGGGCACTTTCATTTCTTTTGTATATATATCCAGCGGGAGATTACTGGATAGTTAAATTTTAATTTTAAATTTTAATTTTCTGAGAAAATGCCATACTGTTTCCCATAGTGGCTGCACCATATTATAATCCACCAGCAGTGCACAGGGTTCTAATGTCTTTACTTTTTTTACTGACACTTGTTATCTTTTAGTTTTTGGATTTTGTTTTTTGGTGTTTTTTTTTACAGTAGCCATCTTAATGGGTGTGAGGTGATACCTCATTGTGGTTTTGATTTGCATTTCTCTGATGATTAGTGAATTATGCTTTTTGGTCATCTAATACCTTCTTTGGAGAAATTTTGTGTAAGTCCTTTGCCTGTTTTTTAATTGAGTAATTTGATATTTTGTTTTTGAGTTGTAGGAGTTCTTCATTTATTTTGGATATGAATCCATTATCAGATATGATTTGCAAATATTTTCTCCCAATACCTAGGTTGCTTTTTCACTCTATTGACAGTATCCTTGGATTCATAAATGTTTTTAAGATTAATACAGTCTGATTTATCTGTTTTTGCTTTTGCTGACCACACTTTTGGTGTCATCTTGAGGAAATCATTGCCAAATCCAATGTCATGAAGCTTTTCTCCGATGTTTTCTTTTAGGAGTTCTACAGTTTCAATTCTCATGTTTAGGCTTTAATCTATATAGTTATAATCCAACTATTTATAATTGTATCTTCTTTGTTAATTTACCTTTTTATCATTATATAAAGACCTTTTGTGTCTCTTATAATGGTTTCTGACTTAAAGTCTATTTTGTCTGATAGGATAGCCATCCCTGCTCTTTTGGGTATGATTTGCATGGAATACCTTTTTCCATGCTTTCACTTTGAGCCTGTATATGTCATTAGATATAGAGTGAGTTACTTGTAGATAGCATATTGTTGGATCTTGTCTTTTTATCCATTTAGTCAAACTATATCTTTTGATTGGGGTGTTAACCATTAATATTTAAAGTAATTATTGATAATAAGGACTTACTGTTGCCATTTTGTTATTTTCTGTATGTCTTGTAGCTTTTTTGTGTCTCTTCTTTCCTCTCTTACTATCTTCTTTTGTATTTTAATTGTTTTGTAGTGACATGGTGTGATTTCCTTCTCATTCTTTTTCTGTATATTCTATGGTTTTGTAATTACAATGGTAAACACATTGTAATTGTGGTTACCATTGTAATTACATAAAACATCCTAATTCTAACATTCTATTTTATTTTTTAAAGATTTTTTCTTTATTGATTTTAGAGAAAGAAGAAGGGAGAGGGAGAGACAGAAACATCAATGAGGGAGAACATTGATTGGCCGCCTCCTGCGGCATATGCCCCCCACTGGGGATCAGGCCACAACCTGGGCATGTGCCCTGACCGGGAATCAAACCTGCAACCTCTTGGTGCATGGGTTGACGCTCAACCACTGAGCCACACTGGCTGGGCTAACATTCTATTTTAAACTATAACATTTAAATTTCAATTGAATACAAAAACCCTACTTCATCCCCTACATTTTGTTATTGATGTCACAAATTACATCTTTATAAATTTCATACCTATTGACAGAGGCTTACAGTTTAAATTTTTTCTCTTTTATTTTTCAATTACATTCAATATTATTATTATTTAATATACTTCTAATGATTTTTTAGCTTTTGTTTTTCTGGGAAAGTCATATTTTCCTTCCTTTTTAAAGGACAGTTTTGGCATATATAGCATTTATGGTTGAGAGCTTTTCTTTTTCTTTTTAATATAATTTTTTAAAGTTTACATTAGTATTATTCTATATTAGTTTCAGATGTACAGCAAAGTGGCTAGAAAATCTTGTACTCTGGAGAGTGGTTCCCCGATGCTTCAGGTACCCACCTGGCCCGACAAATATTTATCATGATATTATTGACTGTATTCCCCATGCTGTGATCTGCATCTCTATGACTGTTCTGTAACTTCCAATTTGTACTGCTTAATCCCTTCACCTTTTCCACCCAGGCCCCTAACCCCCTTCCCTCTGACAACTGTCAGTCTGTTCTGACAGGTTATTTATTTATTTTTCTTTCTTTCAACTCTTTGAATATATTCTCCCACTTCTTTCTGGACTCCAAACTTTCTGCTGAGAAATCAGCTGATAATCTTATGGAATCTGCCTTGTATGCGTTGAGTCATTTTTCTCTTGCCACTTGTAATATTCTCTGTTTGTCTTTGACTTTTTTTTTATTTTTTTTTATCCTCACCCGAGGACATTTTTCCATTTTTTGTTCAGGTAGAGTGGGAGGGAGAGAGAGGAACAGAGAGAGAGAGAGAAACATCGATGTGAAAGGAACACATCGAGTGGCTGCCACCCGCACAACCGACCAGGGCCGGGGACAAACTGCAACCGAGGTACGCGCCCTTATCGGGAACCGAACCCGGGTCTCTCTGGACCACAGGCCGACGCTCTAACCGCTGAGCCAAACCGGCCAGGGCTGTCTTTGACTTTTGATAATAATGTGTCTCACTGTGGATCTCTGGTTTTACCCTAGATAGGATGCATTGAGTTAGAATTTTTATGTCCATTCCTCTCCTTAGATTGGGCAGTTTTCAGCCATTATTTCTTCAAGTAAGCTCTCTCTGCCCCTTCTTTTTCTGGGACTGTCATAATGCGTATATTGGTCTCCTTGCTAGTGTCCCATAAGTCCCTTAGGCTTTCTTTACTCTTCTTGACTCATTTTTCTTTTTTCTCCTCTAACTTGATGATTTCATATTACTTACCATTAAGTTGGTGATTCTTTCTTCTGCCTGATGAAGTATACTATTGAAACTCTCTAGTGAACTTTTTCAGTACAGTTATTGTATTTTCAGCTCCAGAATTTTAGCTTTTGAAATTTCTATCTCTTTATTGATACTCTCATTTTGTCCATTCTTTTTTCCCCCCTGATTTTATTTATTGTCTCTGTTTCTTTTAACTTATTAAGCATCTCTATTACAGGTATTTTAAATTCTTTGGTAACTCATAGATCTGAATTTTTTTTCAGGGTCAGTTTTTGGAATTTTACTTTATTCCTTTGATTGGGTCATGTTTACTTGTTTCTTCCTTTCTTTTCTTTCTTTCTTATTTTTTTTTTTTGTTAATCATCACCCGTGGATGTTTTTTCCATTGATTTTTAGAGAGAATGAAAGGGAGGGAGGGAGAGAGAGAGAAGGAGAGAGGAAGAGAAGGAGAGACACAGAAACATTGATGTGAGACAGACAACATTTATTGGTTGCTTCCAACATGACCAAACCGGGGCCAGAGACTGAACCCAAAGCCCAGGTACATGCTTTTGACTGGAATCAAACTCAAGACCCTTTGGTCTGCGAGCCAACTCTCTAACCAGTGAGCCAAACCGGCCAGGGCATTTCTGTTTCTTTCATGCCTCATCCTATTTTGTTGAGATTTGGGCATTTGAATAAACAACTTCCTCTCCTAATCTTCATGAATGGGCTTTGAGCCTGGAAGACCTTCCCTCAAGCTAGAGATTCTAGAATTCTCAAACTTTTCCTGGGGTTTATCTTCTCATAGCTTGTGTGTGTGCTTATACCTGCCTCAAATTCCCTAAGCAACTTGCCCCTACCTTTTCTCAGAAGCCAGTAATCTCTCATTCTTCCTGCACAACAGCAGCTCCCATGTGCCATGCCCTTGCCTCTGTTTCTAGGGACTTTCAAATTATGCTGTTGGTCATCCTTAAGGGGTCCAAGTTCGTTGAGACAAGTAACCAGTCTCTGTCTAAGGCAGCCCCCAGATAAGCCAGAACATTGGACACTCAGTAAAAGCTTATGTTTCTGACCTGATATGGGAGCCTGGATGTGAGTTTTCCTCCTAGTTGCATTGTGCTCTACCAGGTTAGGCAGGGGCATGGATGGGTGTGCAGAATTCTGTCAATTTCCCTGCCACTTTTGTTGGAATCCCTTCTTATTTTTATGTTGGCCTGGGTGTTTAGCTTTACAGCTGGTCTCTAGATTTCTCACAAAAATGTTCTGGTCCATATATTGCTTTAATTGTGAGGGTTGGGACTCGACTGAAGTGTATATTTAGGAGGCATAATCATAGATGGTACTTGAAGCATATGGAATAAATGAGAATATGTAGATGAGAAACAGGCCTCATACAGACTCTCAAGCATACCAATATTTAAAAGGAAGGTAAAAGGGAAATGAGAAGCATCCAAAAAGGTGGGATAAAAACCAGGACACTGTTGTATCATAAAAGGGTGCTAAACTGAGGAGACAAAATGATAATTACGGACATTTATATGGTGCTTATCATATGCCAGAAGCTGTTGTAAGGACTTGTACATGTTTTTTTTTTTTTTTTTCCTTTGCTGATTTTTTTTTTCTTTTTATAAAATTTATAGTTTTTAAAAAATTTTTATTTATTTATTTTTGTTACAGATGTTTCTCCTTTTCCCCCCACTGATACCCTCCTCCCCAACCCTCCCCGCCCTGTCCCCAGGTTTGTTGTCCATGTCCCTTGTTCATGCACACATGCATGTAAGTTCTGTGGTTTATCTCTTCCCCTCACCCCCTCTTCTGGGGATTTTCAGTCTGTACCCCACTTCCACGTCTCTGGGACTACCCCTCCTTTGATGATTTTAAAGAGAGAGGAAGGGAGAAAGAAATATTGAAAGAGAGAACATTGATTGGCCGCCTCCTGCATGTCCCCCACTGGGGATTTGGCCCACAACATGGGCATGTGCCTCGACCAGGAATCGAACCTGCAACCTCTTGGTGCATGGGTCAACGCTTAACCACTGAGCCACACTGGCCAGGTAGGACTTTTACATGTGTTTAAAAAAAAAGTCCTTGCCCAGCCAGTGTGGCTCAGTGGATTGAGTGTCGCCCCATGGATTGAGAGGTCCTGGTTCGTTTCCTGGGCAGGGCACATGCCCAGGTTGTGGGCTCGATCCCCAGTGGGGGTGTGTGTGCAGGAGGCAGCCAATCAAATGTTTCTCTCTCACATCGATGCTTCTATTTATCCCTTCTTTTCTCTCTAGAAAATCAATAAAAACATATTTAAGTATTTTCTAAAAAATAAAATAATCCTTGCAAAAATTGTGTACGTTTGGTATTATTTTAATATTTGATTTATAGATGAGGGAAGTGAGGCAGAGAGGTTATGCAGCTAGTAATATGTATATTCATTACAAGTATATTCATTGTTCATTCTTTGTAATATAAAAAATTCAGAGATGATCTAACATCTGTCAGTGGGGATTGGTTAAATCTTGGTTCATGGAATATAGTGAAGCAATTGAAAGAAAAATGTAGGGCTTTATGTTTTGAAATGAAATGATTCCATATATACTGTTGAGTTTAAGTTAGTTGCAGGTGTGCATGGGTTTTAATTCTTTTTTCTTTTTTTTTTTTTTTTTATCCTCACCGAAGCTTTTTCCTTTTTTTCAGGTATGGGGGAAAGAGAAATTGGAGAGAGGAACATACGATGTGAAAGGAACCTTGCTTGCAACCGCACACCCCAGGGCGGGAAAACTCAGCCAGGACTCCTTAGAGGGAACGCTCTCCAGCGCAGGACGCCTAAGCACTGAGCAAACGCCAGGTCTAATTTTTTAAGTCGCGACAGCGCTTCGCTACGGTTTTTCAAATGCTATACTATACACTGGAAAATGCATATATTTGACTAATTGACTTATTGACTTTTCAAATCTATTATTAAAAGCCGCTAAGAGTGAGAAGTTGAAGTGTCGTGCGAGGACGACTGTGTGTATATAAAGAATCCTACTTCGTGGAAATTCATTTATCGCAGTAGAGTCTGAAACTGATTAACCGCGGTAAACGAGGGCCGACTGTATATTTGTTTTGTTTTTATATATCAGCCGTTATGTGCATAGGAAAGTGTCTGGCGGAATGTACATAAAATTGTTAACTGGATATTTCTGGGAAGTGAGCAGCAATTTTCATTTAAATTTATATGTTTGTTAATATATTTAACACACCATAACAAACCTTATTTAACGAAGATTCAGTTAAGCTAGAAAATCTGGAGAAATTAAATGGAGATATATATATATATATATTTTATTTATACAAAAACAAAGTAGTCAGTTTTAATAAGGGATTTAGCAATACGGAGTGATTCTTTTCTCAGAAAATCAGATTCAGGGTATTTTAGGGAATACAACTCAGATTTCAGTGGTTGAGGAATGAGTAGGGGAAAAGGGAATAATTAATGATATTTTATAAATAAAAGTATAAATCTTAATGCTTTCTAACTCCATATCAAAATTAAAAGATTAAATTTTTTATAATTATAGGACAATAGAGTTCACATTGGACCAAAAATGGAAATTCGAGTTGTTACATTAGGATTAGATGGTGCTGGAAAAACCACTATTCTGTTTAAGTTAAAACAGGATGAGTTTATGCAGCCTATTCCAACAATTGGTAAGTATGAGTGTTGCTTTTTACCTTAATGGATATTTTATTAAGAAACCCTAGCTTACAGCTCAGTTTGGGGATCTTATTTTATGCCAGTCTGGCATGGAGATGGGCTTTTTTTCTGGCTCTAAGACACTAGCATTTCAGAGGAAAATTGCAAGATTCAGTGGCTGTTTGATTGAAATGTGGATGGTGGGATTAGGAAGGAGTAGGGTATTGGTAGGACATTTGGAAGGAGTAAAGGTTTGGGGACCTGGCTGAGGGTTAGGGTAAGAGAGTAGTAGTGGTGCATAGTTGGCAGATATTTGGGTTTCAATGTCCTAAGGGCCCTGGTGAAGCTTTAGAGGGCTAACAGCTGATAAAGGTATGCATTCCATTCCCCACATGGGGTTATTAGCAGTGGAGTTGGGTGGGCAGCAGTAGATATTGTCGTATGAAGATAATTAGTAAGTCACAATTATAAACAGGGAGTTGCATTGTTTTTGGTGTGTCACTCACTGTAAATATGAGTTCAGTATTAAAGTAACTTTTTTGTTTTAAACAGGTTTTAATGTGGAAACTGTTGAATATAAAAATCTAAAGTTCACTATTTGGGATGTAGGTGGAAAACACAAGTTAAGACCATTGTGGAAACATTATTACCTCAATACCCAAGGTAAGAGGGGAAACAATGACACCTTAAGTGTTCATATTTTTAGGATGCCAATTTTCATTATATTGATTTAATTAGCAAAGCTGATATTTAAGTGTTTTTTAAATACTGACTATATCTTTAAATATTGGTGGCCAGCCTCACATTATTTTAAAAAATGAAGGTGTAAAGACTGGGATATACACTTTGGTATATTTCATGAAAAACCATAATTATAGCATAAAAACAATACCTAGCTTAGATATGTGGGTAGTCAAGAGTACTTACCTCTTGCTGCTCAGAACAGTTAAATTATATTATTCGTGTCATGAGTATGATTGCTGGCAGTGTTAGGGAGTATAGTAGAATTTGTGGTGTATGGTTCAGCTTATTAATTTAATTCACATTTTTTCCATTATAATATCTTAATAGCTTCATTTCCATTCACAGTTGTTATCTGCAGAAGAATCTGCAGTGGTTTGCTTTTGACCAAACTGTGTTACATCATGTATATTCCACCTAGCATTTCCTCACACGTGGGCCCCATTCTACGCTTTTGCCTCCTGTACTCCAACATGAAGCTTACGTTTATGCCACCTGTTCCATATGTCATCCTCCTTTCCACCCAGAAGAGAGACTAGATGATTATTTTTACTTTGGGATATTTTATATTGAGTTTAATATGAGCCAGTGATTAATGGAAACAAGGAATTTCGATCATGAGGAATGGTTAAAAGTCTGAAGATGTTTAGCTACCTATAAGGTAGCTAGAGAGATTTCAAAAGAGTATCAATTCAGTAGATGTGTACTAAGTTTCTACTGGGTATTTTGAGTACAATCTATGTGGAAAGTGCTGTGCTAGGCACCTAGAAAGAGTACTTTGGAGAGAGAAAGATGATGATTTACTTATTTTTAAAGGACTATCTTTTGGTACAGGAGTAATCAAAGAACAAGTAGCATCAGTAGGTAGATTATGAGAGGTACATTTTTATTCATTAGGAGAAAATATTAATTGATAAACACAGCAATCTGTGTTTGGTGTAGGGCCAGTGTAAGTTTTGTTATAGATGGGGAAATGAAAGCTGAAAAGTTATGTGACCTGTTTGAGATCATACCATTAATTATTGCTCCTATAATAATAGGCAGCCTTTCTGTAAAAATAGTAATGGTAGACTACCCATAATATAATAATGAGAGCATTAAAATATTTGGTCCATTTACTGAAACTTAACAGGTAACTAATAGAAATCTTTGTCCTTTTATTGGTAGCTGTTGTATTTGTTGTTGATAGCAGTCACAGAGACAGAGTTAATGAAGCACACAGTGAACTTGCAAAGTTGTTAACAGAAAAAGAACTCCGAGATGCTTTGCTTCTGATTTTTGCTAACAAACAGGTAACCCATTTGTATTTCAGAATACTTATTTTAGTAGTTGTGTGCATTTCACATCATAAGGTAGCTGGAAATATTTCAAAACAGAAATAGTTAATAGATATTTACAAAGTTTCTGCTATATATTCTGAGTGCAATCTATGTGGAAAGTGCTGTGCTTTGTACCTTGGAGTATTCGAAAAGAAATTAGTTAATGCTGTCTGGTAATTCCAGTGTATGTAAGTAAACATGTAAGTGAATAGAAGAAAATTGTTAAATAACTTCAGTAACATTAACAAAGTTATGGCAAATCAGAGCGTAGTTCTAAAGGTGACATCTTATAAGATTTATAAAAAATGTAGAATTTGGATTGAAATTATAAACTGAAATTGTGGATAAGACTTTGAATCAGTTTGTGAAGGAAAGGACATTTTAGGCAGAGAGAAATAAAAGCATTAGGTTTGTTGTTGTTGTTACTCCTCACCAGAGGATATTTTTCTAGTAATTCTTAGGTAGAGTGGAAGGGAGGGAGCGGGAGAGAGACACACACATCAATTGGTTGCCGCCCGCAAGACCCTGACCAGGGCCTGGGATCGAACCTACAACCCAGATACATGCCCTTGACCAGGAATTGAACCCGAGACCCTTCAGTCTGCAGGCTGACGCTCTAGCTGCTGATGAGCCAAACTGGCCAGGGCAACATTAGTATTTTTAGGGAGCATCCAGTGGACCTAATATGTGAGGAGCTAGGTAGAGGATGAAAAAAATCTAGAATAATAGATGAGGCCACATTGTGAATACCTGACAGGACTATTCTGAAACATTGAGGTTTTATTCTGTGAACAAAGGAGAACTATCAGAAGGTTTTTGGATTAGTTGGTTATAAGATCACATCAGTGTTTTAAGACCAATCCTGGGGTACATGTAGAATTAATCAGGGGCAAGGGACTAGAAACAGGAAGATGCAATAATTCAAGTGAGAGAGTTAACAAGATCCCTGTTTAGAGGAATAGATAGGTGGAAACAGACTGAAGACATTTTATGATGGTAGAATTGTTAGAATTTGGTGACTGAATGAGGAGGATGAAGGACAGGGAGTAGCAGAAGATTCCTAGATCTCAAACCTAAGTTTCTAGGAGGATCAAATGGTTTAAGTGCAACAGAATGGCTTAGATGTCATAAGGAGTAGTAGAATGAAGAATATAGGATTTTCCTCTAAATTAAAGAAAAAAAAGGGCCAATAAAAGCTGATATGCTTTGCTGTACTTATGCTTAAAGACATACAAATAAGACAAAGTGAAATACCATTTTCCAACTATCATACTGTGAAAGACAAAAATCTTTGATAATCGTCAGACTCACATACACTGTGGTGTGGTTATTAAACTAAGACATTTTCGCCTTGGCCAGTTTTGCTCAGCGGTTAGAGCGTCAGCCTGCGGTCTGGAGAGACCCAGGTTCGGTTCCCGCGAAGGGCACGTACTTCGGTTGCAGTTTGTCCCCGGCCCTGGTTGGTCGTGCGGGTGGCAGCCACTCGATGTGTCCCTTCACGTCGATGTTTCTCTCTCTCTCTCCTTTCCTCTCTCTCTCCCTCCCACTCTATCTGTACAAAAAATGGAAAAATATCCTCGGGTGAGGATAAAAAAAAATAAAAAATAAAAATAAACTAAGACATTTTCTTAGAGGGCAATATGGCAATACCTGTCAAAGTTTTAGATGCATAGAGCCTCTTACCCTGTAATATATCCAGCAGACAAATATCCTAAGGTTGTTTTATAGATACTTTTGCAATTATATGCTTGTGTAAGAGTGTGTGTGTGTGTGTGTGTAGTTGTAATAGCATGTAAACACACAACTTTACTCTAGAACTGGTAAAGAAAATTACGTTGCACCTACACAGTGGAATGCAATTTAGATGTTAAAAATAATGTGGAAAATCTGTTTGTCTTGATAATGGAAAGATATCTTTATTCAACATCTGCATTATTGAGTTAAAAAACAAACAAACTAGAGTATGTTCCTATTTGTGTTCATTTGCATGAATGTCCATGGAAATTTTCTGGAAAATTATGAGTGATTATTACTGGTGGTTGCTTCTGAGAAGTAGGGATGTTCAGAATAGTAGTTTAATAAACTTCATTTTATAAACCCCATGAATAAGCTATTTTAAAATTATATACACATTAATTTTTCTTTTAAATTGATGCATTATAATGACTCAGGCAGTATCTTTCATTTAGGCTGCATGGCTTATTTTTTTCGTTTTTAAATATTTTTATTGATTTTTAGAGAGAGGAATGGAGAGGGAGAGAGAGATAGAAACATCAATGAGAGGGAACACTGATTGACCATGTCCTGCATGCCCCTGACTGGGGATCTGGTCCACACGTGGGCATGTCATGTGCCCTGACCAGAAATCGAACCAGCGACCTCTTGGTGCATGGGTCGATGCTCAAACACTGAGCCACACTGGCCGGGCCAGGCTGCATGACTTTTGATATCATTGTGAGGCTATTCTTGTAAACAATATATAATATAAATAAGTAAATTATTTTAACCAAAACTGATTTTTTTCTAGTTTTATTAATCTCAGAATAATTACTGAAAGATGAATCTAGGCTTTTAGATTAGGCTTTGGTTAGAATGGTACCAATAGAATTCTTTATAAATAGTAATAATTAGAAAAGTAGTAATATTGATGGACTGATTAGAAAAAATTCTGATGTGTATTTACTTACCTTGCAGGATGTTGCTGGAGCTCTTTCAGTAGAAGAAATCACTGAACTTCTCAGCCTTCATAAACTGTGCTGTGGCCGGAGTTGGTATATCCAGGGCTGCGATGCTCGAAGTGGTATGGGACTGTACGAAGGGTTGGACTGGCTCTCACGGCAACTTGTGGCTGCTGGAGTATTGGATGTTGCTTGATTTTAAATGCAGCAGTTGTTTTAGGTTTTGTGGTTAAGTTATTTTGCGTATAATATGTTGTAAGAAATTCTACATCTCAACGATAGTTAATTTAGGATAAGTATATGAGGAGTCTTGGATTGGTAATTCAGTACAATATTGCTTTAAAAAATTATTCTGTAGCAAAATTTAAATATCTGATTGAGAAGATTAAATGGAATTAAATAGGGATTTCTTGAGTTTACATTTTTAAAAATGTACATTATTTGAGTTTTTCAGTTTATATATGACCCTTATATTGAGAAAGAAATAGAGTAAGTGAAGGTTTATTCTTTTTGTTGTTGTTATTCCTCACCCAAGGTTATTTTTCCATTGATTTTTTAAAAATTAGAGTGGAAGGGAGGGAAGGAGAGAGAGAAACATCAATGTGAGAGAGACATGTGAATTGGTTGCTGTTGCCTCCGGCACAACCCTGACCAGGGGCTGGGGGTGAACCTTAAACCCAGGTACTTGCCCTTGACCAGGAATCAAACCTGAGACCCTTTGGTCCTTGGGCCAATGCTCTAACCTCTGAGCAGCTGGTCAGGGCTGAAGGTTTATTCTTATAGCCAACTGAGTGCCTAATGAAACCTGTGTGTGAAGCAAGTGAAACATGACTTCTTTAACTTGCCTTTTGCAAGTTACTGAATTTTGGCAGTATTTAGTAGTAAGAACAGCAGTGACTTAATGAAATAGAATCCACAAATTGCACCTTTGGGTAATAGGATTACTTTTACCTTTAATGCTAAGACCATAAGCTATAGAACATTAATATTTTATACAGTGTTTTATTAAAACTTTCTCCTAAAGCATTTTGTATAAAACCCACTGAGTTAGAATGAAATGTTACCTAACTAGGCCTGACTGTGAAATTAGTACTATCCTGAAGAACAGTTAATAATAAAACTTAAAGTCAGTTATGTTCTAGTTATCTTCACTTATGAAAGACCCATTTCTAGGGCTGAACCTGGAAGTATTATTTCCTAGGTTTAGAGCTCTAAATTTGTCCTGTTTTTTCAGCATGTTTAAAGTACTTAGTGTTTTTCTTTTTTCCAAATATGTTTTTACTGATTTTAGAGAGTAGAAAGGAGAGGGAGAGAGAAACATCGATCTGGCTGCCTCCTGCACACCTCCTGCTGGGGACCAAGCCTGAAACCTGGGCATGTGCCCTGACCCCAAATCAAACCCAAGACCTTTTGGTGCATGGGATGACACTCAGCCAGCTGAGCCACACCAGCCAGGGCCTTAGTGTTTTTAAAAATCATATTGCATCTTTAGCGAGAATGAGTATATGTAAAAGGTAGTAAGTTACACAAAGAAACCTGGGTTGGCTTTACATAAAAGAGAGACATCTAAGTAGAAAACTACCTTTACCTTAAGAGAAGTTGTTTAAACAGTGGGGAATGCTTATTACATCATTTAAAATGTTTTCCAAAAATAAGTGCATTTATCTTGATCAAACATGATCAAGGCTCTTTATCACAAGGCCTTGAAAAGTTATTTAAGAAAAAAAGCATATCTAAGAAAGGAAAAGAAGAAACATTTAAAAAGTTTACATCACATTATGCAGTGTTGTGAAAGTTTAAAAATTCTGTGCTTTTTACTGGTTTTCATATTTTAAGGTTATTCTCTTATTATGGCAGTACAATTTATTATACTTAAACATAGCTAGATTAGATTTCATAGGGTGTTGTTTTATTTTCTTAATCCTCACCTGAGGATATGCTTAGAGAAAGAAAGGGAGAAACATCGATTTGAAAAATATTGTCCAGTTGCCTTCTGTATGTTCTGGGGATCAAACCTAGAACCCAGGTATGTGCCCTGACTGGGAATCGAACTGGCAGCTTTTCAGTGCATGGGATGATGCTCAACCAACTGAGCCACACCAGCCAGGTGGATTTCATGTTTTTAAAAAAATATTTTTAGCCCTGGCTGGTATGGCTCAGTTGGTTGGGCATTGTCTCTGCACCAAAAGGTTGCTGATTCGATTCCCAGTCAAGGGTACATGCCTGAGTTTTGGGTTCAATCCCCTGTACGGGGTGTGCAGGAGGCAGCCGAATGATGTTATGTTCTCACATTGATGTTTTTCTCTCTCTCCCTCTCCCTTCCTCTCTCTCTAAAATCAATAAACTATTCTTTAAAAAAATACTTGTTATATTTTAGGATGAAGTTGAATCATAAATCTTAAGTTGAACTACTATGAGGACATTGATGTCTGATGACAGGATTTGGTGGTACTCTTTTGGTTCAGTCTCTTCAAAAGTATTTTTGTTTGTTTAAAAACAAAACTTTTAGAAAACAAAACATTAAAAAAAAGAGTCCGTCAGTGTTATGGGCAATGTGTAAATAAGTAAATATAATTATATTGTCCTTTATTTTTAAAGTACAAGGTCATACTGTTACAAGTGTAGTTTGTGCATATAAGTAATACTTCTAAGTTAAATTATTTAATATTGGACTGATTACAATAACTGTGAAAAATAAAAAAGGTGTTACATTTGCCTGTGAGCTCTTGAACTGTTTACTAGGTAATTGAAAGAAAAATGTCTAACACTAATATGTAAACTTGCTTTCCTTGTAAATTATTTTATTTCACCAATTTTGTTAAACTTTGTAATTCACATTCTTAGCACATTACTAAATACAATTTAAAGAATTGTGTTACACCTGATTATAATGTACATAATAGTATTTGTGTGTGATCCTTTTTAAGAAGTATTTTTCTTAGGCTGTTGTTACTATTTTAGGTTGTATTCTTTCACTAATGATTAGTTAAGATTGTGCTATTTCCCTCTGGGAAATGTCAGATTTAATTTTGAACATGATCTATTAAGATTTGATTCCTAGCTCTGAGTTTCTGTATTAAGCCTTCATATTACTGTATGATTTATGTAAAGCAGGTTTTTCAAGTATAGCCCTGGTCTGTAATTCTGGAATGCTTTATAATCACCAGAAGCCATTATTTGCATTACACATATGATCACTATAGAAAGCAATAAACTACTAAAATCCTATTAAAGAAGTCTTATCATTATTCTTAAAATTCTGTTTTTTGAACCATCTATCTAGTAGTTGGGCTAGTAACCAATTTAAACATTCATATTTGTGTTGTGGTTAATAACAAAATAGTATAGGGATGTCAAATTTGAGATGTAGTATATTAAAGATTTAGAAACAACTTATTCTGTATTTGCAGTGTAAGTCACATTTAAATGAGTATTATAACTAGTGTTTTGAAAAGCTAAAATTTTGCATTAACAAAGTGTATTACTTTTTCGATTTAACCTTGTTTCGAGAACAAAGCATTTTAAAAAACCGTTTTTAGAAAATGTCTTGGAAAACTTAGGTGTAGCCTATGAACTAATATTGCTAAAAGAAAGACTTTTAATGTAACATTGAGATACTTCTCAATTTGCAAAATAGTAATAGGGAAGACAGCTGTTTCTCCTAAATGGATGAGTGAAAAGGACTAATAAATGTCAGATGGTTACTTGTTAATAATTTAAAACATGCTTTTAAAGAGATATCTGGTAATTTATATGTTTAGGTCTACTGATTATGTTAAATTTGTGACATGGAATGGAAAAATTCACTCATCAAGTATGATTTTCACGCAAAGCAAAATGATATTTTGAGGGGAAATGAGGCATCACTACCACTTGGTGGCAGTATTACTAAAAATTTAGCTTTTAGGAATGAATATATCTGCTAGGTAGAGAAGTACAATCACAAAAAATTAAGAAGAAAAGGTAAATGTCACAGTGAAAATGTCATTTTATGTCCAACATTAAGCTCTACTTTTTAAAAGGAGGATGCAATTTTAAAGTAGCACTATTTGGCATATTCTTCCATCACCTAATTTGTGGTACAAGATGAATCAAGATAATCCTGCTGGTCAAGAAGGAAAAGTGTAAGCTAAGATTTAAAGTATACGAATGAAATCCCTAACAGATAGGTTGAACAGGTTCTGCCTATAAGTTCTTGAAGAGTCTGTCCAGAAATTAGAAGCATTAATTCTTTTTTTTTTTTTTTTCCAGCCCTGTCGAAACAAGGCCACCAAAAATTTGGTTGCCTCCCCACAAAAAAATGGAAGAGCGAAGATAGAAGCATTAATTCTTAATAGTTATGAAGTTATCAGGGTAAGCGAAGAAGGAAATCAGTACAAGACTCTGAACTCATGGTTTTACTGCTCCAGTTTCTACTAATCTCTATTATATACTAAAGTTTTTACTCAATATGTATTTTCTGATGGTATATTTAAAGGGTAAGAAAAATACCATAAACTTAATAGAAAAATTATTTAGCTACACTAGAAAAAGAATGAAATAGTAAATCTGTCTAAAACCAAGGACTCAGATATTCATTTATTCTTATTCTTATATTTGAAAGAATATTTGATGATTATTAGGGAATTTAACATTTTTTGACTAAAGGGACTTCCATTTATTTACTGAAGTTTTACTTATCACTACTTACAACTTAATGATCAAAAGACAAAACTTTTGTCATGAAATACAAACCTGATAAAAGAAAGGAAACAGCACATACTATCAAATCCTTTGTGGATCTAAAGAAACATGTGAGGGTAGATTAACTGGCATGTTTTAAAAAGCTAAGGAACAAAGGCATACCACTCTCATTATTTACCATGGTTTTCAGTCTCATGCGAAATTACATATAAGGAGTGCTATTTTGCCTGAGTTTAGTCCATTTCAGTTTTTCACCACCTAGATAAGAAGTATTGCAAGAAAAACACAGTTTTAAAAAATGGCCTTTAATGAAAAATATAAAAATACAATACTGCAATCCTTGAAACATGATTTGCATGTTCAGCAAGTCTTAAGAGACTGCCAATGTAAAATAATCCTGTTTATTATATGTATATTTTTATTTACATACAATGAGACATTTTACTTGACAGTGATATTTATGATGCTGACATCCTCATAGGGCTTATCTGTTTTGGGATTGACTTTGACATTGGAGATCCTCTGTACAACTTCCATTCCTTTAGTCACTCGTCCAAATACCGTGTGCTTATTATCAAGCCAAGGCTGTGTTGGAGGACAAATGGAAAATCTTGGTAAACCAGGTTTCTTAATCCACCTCTCTGGGTGAGCAAATTAGAGAATTTAAAGGTATGCTTTACTTTTTTTATGTAATTAAAAATATTTACAGTAATTTCACTTAGATTTTAAGAATAATTTCCATGTTTATAAAAGCATAGGATAATGTTTAAATATCTGCATCTTTCAGATCAAAGGGAGCCAGGATGTGTTTGCTAA